TCAGAGACACCATATTCTCATGAGTCCCCTACGTCTCAGACAGATCCTTCTTTATTTGCTTCATGAGTTCCTCATTTTTCTGACCTTTTCATAAGTGTTCTTCATAAGGGTTTGTCCTTGGTCCCCTCTTCTCTTCTCTCTCTGTTGTTTCTAGCAGTCTTGTTTACTTCCAAGGTATCAAATACATGTTCTCTGTGAATGACTCCCAAATGTGAACCTCCTGCCCTGACCTGGTTTCTAAGCCCCAGACCTTCATCTCTTAACTGCCTACAGGATGTTTCTACTTGGATGGCCTACTGGGACCACAAATTAAACAGGTCCCAACCAGACCTCATTACTTTTCCTCTAACTCTCCTCATTTTACTATTTGGTTTGTGTACTGCCATTCAACTGGTCTCCTACGCTCATGATCTTGGGGTTGTCTCCGACACTTCCCTTTTCCTCCTCTTTCATATCTAGTTAGCAGAAAGTGTCCATTCTACTTCCTTATTATCTCTCATATCCCCTCCTTTCTATTCCCACAGCCATTGCCCTAATATCAGTTCTCATTGTCCACAAAGCCCCAAGTACTTATTAAGTACCTACTACGTGCTACAAATAATATGCCCAGTTAGACTATTGCGATAGAATCCTTCTAGGCTTTTCCTTTTCCATTCTTTCTTCCTATAATCTGTCCTTGCTAACATTTCCAGAATATGTTTTCTTGTATATAGCTCTAGTCATGACACTATTCTATTCAAAAATCTGTGGCTCACCATTGCCTTCAGGAAAAGTTCAAACTCTTCTTCCTGGTATTCAATGTCTTCCGTGGCCTGGTACCACCCAATCCTTTTACTCCCCTTCGTGTGAAGACATCTATGAGTCAGGAAGACCTAACCTCAAATACGGCTTCAGAAATTTACTAGTTTTGTGACCCTGGGCAAGCCTCTGTGAACCTATTTCTTCAACTGTAAAATGGGGATAATAATAAAGCATATACCTCTCCCAGGGTAGTTGTAAAGATCAAAGGAAATAATATTTGTAAAGTTCTTAGCATAGTGCCTTGCACATAGTAGGTACTTAATAAATGCTTGTTTCCTTCCCTTTTTTTTCCCATGTACTCTATGTTCTAGTCAAATTGTTCCCTGAATATAAAATGTGCTCTTACACTGCCACACCTTTGCTCAGGTAGTTACCTATTCCTGAATTACCCTTCCTTCTCTCTCTGCCTGTTAAATTCCTACCCACCCTTTAAAGCACAACTCAAGGGTCATATCTCCTTCAACCCTTTCAGGAAGTTTTATTTGAGCCTTCCAGTTGGTACAGCATTACCTTCTAGGACTTCACACGGGACTTTGTTTTGTTGCATTTGTCACGGCATATCATACACCTATTAGGCCCCTGAGGGCAGGGACTTTGTTTCATCTAAACATTATATCTGTTCCATTATCTAGCACAGTGCTTGATATACAGTAGGTGCTTAGTAAATGTTTGTCATTGATTTACATGTGCGTAGCCTTTTAAAGCTCTAATTATTGGAGCTTAATTATTTTCCACCACTGTCTACTGGCTGCCTGGGCCCTCAAAATATAGGACACAAGGAGTCACAAGACCTGGGATCTGGTGTTAATTATTAATAAAGGCTTCATTAATTCATTAACTCATTCATACATTCATTCACCAGTTACATGACCTTGAACAAGTCACTTGGCCTCTCTGGGCCTAATTTCTTCATCTATAAAGAACTGGAATAGATGATCACTAAGGCTCTTTTTCACTTTGTGACTACATATAGTTCTATGAATTCATCATACCTTAGGGATTTCTCATTCCTGAGTCAATAAGAAAAGATCAACTATGATCAATATACTCTTTACTGAGGCAAGAAACCATGTATACACAGATATATATCTGATACACCATATATATATTATGTATATATACCAATAATACATATTTGTGTATATGCATATGTATGTATACATACATTCATATGCATGTTTATTAGCCAGTAAAATTTTCCTTTTTTTTTTTTTATATAAGTGTAGGAACTCCCTCCTTTGAGGCAGGCAGGTAGGTAAGCAGGTACATAAGTAGGTAGGTAGATAAGAGCTACCATAAATATTTTTGTACATGTGGGTTCTTTTCTTCCTCCATGGCTCTCTTTGAGGTGTAGTAGTGGTAGTGCTGAGGCAAAGGGTAAATACAATTTAGTAACTTTGGGGGCATAGTTTCAAATTGCTTTCCAGAAAGGCTGGACCAATTTGTAGCTCTAACAGAGCTTGTATTCTAATGGAAAAAGACAATACATAAAGGCAATTTGGAAACTGGGAGAGGGAAGGGTAGGTGAGGAATGTATGGCACAGGAAGTTGTATAGTGGAGGACTGGATCAGGGCAATAAAAGATCAAAGGTGGCCTATCAGAGCCCAGGGTAGTTCAAAGGTAAGAGACCAAGGTTCCAATGGGAAAGAGGTGGATATCATGGGGGTAGTACAGGGAGATGTCCCAGGATTGCAGTAGAGGCTTGGATCCAAGCAAGACAAGGCAAAAGATTCTTTCTAGCTATTAATGTATGAACTTATGAACTCTTTAGGTCAGCTAGATGGCGCAGTAGATAGAGCACTGGGCCTGGAGTCAGGTAAACCTGAGTTCAAATTTGGTCTCAGACACTTAGGCAAATTACTTAACACTGTTTGCCTCAGTTTCCTCATCTGTAAAATGATCTGGAGAAGGAAATAATAAACCACTCTAGTATCTTTATGAAGAAAACCCTAAATGGGGTCACTAAGATTTGGGGTCATGATTAAAATATCTGAACAACAAATGAACTCTTTGATAGTTGCCTGAGGCTCAGAGGGGTTACAGAACCTGTCCATGATCTCATATCTCACATATGTAAAGAGAAAGGGTTAGAACCTAGGTCCTCCTGACTCTAGGTCTACCACTCTACCCCCTATAGTACGCTGCCTGCCTGTAGCCTAAGTAGATATATACCAAACTTATATTGTTGGTAATGTTTTATATTTTAATTAAAATTCATTTAGACCATAACTTGATTTTTTTTTTTTGCTTAACCTAGTTTCTTTTAAAACCTAGGTCTGTGGAGCAGTGCTCATTTACATGATGTATTCTAACCCATTTATTTCTATTATTACTATCCAGATGGATTATAAACAGATGGATAGTGTCATGGAATGTTAAAGACCCATAGAAAGACCTCAAGCCTACTGAGTAGATCCTTAGGGAGGATGTAGACAAGAAGGGCTTAGGACAAGGAACTGTGGAGAAGTTGTTATCTGCACTATTGAAATGAGTACACATATCTGTGAGATCATGGATCCATTGAACTATTGGAATATTGAAAGATTACTATTTGATGGAAAATGATATAATGAGTCCAAATGGCAGAGAATCTCCAAATCACTTATACTTGTTTTAAGAGTGGGTTTTAAATTTTCATTTTAATATATTCATATCTGATATTCTGAGAATTAAAAAACCTTAAGTAGTAATAATAGCTAGCATTTTGTGGCACTTCTAGGTTTACAAAGTGCCTTACATGTTAACTCATTTGATCTTCCCTACAACCTTATAAGATAAGTACTTCTTATATCCTCATTTTACAGATGAGAAAACTGAGATAGAGGTTAAATCAATTGCCCAAGGTCACACAGCCACTCAGTGTCTTAGGCAAGATTCAAATGCAGGTCCTCCCATGTCCAAGTCCCACATTCCAACCACCTACCTGCCTACACAGTGATCTCCCTTTGGAAGAGTCAGAAAGTGACCTAATTTCTCTAGCCTGCCCCATTGTATATTCAGTGACCAGAATTTCATCCAATTCAGTTCAACAGAAATTTATCATATGCTTCCTACTATATGCTTCATTGCAGATGTAGGGCCTTGCTCTATCTCAACTTATTTAAAGGATCACAACTGTAGATTCAGGAAATGGATCGAATCATGGAATCATATATTAACACCTGGAAGAGGTCATTAAGTCCAATCTCTTTAGTTTACAGAGAAGTAAACTGAGGCCAAAGAGGTTAAGTGACTTGCTCAGGGTCTCATATGTTAAAATGCTTGACTCTCCTTCAAGATTCAGTTCAAATGCCATTTACTCCCTAATTTCACCTCCACTGGAAATATTTTTTCTTCCTCATTTCTTAGATACCATATCTGATAGATAGATAGATATTAATAAATAGGTATTAGAGCTATCTCTGCATGCATTATACATCTTCCCTGTTAAATGGCAGAGATCATGTCCCATTTCTTTTGGTATCTCTTCCAGTACCTAGCACCACATCTCACACATAATAGGGGCTTGATAAATATTTGCTGAAATATTTAAATGTTTGCTAAGTTTTGACTATGTGTTTACTCTACTATTTAAAAAGAAAAATCCTTGAAATGCAGTTCCTTGGAATTAGGGACTATTTAATTTTTATTCACATGTATTTATTTCAAATATATTTGTAATACATTTATTCAAATGTATTCATATATGTTTATTCATATGTAGTCCCAGTGCCTGGCAAATGATAGATGCTTAATATATGTTTATTTGTGGATTGATTAATTGATTGATAATCCAGGAAGGTCTATCTATACTGCAACTCAGTAGCTTCGCAAGTTTCAAAGCTACTGTTTGTCAGGTTCCGTTGGAAGGAAAGAAAATGATGCTCTGCTCCTTGACCGTTTGGATACTGCTTCTTTGACACACTCCCCACAGGCTGTCAGAGCCATGTACCATCTCAGAACAATTTGTTCACTTCACTCAGAAATTACAAATGTGTTTTGTCCAATAAATCTAAATATATTTTGTAGTAGTCATTTTTCTTAATGGAAGTGTTTTCCAGATGTTGCCCAAGTCTAGTCATCTGGGCTCCCTTCCAATAAATGTGGAAAGTTTGTTTTAATAGGTTGTCACTGTTGCTTTGGTCTAACCTTTGGACTAATTGGTTCATCCCAATATGTTTGCACCAATATATAAAGCATCCAGGACATCAGAGATACACACATGTCCCTTGCCCGGTAAGTAAAGAAGTCATTTTGCTTTTCTGTTGAGTTCTAATTTTTCAGCTCAGAAAGTAGATGCTTTATTGAAGGTTTTTGGATAATTTTAATAGAAATAGTAGTTCAGAAGTTTAGAAGTTTTCTAGGGAACCACTTTGTGGTATTCACTTCCTGAAGGTTTTTTTTTTTAATATTAAATAGAATGTTTAAAAAAAAACAACTTGAGATGGTAGAATCCTCTGTATTTATTGTACTAAATTTTCTTGAAACCACTTACTCATTTTTTATCCAATGACATTTAGTAATTCTTAAGAATATTTTAAAATTTAAGTCTGGACTCATTCTAGTAACAAAATGAAATATTTTTAATCATTAAGTTTTTTGGAAATAGTTGAGGACAGGTTATATTGAGATTGCAATTTAGAGTTTTTATATTTGTGATTTGAGGATAACAGTAGCAAATTTGAACTGATTATTTTGATATGATAGTCTCATAATGATAACAGCCTGACAATAACATTATTTTCATCCTATTTAATCTAACAATACTAGAATAATTATAGTATAGTGTTGCAAAATTAGACATGGTCATCTCCTTCAAAAAATATAATCATTTTTAAATGTCCATGATGACATATCTAAAGTCTTACAGCTTTACAGTGAAATGGCTTTTTAAAATGACTAAAGTCTTCACCTCAGAAGCAGTAGTTCTTCAAGCTAGCCATTTAATACTTTGATATTGCTTTTCAGAGAAGATTTGATACCTGAAAACAGCCATGGAGTGGAAAGTGCTTCCTATTCACCTGTTGGTGTTTTGTCTTTTCTTGATACAAGTTTCTTCTCAAGGTACTTTAACCAACAAAATTCTGAAATGGTGTTTCCTTCTTGGCCTGAATCATTTATATGGGGAGTTTCCACTTAAGAATTATTGCATAGTATTTTGTTATCAATATTGTGAAAACAAAATTAACCATTTAAAAAATTGTTAATCTTTTTTAGCACCCTATAAACCTTCAGAACCGTGTAAAAAGAATATACAAGCATATGTTTTTGGGAGGGGAGAGGAGGAAGGAACTCCCCTTTCCTCTATATTTTATGCGAAGTGAATATCTTTATCATGTTTTTTTCCCCCAGAAAACACTTCAAGATATTTTATCAGCATATATAGGGTAAGAGGCAGCATGGTTTATTAGACAGATGAAAGGCTTTAGAATCAAGAATAACTGGATTCAAGTCCCATTTACCACACAGTAGCTGTAAGATCATGGGCAAATAACTTTTACATGCTCCAGACAACTCCCTAAGACTGTAGGTAGTAGGATACCAGCCTGGATAAATGGAGTGGGTTGCCATGCCAGAACGTCATCACATTATGAAATCACAGATCTGTAACACCCTCACTAAAAAAAAAAAAGTATGAGATAAAGTTATTTAAGGATTAAATCAAATTAACCCTTCTTTCCTGCCTTGTGGGTTAAAAAACATAGTCCTACCAGCTACCTGGAAGAAGTGGTTTGTATGTCATAGAAACAAGAAATATCATGGAAACAATTGATTAATGTAAGTGAAAAATCAAGTTGATTATTTTTGGCCAACATAATGGCAAAAGAGTTTGATGAATCTTTTTGTTGAATTAACTAAATTGACTCATTGTTTTGCCATCAGGTAGACTTGGTTTCAGTTTGGGAAAGTGTTACAAATGATCATTCTTCCTTTTTTTTTTTTTAAAGTGAGGCAATTGGGGTTAAGTGATTTGCCCAGAGTCACACAGCTAGTGAGTGTTATGTGTCTGAGGCTGGATTTGAACTCAGGTCCTCCTGACTTCAAAGTCAGTGCTCTATCCACTGTACCACCTAGCTGCCACGATCATTATTCTTCGAATTAGATAGCACTGATTTTTTAAAAAATATATATCATAGACTAGAGGCAGAAGGAATTTCAGAGGTCATCAAGCCCAACCTCTTGATTTTATAGATGAGGAAACTGAGGCTTGATGAGGTGAAGTGGTTTACCCAGAATAATAAGTTATAGGAATAGACTTTGAACCCAGGTTTTCAGACTCCAAACCCAATGTCCTAAGTGTCATTGGGGATGCACCTGTATCTGCATGCTTTTTTGATGGAGGGTTCTAGATCTGGTTCCACACCTTTGCTCATCCGTCTGTAATGTACGGTCCTAGAGAATTACTTGGAGCATTGAAAGATTACGTGATTTGCCCCGAAACCCTCAGACCTCTGGCTCTAAGCACACTCTGCCACATTTCCTCTGATCTGGATAAATATTACATAGTATTCAGTGTGTCAAACACATATCTTAATGTATATGTAGATTGGATCTGCATTAACAAAAAGGCTCAAGTATGTGATTTGTTTTTATTAGACTCTTAAAACTACGAGACTGTTGGGAATTGATTTTTCCCTCCAAGGCAAACAATCTCAGGAAAAAAAATTGAGATTGGAAATGATGTAGTGAAATTAAATTCTTAATGTTGGAATGTTATCATAAATAACTATAAACAGGTGAATCCTGATTGTCAAAATGGGCATGTAGACTACCTATGCTAGATATCTTCTCAATGATGTTCTTAGATTGATGAAAGCAGATATGAAATACTAAAAATATAAAGCTGAGCAGCTCAATGTAGGTGAACCTTTCTGTGCCATGAAAATAAAATGAGAAGCCTCTTAATTGTAGTATAGTGACAACTTAATACTAATTTTCACATACATTTCCAATGTGGCAAATGCTTCCTTCCTTCACTGCACTTTACTTTGCCATGATTAAACTAAAAAAAAAACCCACAAATAAAACAAAACTAATGTGATTAATCAATAATAACACAGAAAGGCAGGACACATTTCCTTTTTGAGGATTGTAACTTGCCTACCAAACTAATTTTTCACCTGTTTCAAAAATCTACCACCCACAAATTTGTATGAATCATCTGATTTTGTCCTGTCTGCTGCGCTCTCGCCTTCTTTCTAAATACTTTTTGCTCCTCCCCTTTATATATGTACATACATATGTACATATGTGTAGGCATATGTTTATGAAAACATATGTTTGTCTAAGAGGCCGAAACTCCTCCTAACCTTCCATGTGATGTTTGTGGGTTTTGCTATTGGTGTTCTGGGTTCACTACCTTGAGTCTTTTTCAGCATATTTTAGTCTCCCTCTATAGATCAAGGATAATTTTCTTTATTCTAGCAGATAAAAGTGACTGTTGCATAACCATGGCTGTGTGTCTCAAGGAGATTACTAAGAGGTTTTCTCCTGTTTGCTGCTTGATCATCGGAAGACAATTGTGCTTGTATGTTTTGGTTTCGTTGCCTTGTGTAGTTCTATTTGTTACCTTTACTCTCATGTGTAGCTGTTCTTGTTGGAATTTGGTTATTCCTCAGCCACTTGACCTCTGGGTGTGAGCAATTGACTGCCCAGAACCTTAAAGAGTGCAGTTCCCCACCCCAAGCCCATCTTGCAGTAGGAGTTGCTGGAGTGGGCCTGCTGGCATGGCCAGCAAATATTTACATAGGAACCGAAAAAAAAGGACCTTTTCCAATCCTGATATAGCAACTGAAGTCGGTCATGATGGCTGTGGCATAGAACCCCATGAGTTCCTTTTTATGTAAAACTATTGAAATGCCTAATGAAAGTATTCTCTCATTTCTAAGAATATGGCTACTTTCCTCCATATATTGGGATCCTTGGAAGGAGAAAGTGATATCATTGTCAGACAATGGAATAACAATCATAAACTTTTCCTACTGTGTATTTTCCTCTTTCAATCCAATGGGCACATAGCAAAATCTGCCCATTCCCCTACGCCCTATGCCTCCCTCCTACCCTTTTTTTTTTTTGCCATTCGATGTTTCCCTTGGTATCAAGTCAGCTGGTTTGGTCATGTTTACACTAGTATTGTGTAATTTTAGATTTACCAAGCTGTGCAGGGAGATGTGGGGAAGGGTATACTAGAGATGCCGCCTGCAACTGTGATTATAACTGTCAATACTACATGGAGTGCTGTCCTGATTACAAGAAAGTCTGCACTGTGGGTAAGTTCTTAAGCCCAACAGGCCCTCTGGAAAAGAGCACTGTTTCCTGAGATCCCTCCCTGTGGCCTTAGTTGTCTTGTTATTTTTGAATGGGCTTCTGTGTTTCATTTCACTGTTGTATGTCTTTCCCTCCCCTTGCATAAATGTTGCATTGTTGTATTTGAACATAGCGCCAAAACCTTTAGTTAGTTACCCAGACAAAATAACTGACTCTTGTATAGAGTCCTGTGAAGTATACAGCCAACTCCCTCCTCCCCAAGGTCCTGCTCTAGATGTGGATAGCAGAGTGTATAACTACAGTTTTCTTTGTTACATATAGAAAAGTTCGGATTGATAATCATTTTGAGAATTTAAATGTTTCATTACTTCATGATAGGGCCTAATCAATCATTTGTGCTCTAGGACATTCGTGTAAAGTACACATTATTCAAATGTTTAATATTAGCCATCAGATTCCTAAAGAACATTAAACTATAAACAATTAAAGTTGAGATCTCAGAAGTAATTAAGTGGAATCCAAAAGTAGGTAATATTGCTCCAACTCAAAATTAATTTTAAACCATTTTGTTGTTAATACAAAACCAATTTCATATTCAGTATAGGGAAAACATTATTATAACTTGTTGAAGTAACACTTGGTTTTGAACTTAGATGTAAAAACTAAGTTGCAATAAGAATATGATTTTAAATGGACCCTAATTAATTCAATGTTCCTTTAAACAAGGATGTTTTAAAACGGTAAAAAAAAAACCCAACAACACATTTTAAACTATGTAAATAGCCCATGCCATGTAATTAAATCACAATTATTCAAATTTATTAACATATGTCACATTTGTTCCTGATGATACTTATTAAATCCCATTATGATGAATACCATTGCCACAGAAGTCCTTCCTATATAGCATGAGATCTCTAAATCTAAACTGAAACCCACTTATATAAAGTAATATTTGATGTTATATAATTCCATTACAATAATTGAGACAAGTCCTTAGAGTTATTATAATGGAATTTGACTTCTAGTTGACATAGAACTCATAGAAGTGGTAGGACCACTGTAAGGAGGAGGTAGTGAAGGAGGAAATTTTGGCTAGCATCCTACAATAGTGGTGTCAGATTCAAACAGAAATGGTCCACTAATCTGTACATAAAGATCTCTGCAGGCCATATATTGACTTAAAATGCTTTAAGTGTTAAAATATAATATTATCTATATTTTATTATATTTTTATTTGTTTTGTTAAGTATTTTACAATTATATTTTAATCTGATACAGGCTGCACTTGGAGTTGGGTAGGCCACATGTGGCCCTGCAGCCACATGTCTGAAACCTGTGTTCTACAATACAGGCATTCCTGATTTACGAAACACCTGAAAACATCCTTTGCATACAAGCAGCTGGTCTAAGTCACACCAGAAACAGAGTGAGACTCCCCTACTTTATGTGGTTATCACTATGACCATTAAGAGAGTGGACAGAAGAAATAGAGGAGACATGTTTCTGGTGCTTCCTGAGCTTCACCTAAGCAGACCTTTCCATAGGAACAATGGTATTAACAGTGGTTGTGTTCCCAGGACAGTCCCCAATTATCTATTTGAGCCATATCTCTGAACTATGAGATTACTTATGGATTCAGGTGATAAAATTAAATTAAATTTCACAGAATGATAGGATTTTACATTTAAAACTGAAAGTAACCTCAGAAACCATGTGGTTCAACCCCCTCATTTTATAGATGAGGAAATTGAGTCTTAGAGACTTGCCTAAGGTCGTTGTTTGTCCTTCCTTCTGGAAGAGGGCCAGTGACATCAGGAAGGTGGTGTCTTGACTTGCAAGTGAATTGGATTTAAATGAGGCAGAGCTTAAAAAGTCATCAGCCTCACTCTTTCCTCCAAGGTCATCTGAGTCCAGTAGCAAGACACAGGTCAGGATGACTGGAGATAACCCCAGATGCAGTGGGAAACCTTGGCCTTTTTAAACTAAAGTCTTTCCTCAATCTCGGTTTGTCTGAAGCAACACCCATTCAATGATTTAAATGATTTAAAGCTAGGTAAGAAATGAGACAAAAGACTGCTTAGTTTGTCTACTGAAAAAACAACAACAACAAATAAACTGGGAGGGGAAAACCTTCAGGGTTTCTTGTCAAGACAGAAACAATTGCCTAAGGTCACACAGGTGGTAAACGGCAAAAGCAGGATGAGCCATTACTCTTTCCATTATACAAAATGGTTCCTTCCAACATAATTTATACAGGCTTTTGTGGGCTAGCCTGGGAACTTAACCATCATTCATACAACATTTCTTCTATGGGAAAATGCTTCCAAAGTTACAAATAAGAAATATCTAAATTTACTCTAGAATACAACCTGTCTACAAGTTGTGGAATGCCTCTGTGTGTGGCACAATATGAACACAATTTCACATTTATCTATCTACACACACACACACACACACACACACACACACACACACACACACACACACACACGTATAATTTCTTTTCCCATTTTGCTCTGGGTAGAGCTTTCCTGTAAAGGCCGTTGCTTTGAGTCATTTGCCAGAGGGAGAGAATGTGACTGCGATGCTGCCTGTAAGAAGTATGGCAAGTGCTGTGCAGATTATGAGGACTTCTGCAAAGAAGGTAAGTGTCTACCACAGTTTCAGTCAAAGGCTTCCTCCAACATTTGTTCACCTTTGCATCTCATTATATACTGAATTTTCTGCCTGGCTATGGTTATTAATCAGTTACCTCAGTTAAGGTAGCTAGTATCTAAAATTGATCACTTCAAGGCCATACTCTGACCAACTATATTATTAAGTGGGAATTTTCTTTCACAAAGAGAAATTTGAAGAGAAAAATAGTTTACTATCATTATATTACTTCATCAATATATTACATAAATAGTATACTATATGAAATAGTTTTCTACACTAATGAAATAACAGGTCTAGTCCCTAACCCTAACCTTATTAAAACCCACTAAGGGTTTTGTTTAGGATGGAAGAATAATAATGATAACAAAAACCTTAAATCCCTGATTATGTCTCTGCCAAGCTATCATTTGCAAAATCCTTTTCATGAAAACAAGATAGTTTTGGGAAGTGAATAAAAGATACTTGTATAATCTTATCGTTTTCTTTTTTCCTAAACATTCTTGAAACACCTGAGAGGAGAAAGATAGGAAACTGCTAAGACAGCAGAGTCCATGGGGAGATATTAGCTACTCATTGCTTTAATTGGAGCAAATCCCAAAAATGATGGAGACAACACCCTCCTAATTAAACACTTTAGCTCAGAGCCCATGCGGCTATCAGAAGAACAGAGGGTGAGTAAGACAAACCTCACTCAGAGCACTGGAATTTGTTTTGGCTGTTTGTCATACAAGATGAGGAGAGGGAAGGGAGATGGTGGTGGTGGTAAGGAGGGGATATAAAGAAATAAACATTGCAGAGAAAAAATATCTCATAAATATAAATTTTTTTTTGTCTAAACCTGTGATTTTTTGGGGGGAGTGTATCAGAGAACTCTTATTGTGGGAAAATGTCTACTGAAGATCAGCAACTCATATTTAAAATAATCTTAGAAGGTTGCCTGAAGGCCTTGTGAGGTTTAGTGATTTTCCCATGATTATACAGCCAATATATGTGAGAAGCAAAACTTGAACCCAGACCTTCCTGTCTCCAAAGCCAGCCCCTTATCTGCTGTACCACGCTGTCATATGCTTAGTCTAACCACCTTTACTCAAGGCAGAATACAATGCAGAAGGATAAATGGTTAATATTCTCAGTTGCCTAGCTTATATAGTACGTGTATATGGGAAGGATAGGGGATGTCAGTGTGGGGTTTACGTAAACTTGAGAAAGTACTTTTACCTGACAATAGAGACTGATTCCTGTGTTGTGATAGGGTTGCAAAAAACACTGCCAGGAAGTATCTCTTCAAGAAGAAGCAAAGAAAAGGATTAAAGAATATTCATGAAATCCCTTGGCATCAAATACCATTAAAACCAGCATTTCTGTAGGGCCCAAAGATTTGCCAACCTCAGTCAATAGCACACTCATTTCAAGTAATGTTAGTTACAATGGACATACAACACAACCACAGAATTTGGACAGCCATTTTTTCATCTTGGAAAGATTTGACCCATAGCTAACATTCCATTTTTTTTTTCATCACAAAGAGGAAAGCCTTCTAGCACAGTGTTCAGATCCACTTATCATGCTAATAAAGTACTTTAGAAAGGTGGTTGTAGTTACAATTCTTTAAAAAGGAAGAAATTATAAGCAGATACTGATTTCTCTTAAATACTTCCCTGCCCAGATGGCTCTTTGGCAGTGTTTCTAACAACTGTTATTGCTGGCATTTCTGAAGTGATCTCTTGCTGAGACTATTGTTAACTTAGCTTTGAGTGGCTGTTTGTTGATGGAAGCAGTGCTGTTTGATAATGCAGGCTATTCTTGGTATAGAATCCCAATTTTTCTTCTTTTTCACTGCTAGTCACTTTTCCTCATTATCCCTGTTTCATATTTTCTTTAGGGTCTTATTTCCTGGGTAAAAAAATAGCAGAAAATATATTATCATGTGTCTTTTCTAGACAGCTTGGAAATCCTACCACCCCTTCATTGTGAGTGAGGGGTAAAAGGGTGATGTTCATGGGACCATAGGATCTAGTATTGGAAGCAACTTTACAGATCATTTACTATGCGAGAGGCATGATAAACTCAGAAATGGAAACGTCTTAGAGGTGATCCAGTCCAATCTCTTCATTGAGCAGGTGGGAGGACCAAGGCTCATAGAGGTTAAGCAATTTGTTCCAGCTTCTACAGCTGGGTAATGACAGAGTGAAAATGAGTATACTCATTTCTTAACTCAGTCCAGTGTTTTCCTCACCAATTTAGTTATCATAGTATCATAGATCCAAATTTGGTAGAGTCCTTAGATTCCCTCTAGACCAGTGCTGTAATTTTACATATGAGTAAACTGAGGCTCAGTGAAGTGACTCATGCAGAGTCACACAGGTAGCAAGTACATGGAACAGCTGGCATTCAAACTCAGATCCCGAGACTGCCAAGTTCATGGCTTTTTCCATTTCATCACACCACAGCAGTGATTTAGAGCAATCACCTTCAGAAGTGGCCCAATTACTAATGTTTGCAGACTAGATGTTCAGGAATCCACACAGACTTGATTTTAGAAACATTTGCTCAGAGAGTTAGATATAGTTTTAGTTAAAGGGGAAAGATGTATTCAAAATGAAAAGGAACCCAAGTATAGCTAGATTCACTCCTTTTTTTTTGGCCAGGCAATCGGGGTTAAATGACTTGCCCAGGGTCACACAGCTAGTAAATGTAAGTGTTTGAGACTGGATTTAAACTCAGGTCCCCCTGACTCCAGGGGCATGCTCTCTCCACTGTGCCACTTAACCTGCCTCTAGATTTATAGTTTTGAGAGCTATATGGATTGTGGAATTGGCACTAACTGATGGATCTTGTTTGACCTCAGTGCATAATCCCACAACACCACCGCCATCTCCAAAGACTCCACCGCCATCTCCAAAGACTCCACGGCCATCTCCAGAAGCTCAGACCATCAAATCAACAACTAAACGTTCCCCGAAAACTCCCAAGAAGAGGACCCCTGACAAAGTGGTAGAATCAGAGGAAATAACAGAAGGTAGGAAGAAGATAACTGTGACAAAAGGAAGTTTTCCTAAGTGAATATATTACATATGCAGATGGTGGACTGGGGCTAGCATTTTATCATGGGGCTGTGAAAAGTTTGGAACATTCAGATACATGAAAGACTAGCTAAACTGTCTGAAAAAATAACTACTTATGTAGCATTTAAGGTTTGCAAGGCATTTTGCAAATATCTCATTTAATCCTCACAAAAATCTTATGAGGTAGGTATTATTCCCATTTTACAGAAGAGGAAACAGGGGCAGACTAGCAGTAACATGACTTGCTCAGGGTCACACAGCTCTTCAGTGTCTGAAGTAGGACTTAAACTCAGGTCTAGCCCTCTGGCCACTGAGCCGCCTGGCTGCCTCCATTTAAAATGGACAATTTAAAACTAAGTTGGCTTTCTTTAAAGTGCAGGTAAGGCGGAAGCATAATCATCGCTCTCTCTTTGGTTTCGCAAACCCAAGACTGAAAATAGGTATAAATCAATATGATCTTAAAAGCTCCACTCAGGCCTACCCCGAGTCTGGCTTCTAAGAAAGTTGTGCTTTTGAAGAGTACTGGCAAGGCTGGGATGTGGGAGAGAAATTCGTCCAACCAATATAATTTGGGTGCTCTTTTTTCATGACTCTGAAATATGTCCTGTCACGTGCAAGGGAGTACATGATGATGCCCTCTATTCAAATTCGTGCAGGAAATAGCCATTTTCTGATCAATAAAAGGTCCGACTCCATTCTTGTTTTATTTGAACTGGATGGACTACTGTGGAAAAGTTAACAGTTCACACAATCCACTTCTTTATTTGATTACAGAACATTCTGTTTCTGAAAATCAGGAATCCTCCTCTTCCTCTTCTTCTTCCTCTTCAACTGTTCGGAAAACCAAGTCTTCCAAAAATTCAGCTGCTAATACAGTACCCAAGAAGAAACCCAAAGGTTTGAGCATTGATACAGATCAAATGCTATATCAATGCTACATTAAGATTTTATAACGTGAAAATGTTGGGTGGAGGCAGTAATATTTGGTAATTTTTTTTTTAAAATTGGGAAAGGGACAATAACCATGTAAATACTGTTTCAGAAAATACAGAATGAAGATTTCTAGAAGTTTTCTTATAATTTAAATATAGTACATTTGAATAAAATTAGAGAATATTAGGCCAAGATGAGGATCCTATAAGGAAACAAATGACTAACCTCTTATAGGAAATTGACAAAAACAATGAATTTTCTAATCCAATTCAACCCAATTCTTAATGTTTACTATGTACAAGGCTTCGGAGATACAAGAACAAAACAAATAAAACAAATGCCCTGTCCCTGGGCACTTATAGATTATACACGTATAAAAATACATATATACACATTTTTAGCTGTTAAAATTTAAAACATCACTAAATCTTTTGGAATACTATATATATGTATACATGCACATATACACACATGTACATACATACATATGTACATATGTGGATTTCCTATATGTGAATATACACATACGTGCACACACACATATGCAAAGCTATGTCCTAATTAGTATGGATAATGAATCCCCTGAAATGGTTGTTATGTATTCAAATTTGCACTATTTGAAGTTATAATTCTGTAAAATGTGGTAATGGTTCCAACCCAATGGAAATATGGAAATCTACAATGTGAATTCAAATAATGCAATCACTTGAAGAGATTCATTATTTGCACTAATTGGGACTTAGGGGTGTGTGTGTGTGTGTGTGTGTGTGTGTGTCTGTGTGTACACACTTGTATAATTGGAGAGAGGAGAGAACAACTAGGAAGAGCAGATTCAGGAAAGGATCCTTCAGGAGGTGGCATATGTTCTGAGCCTTTCAGAAAGTTGGGGAGGGATTCTAAGAGACAGAAGTATGGAGGGAATAAACTCCAGCCTATGCAAAGACATGGAGGCTGGAGAAAAGAATGCTGTATTCCATTAACAGCAGATAAGCCAATCTGGATGAAACACAAAGTTCGTGAAGGGGAATAATATGAAATAAACCCAAAAAGGCAGCCTGGAGCCAGTTCTTTAAGAACTTTAAATGCCAAGTTAAAGATGTTGTATTTTGTCCTCAAGGTGAGAGGGAAGGCTTCTGTGATGGGGAGTGACATGGTCAGATTTTGCTCTCAGAAGAATTTTTTTTGGCAGTGGGGTAGTGGAATAGAGGAGAGAGTGGTAATCATGAGTCCAGCTAGGAGGCTGTTTGCAAGAGTCTAGGAAAGAAGTGATAAGAACCTGAACTAGGGTTGTGAGTGAAGGAAAAGGGTATGGATGCAAGGCATGTTGTGGAAGTAGAACTGACAATACTCAGCAACTAACTGGGCACCAGCGGTAGGAGGGATGAGGAGAGGGAGAATTATTCTTACTGACTCTCATGCTCTCTCCTTTCTTCTAGTCCCCAAACCTCACCTACCATTCCTCACTCTATTCAATCCCCTTACTCTTTTCTCTGATGCTCATATATACCTCTCTTCCTAGTCAGTGACTTTGCTCTCTTATCTGATGCTCTTTGACTCCGTGGTCTCTCTTCTCACTGAGTTCCATATTGACCATAGGGGTCTCACTTCTATTCCATATTTACCTTGGGGCATTTCCTATATAACCTGAAGTTATCAACATCTTGCGAAAAAAACTAATGGGGGATACACGTTTTGGGGATTTTTTTTGTTTGTTTTACTGCAGAAGCACACATTGGCCTCATTATGTGTGAGAAAAGAGTAGTTAGAGAAAGGATAACAGCTCATAGGCATATATGTATAAGAAGAAAGAGCTGGGGCTGAGACAATAGTGTTTCTTGAGAAAATGGATAAGGGAACTGGGATTATAGGATGAAGAAGATTGAGAGAGCAGATGAGAAGAGAAATGAAGAGAAGAAACGTTTGGGAAAGGAGAGTATGATGGGCATGCCCATTTTCCCTGAAATTCCATTAGTTGCCTCTCATTGTATAACAAGAATATGTTACATTTTCATAATGCTTTTTACCCTTTACATTCTTCTCTCTATTGATACAGATGATAGCATTGTGAGGCAGGGAGTACAGGTAATTTGTTACATCATCATTTTACTTATATGAAAACTAAAGTCCAAAGAAGTTATGTGACTTGACCAGAGTAACACAACTAGTAAGTGAGAGGAAGGACCTGTACGTGAAAGCAATGCAAAGGCCATTCAAAAATTAACTTGAGATGTGCATTTTTCCATAGCTAATGATTCCAAGAAGAAGAGAACCCCCAAAGACAAGCCTGCTCCAGCACCTCCAGTTGTAGATGATGCAGGAAGTGGATTAGACAATGGACCTTTCAAGCCCACTGCTGCTCCTAAAGCTGCTGTTCCTACCTCCCAGCCCAATAAAGTCACCACAACACTCAAAATGACAACAGCAGCACCACCAGTAACTTCTAAGGAGAGTAATAAGGTCACATCTAAAGAGACAACTAAAACAACTGAAAAGGAGACATCAACAGCTACTAAAGAGACATCAGCTGTAACAAAAGAGGTGACTAGTACAGATAAACATACCTCAACTACAGGTAAAGAGACAACTACTTCAGCAAAAGAAACACTGACTACAGAGACAATGACAGCTGCTAAAGACCCTAAGCCCACACCTAAGGACCCTGAGCCCACACCCAAAGACCCCAAACCTACACCTGAGGACCCTAAGACCACACCCAAAGACCCCAAACCTACACCTGAGGACCCTAAGCCCATACCCAAAGACCCCAAACCTACCCCTGACGACCCTAAGCCCACACCCAAAGATCCCAAACCTACCCCTGAGGACCCTAAGCCCACACCCAGAGACCCCAAACCTACCCCTGAGGACCCTAAGCCCACACCCAGAGACCCCAAACCTACCCCTGAGGACCCTAAGCCCACACCCAGAGACCCCAAACCTACCCCTGAGGACCCTAAGCCCACACCCAGAGACCCCAAACCTACCCCTGACGACCCTAAGATCACACCCAAAGACCCCAAACCTACACCTGAAGACCCTAAGACCACACCCAAAGACCCCAGACCTACACCTGAGGACCCTGCTCCCTTCACCAAAGACACAACTTCTGCACCTACTACACCTGAAGTGACTACAATTGCTAAGGATAAAGTAACCGAAAAAGATACACCTAATAATACTCCCAAAATCACAGCTGTTCCACCTAAGGTGACAAGTACAACCACTAAAGTGACAACGAGAACAGCCAGTTCACCAAAAGTGACAACTAAAGTGACAACTACTACAGCTAAAGCAACAACTACTGCCACCAAAGTGACCACTACTACTGCTAAAGAGACAACTACCAAAGCTGAAGAAACAGTGACTGTATCAGATGAGAAAACTCCCAAAGTGACAACTCTTACACCTAAAAAGCCAACTCCTGAAGTGACAACTACCACAACCAAAGAGACAACTACCACAACCAAAGGGACAACTGCTGCACCGGATGAGACTACAACAACCCCCAAAGTCACCCCTAAGCCTAAAACGACAACTCCTGTCCCTAAAGTGACAACTACCACAACCAAAGAGACAACCGCTGCACCGGATGAGACTACAACAACCCCCAAAGTCACCCCTAAGCCTAAAATGACAACTCCTGTCCCTAAAGTGACAACTACCACAACCAAAGAGACAACTACCACAACCAAAGAGACAACCGCTGCACCGGATGAGACTACAACAACCCCCAAAGTCACCCCTAAGCCTAAAATGACAACTCCTGTCCCTAAAGTGACAACTACCACAACCAAAGAGACAACTACCACAACCAAAGAGACAACCGCTGCACCGGATGAGACTACAACAACCCCCAAAGTCACCCCTAAGCCTAAAACGACAACTCCTGTCCCTAAAGTGACAACTACCACAACCAAAGAGACAACCGCTGCACCGGATGAGACTACAACAACCCCCAAAGTCACCCCTAAGCCTAAAATGACAACTCCTGTCCCTAAAGTGACAACTACCACAACCAAAGAGACAACTACCACAACAAAAGAGACAACTGCTGCACCAGATGAGACTACAACAACCCCCAAAGTCACCCCTAAGCCTAAAACTACAACTCCTGTCCCTAAAGTGACAACACCCAAACCAGTGACAACAACAAAAGAGACAACCACAAAAGCTAAGGAAACAACCATTGTAACAAAAGACAGAACTACTCCTTTGGTTCCAACTCCTGACCCTAAAGTGACCAACAAGAAGACTCCATCTGCACCTAAGGAACCAGTAACTACACCTAAAATCACAACTACAAGTGAAGAGACATCAGCAGTAACTGAAGTGAGCTCTACGCCACTGGCTGAGACTATCCTTCGAACCACTCCTGGACCCAACAGAAGGCCAAACTTGGAAATAACAACTCCTCTTACTATACCAGAACTCACTCCAAAGAATGAAGATGTAAATATTTTCGAGCAGCAGAAGCCTTACCTGAATCCTAGGCCTCCCGTGTTTATTCCAATAGGTATCCCGGGTTTTAGCATCTATGGGGGAAGACCCAGTCAAGGCATTGTTAACATCCCAATGCTTTCAGGTAATTTGAACAGTCTGATATTCTTCTATTTTCTGTGTGTAATGATGACATGTCTACAAAATTATATTATCTGAAATGATCAGTGTTCAGCATCAGGAAAATATATATTCCATCAGACTAGCCATGATAAGGATCAAAGGAAAAATGATATGGTAGAACATCTGGAATTGGTTTATCTTGTTATCTTTGATAGATTTTGATTTGTCCAGGCTACTTCTAGAGGTCATCACCTGAAACTGGGAGATGGTGATTTTTATGTTATTCTTTAAAAGAATTAAAACTGGTAATGATATTTTGGTACTTTTTAAAAATACGAAACATTTGAGAGCAAATTATTGCCAATCCACTAAAAGTTTAATACATCTTGTCCACCTTAAAAATGGTAAAACAAGAAGCAAACAAAAAAAACATGAGCTCACCAAAACTCCAAAAAGATACTTCAAAAAGTCTGTTACATAGGCACAATGACAGTTCATTAGTCAGTTTTTTCAGTAGTCTTGAGTTGAAGAATGCTGATTTTTTTACCAGCCACTCCTGAGATGTTTCTGGTATCTTGAAGCTGTCCACATTTGACATGTTTCTCTAGGTCAGCAGCAATCATCAGTCTTTTGAAACCAAGGCACTAAATGGTACAATGACCATTCAGTGAGCCTGAAAGCTCATTATAAATAAATGACTCTTTAAGAGCCCTACATTTCTTATACTGTCAAAAGAGCTGGTTGAACTTTAATCTACAGACTCCTTTAAACATTTCAATGATAAAAATCTCAATCCTACCATAAAAAGTGAAATGAAAACTTCTTCAATACTTTATGCTTTAGTAGTATTTAGCAGTAATACTTTAGTAGATCTGTAAGCTAGTTGATAAGGGTACTCCCTCCAACAGGCAGACCTTGAAACCTGCCCACACTTTCTTATTCCATGTAGCATTTCTCCTTGTCCTCCAGTAAATACTTCACAAGAAGCCCACCCACCATTCTTGGAGCCTTCTGATAGAGGTGTCTAGATATTATATTGATTATATGTTATATATCATATATTATATTGATAGTATGTTATATGGATTACATTATATTGTTATGTTATGTTATATCATATCATATCATATATTGATACTACTGAGTACACAGCCTTTCTTTTTTCTGAACTCTCCTCATCTCCCCTTGACTCTCCCTTCTCTTAGCTGCTTTGTCATTCGAGTTCTGAGAAGAAAAATCAAATCAATCCTGCCATTCCTGGTAAAGATACCTGAATCAATTGCTTATCATTCTAATCACTATTCTCTATGACTTTTTCTCTCCAAAACAATATTTCTGAGCCACCTCTCCCCAATGTGTGCTATCTTCTTCTGTTAGAATGTAAGATCCTTGAGGGCAGGCTGTTTTGCTTACTTGTATTTTTATCACTAGCACTTACCATGGTGCCTGGTACACAGTAGAACATGAGCTGGACTGATGATTTCGTTGGTATAGGGAACTAACTCCTGGTGAGCAAACTCTACCTATAAAAGTTGGCATTTTTGTTGCAGCTTATAGCTAGAGAGTTGACGAGAATGAAGAGAAATTAAGTGAGTTGCCCAGGGTTACATAGCCAGTATGAATTAGAGTTCTTCCTGTCCAATTTCCATCTATTATGTCATGCTGCCTTTAGTAAGTCCTTAATCAATGCTTTTTTCATTCATTCATATTCATTCATTTTCCTTAACTCTTCCTCTCTTTTATAGTCATAATTTTTTGATAATCTCTTTTATGCCACTTCTTGTATACACTTCTTCACTAGTAAAGTGTTTAGTCTACTAACATGCACTACATAGCTCTCTATTGCCTTGGAATAACCTATAATTATGATTCTTTGAAGACAGAGGTATTTATTCCATGAGTCATAATGGAAACCTATTGGGTTTAAAAAATGGTTGGGTTTTTTTGTTTGTTTCAGAGAAAATCTTAGGGTCATTTAAAGTAGTGCAAAATTTTCCAAATGCAATTTAGACTGCTATTTTTACTCCTTTTCATTTCTGGGCCTAATTTATTGCCCATCTGCAGAACTGAACAACAACAAAAAACAAAGGTTTTCCACATTGGGTTAAAGTATCCTCGTAGAATCACAAAGTTTTAGGTTTGGATTCAGAAATCAGCTAAAGGTCTAAGATGCTCATTCCATAGGAGAAAACTGAAGTCAAGTGGTTATGTGTCAAGGCCACATAACTAGGGAGTTATCAGTCAGGCCTAGAACCCAGGGCTCCTGACTATATTTAGATTCCATGAAAAAGAGCTTTAAACTTACTTGGTTGGTCTTTTAAGTTTAACTTTAGTGGAATACTTTCTAAACAGAATAGAATTATGAAATATATGATCATCTTATCACCTTTGAAATCCAGTCCTATCCCTTCTGTTTTGAATTATGTTATCTAAAGGCAGAAATTAGGATTAAAAAAAAGCCACTGAATGTAGTAGAATCTAGAGGAAGGAATGAAAAAAATTATTTTATGTTTTATATTCTCCTTCCCTTCTCCACCTCATTCTCCCACCAATGTATACTTTATACTGATTATTTCAGATGAGACTAACTTATGCAATGGGAAGCCAGTAGATGGACTGACTACTTTGCGCAATGGGACATTGGTCGCATTTCGAGGTGAGCTGAACATAAAAAACCCTCTCTTCTTACTGTTTGACTTTGTGGCATTTATGAGAATACCACAGCTGTGAAATATTGTCTTGGGGGGGAGCATGGTGTTGGATCTGCTCATTGGAAAAGACTCATATGATGCTTCCAGACACTGGGACTTTCAGATATTGTCTTTGTAAAATATGCTGTATGAAAAATGTGGTTGCCTACTTGGAGCCTGAAGTGAAATAAATGCATTCAGAGATGCATTCAAAATACTTGGGCAGGTAGGATATTTCTTCTCTGCCCATGAGGTTGTGCCAGTTTCATTTCATGCTGATTAGTATGACTTCAAAATTTCTACTTCTTGCCTTTCTTTTGGAAAAATATCACTAAAGCTTGATGCATAGATGTAGGTATATCAAAAAGGCAGGAAGGGAAGTGGATGAGTTGTTCAAGGTCACAACTAGATGGTTGCAACATAAATTTTAGTTCTATCATAATCCTTATTCCATATATTTGCACCTCCGTGTTTGCTTCACAGATTCATTGGTTTTTCTGCTCTAGGTACCCTCTCTTCCTACACAGGCTGCAACCTAATACACCTTACTAGACAATCTTCATGAATTGATGTGACTAAAAATGCCATCACCTTGTGTCCAACCTTCTGGGCTTAGGCTTCTGAAAAAAAAAAAACCAAAAAAACTAGTCTGTCTTTGAACAACTGATGTTGTCTGTTGCCAGGATGGTACTCAAAGCCTTGACACCTTGGTAGAACCTACTAGGGCTTGACCTCTGTTGGCATTGCTTTCAAGAGCCCAGGGTCATTCTATCACACCAAGATAGAAGTACTGGAGTTGGATTTTAATGGAGAATAGCCATATTTACCCTGTAAGCATTAGATTATTTTGAATCTGGAGATCTTAATTATCAATCTTTTTGTTATTTCTTAAGAAATTTTAATAGCTGTGCTAGTGTAATTTTGAAAATGTTAAGATTTTCACATTGGACAAGAATTCCCAATAGTGCTAATACTTTTTATTCATATATTGATTTCTATTTTTCCAAAATGTTTTCATGCATACAAGGATGGCTACCTTGAAGAAGTTCCAACTGTAAACTGGCTTTTGGGATAAAATTAAGTCACTATGTTTACTCTTTTCTTACATCTTTAGGTCATTATTTCTGGTTGTTGAATCCATCCACTCCACCATCACCAGCTCGAAGAATTACTGAAGTTTGGGGTATCCCTTCTCCCATTGACACTGTCTTTACTAGATGTAACTGTGAAGGAAAAACTTTCTTTTTTAAGGTGAGTAAAATAACTTACCAAAAAAAAATGGCAGCAGTAATTTTGCTCATTGATGTATTATTGGTCATGAGGGTTCAAAAAGATAGGCTAACGTTAAGTATCACAGAGCCATTCTACTCATAAGTTTTTGTTCATGGATATTTAATGATAAGAACAACAAAATCTAAAGATTACCAGTTAGTGAACTGTGTTTCTAGATTCTTTCTCCTCTTATTTATAAAAAGATGAAATGTATCTGTAGGCATAAAATTAGATTTAATCTTAGTAGACACATATTTAATGGTTCATCAGTATCCAGGGATGGGGAACCTGTGGCCTTGAGGCCATATGTGGCCTTCTAGGTCCTTGGATGCTAGGTCCTTTGAGTCCAAGTTTTACAGAACAAATCCTTTCATTATGGGGATTTGTTCTGTGAAGTTTGGATTCAGTCAAAGGATCACACTTGAAGACCTAGAGGGCCACATGTGGCCTTGAGGCCGCAGATTCCCCACCCCTGCTTCTCCACCAATGATAACTGAAAACCATCCAAACTTCTACACATGCTTTCATGAGTTTCTCTAATCAAAAATAAACAACAAAAAATATACGTGGCTGTAAAATTTTTGGTAATGAGCCTCTTTAAACACAGTGAGGCTGTTTCTCAAATGGCGTATATTCACTGGACCCATGCTGGGCCATTTCTAGCTTGGTAGGACCCTTTGAATTTGTGCTCTGCCCTCCACAATGTGACTCCTATCTCCTAAAATATTCTAGTAGTATTTGTCTCCCCCTCCACATCTCTACCCTTTTCATCTACTATTCATTCTTGTCAAGTTGGTCTAACTATTCCCCATACATGACAGTCTATTTCTTCCTTTGGTCCCTCTGCACAAATGCATCAGTCCAGAATGCACTCCCTTAACTCCATTTTATAGAATCTTTAACTCAGATGCTACTTCCTAAAGGAGGCTTTTCCTGACACAAACTCCTCCCTACTACTAGGTACAAGAAGACTTTCTCTTGATGCTTGTATTAACATTATATTTATTTGTTCACGTATACATTCTATTATTAATAGAATGCAATCTCCCTGAAGGCAGAAACTATTTCTCTATTTCCCAACACCTAGTGGCACACAGACACTCTACAGTTACTTGATGTATTGAAATTGTTGATGGCATCATATTTTGGAAAGGGCACTGGATTTTCATTTCATTATCTGGCTCCTTATCTTAATACTTGTTTGACTTTGGACAAGTCATTTAACCCAGTTTCTTTATCTGTAAAATGAGGAGTTGGACTGGTTGACCTCTAGGTCCTTCCAGCATAGGTCTGTGGTTCTGTGATCCTAAATGAATTTGAATTACCTCTGTACCATGATAGAGCAGTAGTAGGAGATAACTTACAAAAAATAGTTTCCACTAAGATAAAGGTTTTACCTCAGGCATTTAATTAAGGAAGTATTTACTAAATTCCCTCCTCCCTGCTCCCCGTCTCCTACCCCCCAATTTACTAATATTTTGTTATCACGTATTAGGATTCTCAGTACTGGCGATTCACCAATGATGTAAAAGATCCAGGTTATCCTAAATCAATTGTTAAAGGATTTGGAGGTCTAAATGGGAAAATAGTGGCAGCTCTATCGATAGCAAAATACAAAAACAGGCTGGAATCTGTGTATTTTTTCAAGAAAGGTACGTAGAGTTTAAATTATCTGCAGAATTATGACACTTTTAAGATGTGTACAAAAATCAACATACTTGAGACAGCTGAAGCTTTGGTTGCCAGGGAAACATACATCTACTTAACTTCTGTGTTTATTATTAGGTTTACTGCTACCAAAGGTATTTTTCGGCTATAGCTGCCTTGTAGATAGGGGAGTACTAGCCTGGGAGTCAAAGGACTGGGTTCTAGTGCCCACTAGTCTTGCTGCTCTACCATTAATTTGCTTGCCTGATCTTTGTAAAGTTGCATGAAATTTTTAGGCTTCAATTTTCCTGATTCATAAAACAAAGGCGCTATAAATATATTGAACTAAAAGTTCCTCTCTCTGCTAATTATTTTAATAACTGTTTTATGATTTTAATGTAATGCCTCTTGGAATAATTTTTTGGGGGTGCTTAAAACATGAGACATGAATAATAAACCAGTTCAAACTTTGAAAGCTACTTTTTTATCTTTTCCTAAATGAACAACTTTCACAATATAATCTATTTCCATATCAGGTGGCACCATTCAACAGTATACTTACCAACAGGAACCAATTAAAAAGTGTTCTAGAAGATCCACTGTAAACTATTCAGTTTATGGAGAACCCACCCAAGTCAGGAGGCGTCGCTATGAGCGGGCTATCATTCCCTCCCAAACACATACCATTAGAATAAGCTATTCACCTGTCAGAGTCACTTATCAAAAAGGTAAGCCACATATTTTGTTACATATGTTGTTAGAATGAAAGTTTAAATGATTGTTATTTGGCTTCATATAGTAAGGCTATGAGCAAACACCTAAGCAGTCTGAATCGGGGGACGTGGAATTCAAAATTATGCCATGATTTATGTTACTTGGTACAAAACCTTTATTCCCAGAAATTACACAAAGGTCAGTGTTGTACTGTCCCCCTACTTTACTTCTCTGTCTGGGAAAGGAGTTTCATTTACTCGGTTTGGCTTATGGTCTGATTTATGGTCTACTTATGGTCTTAAATATCTTTTGCGATATAAAAAATGTGTCTCACACACATAGGTTTGCTGCATAATGAAGTTAAAGTGAATACACTTTGGAGAGGCCTTCCAAATATGGTTACCTCAGCTATAGCACTGCCTAACATTAGAAAACCTGATGGCTATGATTACTATGCCTTTTCCAAAGGTAAGTGATTAAGATAAATCTTAATGGCTCTATGAGCTGACTATTCAACCACGAATAATTCAAAGACAGACAATTGTGAACTGGTGACTAGAGAGATAAGATCTAAATATCTTTGCTTCAATCATTTAAATTTATAGGTATAAAAAATTGTATCCTATCATTACGGAGATTGGAACTCTGTAAAGTTAAATAACAGTAATCCGAGTAAAATTTTGTAGATCGTCTGTGAAGCTTTACTACAAATTTCAGTATACAGAGTATACAGATTTAAGTTTGCTAAATTCATTTAATTTGCCTAAGAATTTTCCTCCAGTTCATTATTTTACAGATTAGTGTGGACACTTTTTTGAGGGGCAGATAGAATAATTTGACACATAACATGTAAATGAATTAAAAAAGGATTTCATTTGCTGGTTTAAAGTAAGAAAATTTGTGTTCAAATCCCAGCTCTTTCACTTACTCTCTGAAGGACATTGGGAAAGTTATTTAACCGACCAGACGACCACAGGTCTATATGACTCTTCTAATTTTGAAAAATGTTCATTTAGAAATTATTAACAGTCACCTATCTGAAATGTAGCAAAAGTTCATATTTCAAACAAGTGTCTTGTTTGTCAGAAAATTTGAATATCAAATGAGAAAAAGGGCTTTAGTGGGATAATAAAAACAAATTATTTCTATTTTATTAAAAATGTTTTCTTTTCATCTAGATCGATATTACAACATTGATGTGCCTAGCAGAACAGCAAACTTAATCATCACCCGTTCTGGACAGACACTATCCAATGCCTGGTATAAATGTCCTTAAGTCTGATTTCAAAAGAAATGAAAAACTTAAAAGAAAATAATATTTTGAGACAAAAACGATTTTATTAAAAGTTGTTGAAATGTGTGCATACCAATTTAAGTACAAAGCACGTTTAACCTCAGCAATCACTACACTAAAACACTAGCAGATATGACAGTCTTATTAACAATTAAAATAACAGTTTACAAAACTTTTAATTAATATTTCCTCTGTTTAATCCTCCTCTGCCTCCCATTGCATGGGTGACACCTGTAGGAGGAAAAAAAAGAAGCAAATATAAATATTCCCTTTAAAAAAAAATCTATCAACAAGGGTGTCAGGTTTTCCACTCTATTTTTATGACAGGCTAGAATGCAAATGATTTCCAGTTTTTATTACTATTACATATTTAAAAGTGAGTTTTACATTTTTATGACACTAAGACTCAGTATACAATTTCTGTGTAGGAAAGTAGGATAAAGGAACTATTAAAAGACTCCTCCATCTTTGTATTAGTTAGGTAGAATCACCTAAAAATACTTTCATTTGTGTTACATGTAAAGAGGAAACATGGGAAGTGATGGTTAAAGATCAGATACAACATTTCAATTTTTCAAATTTTATTTTAGATGAGGAAAGAACATAATTACATAATGTGTCATCAGTCAAATGTAATGATGCAATAACCCTCTTTCCCCAAATTAGTCCCTAAAGTATACATATTTGGTAGAGAATGTTAATTTGCTCAGGTTTAGGACTCTTGTTCTGATTCACATGAACTATTTCTCCCTCCTGCCCCTCCACCCAACCATGTTCTTAGTCATGAGAGAATCTTACCTCTTTGTCGGTTAAACTGACGACCCCGGACACCTGTTCTCAAAGTCTGAGGCTGGAGCCTAACTCGTCTGAAAGGCTTAGGTTGACTACTGCTAGTATCTGAGAAGAGAAGATAGCTTAGATGAGTTTGTCACTGAAGTAAAAGCTAATTGCATGAATGGATAAAACTGCAAACAAATGTCCTTTAGATTTAATGTTTTTAAAAACTATTTAATCATGTAATATGTTGAATTTTTAAAAACAAAATAAAAACCTCAGAATGAAAAAGTGCTTACCTTTTTTCTTTGACTTTTAAATATTATCTGGTTAACTGAATGACATTAATTTCATATAAAAAACTTCAAAGAAGGAGTGAACTATTTTATCTATTCTAAACAACTGTTAAGAATTATTACTTTGATTTCTCAAGTCAAAATAATTTATCAAGAAAACCACTACATTTTTATGCTTCATTTGTTCTTTCTTTAAAATATCTTGATCTTAAATGACTAGTTCCTTTCTCTTGAAGTGAACATCTCACGAAGGGGAAAGGGCTCAGGCTTCCTAATTATTTCAATAAACATTTAAAAACTACTTCTATGAACTTTACATGCTACATATGGATAGTCACAAACACTTTGAAGTTTGCTTCACATTTATATTTCTTAGGAAAAAACCTGGGGGGGGGGAAGGGGAGGGGAGAACATCAGAACAGTCTGTATATATATTCCTAAACTTTGGCAATGGAAGAAAGCATTGATGATAACAGAAAATTTCAGAAAGACTACATGTAACACAAGTTAGGCAATAGTGGATAGGAGGAAATGTGCTTTAAATTGGGGTGCCACTAAGAAGTGCCCTGAATTTCCAGAAGAAATTCAGGAAAAAGGCTGTGTGTGTGTCTGTGCGTGTGTACGTGCATGTGTAGGAGAAAGTGCTGCTGTTGGGGAGTTAAGAGACATGAATTTAAGCCCTGCATCTGACGCTTACTAGCTGTGCGACAAGTGGGATAGTCACTTAACTTCTAAGTGCCTCAGTTTTGTCATCTGTGAAATGGAAATAATACTTATTTTCCACACTCTTGCTGTGAAGATAAAAATGAGAAAATACATGGAGACTATTTTGTAAACCTTACAGTGCAATATAAATATCAGCAATTATTATGTTCCTGTAGTATAGTACTATAAAGGCTTTATCATCCCTTTTCTTGTAATTGGCCTAGAAAATTCTAGAAGGCAATATTACAAAACCTTCCGCTAATGCTGGATCCACCTACCTAGGAGTGAGTCTTATGACACCACAAAATGGGGTGTGGGTGGGTTTGAACCAATAATATAATCCAGAGAGCAAAAAAATACTCTGAACAGATCACTGAGAGATCAATATATTAATATACCAATAACTGAAACAAATCTATCTTAAAACTAAGAAATAACTTTCAAGTTTTAGAATGATACAGCTTATATTTACATAGAATTCTAGTTACAAAATACCTTACATATTTCAATAAGCCTTAAAGTATAAAGTAAAAGAGTGTTATTTTACAGATGTAGACATGGGAACTCAGAGTTTCCATAACTCAGAGTTAAGCCGTAAGATCACAAAACTAATAAGTAAAGGAGCTGAGATGTTATTCAGTACACAAATTCAGTTCTACTTATTTCCAAACTCTTCTATTTTTCATACCCCTTAGGATCTTCAAGAAACTTCAAAAATGTGAAAAGGCCAATTTTTAAACTATTTGACTGACTGACTGAATGATTTAGCAACTTCTTATTTCTTGATTCGCTCCTCACTTCTGAAGGTCTGAAGCATTTGCTATTCCTGCCCAATAAACAGAAAACTTCTGCAACAGTGACTTCAAAATGAACTTGGTGTTCCTCTACTTAATGGTGCATATCTGTATACCTATGTCTGTATATGTGAGCACGTACAAAAATAAGTAAGCCTGTGACAGAAACAGTGTAAGTGTATTAAAAAGATCTTTGACTTGGGTTTGAGTTCTGCCTCAGACACTTACTAATTGTGCAATCATGGGTAAAGTCACTTAATTTCTCAGAACCTCCGTTTCTTGTCTTTAAAATTTGAATACTACTCCTTTCACTGCATCTCACAGGGTTGTAGTGAAGAAAACGCTCTGAAAGACCTAAAGCACGATATAAGGAAACATGTGTTGTTATTATCATTAATTAGAAGAGGCTGTATTAAGAGCAGGTTGGCTGCATCTCTGGTCTAGTCAAAGTAACAGAATGTACCTGCAGAGGAGCTGGACGGAGGATCTTGGCTGGTAGAAGGAAGATCAGACTCATCAGATGCCTGAACAGGTTCTTCCTCCTGCTGACTATCAATTTCTAGGCCTGTTTCCGAACTAATTCTAATAGAGAGAAAAAAAGGGGGGGGGGAACTCATTAGGAACTACAAAAGTGCTTCTAGTGGTAAAATGCTAAATCAGTTAACTAAATGCTGATAAAGAGATTATAACTTGTAAATATCGCATAAGGACAAAATCTCTGACAAGCATACAGAGAGGCCACTTTGCTAGATGATCATTAAGGATCCTTCCATTCTGAATTTTATGATGTATACAATGGGTTCATGTACAAAATATATTAAATCCTTATGGAAATTCCTCTAGATTTTCCTCCAATAATAACAAGACAAGGAGCAGCCTGGCGCAGTAGATGGAATGCAGCTTTGTAGCTGGACCTATACTGGCTACATGATGAGGGGGAGTTTATCAGCATGTAGGTCACTTAACCTTTCAGTGCCCCAGGAAACTCTCTAGGCCAAGTTGTAAAGCAGTTGCTGATTTGCAGCAGCGAAAGGAGTTTTCCACAAAGATGGTTCAGGACAAATTGCACCCCAATCCCAAACCCCTCCCCAAAGCCCCCTTTTCCTTCATCTAGAAAGATTTTCTAATCTTTGATTATATCCTTTATTTTAATATTAAGCTATGTTTTCCTTTTCTCTGAAACCACATAGGCTTCCAAGGAAATGATTATGAAAGTCATAAAAAGTTGCTTGTTTGTCAGGACCAGTATTTTACAAAGTATTTTAGTGTTATTTCAAGTACTTAAAAGACATTCTTAGCTGTGAAAGACCAGACTATATAAGTTGTGGATTACCCAGATCACCTGCTTCTTTTTCCTTGGGCTTTTTGGTAATCTGAATGCTCATTTGCACCCTCACAGAGAAATAAAAGGCCTTTAAATACTCAGCAACGAATTAAATTCCTGGTAAACAGCTCTTGATGAAGTAGCTTTCTTACTCAAACATGTGACTTTTTTTTATCCACGTATTTAAAATTAATCCTTTTTCTTCATTACCACGATTAAATAAAGCTGGTTACAACTTAATTTCATGCTATTTTTCAAGCTCAAAACCTATTTAGTTAGTACTAGTAGTACTTTTCTATCACCCAAACTATCAGAAAGCCAGGCTATAGAGCCATTTTTGCAGGCAATAAAATATGCTATTTTAAGATTTGCATTTAATGGTTTTTTTCCCCTCATGCACCATACAAAGAAATGTGGATGAGAAATATTTGATCATGCACTGAAATGTGGTTCTGATAAGAAAAAAAAATCTCCCAAAACAACAATAAAACAAAAAACTGAGTGCATCTAAGGGAAATTTCATGCAATTTGTTCTAGCACTGACTCCATTAAGGCACCATTGTTAACTAAAGCAACAAACAGGAAGAATATACATGATGAAAACAATTCCTTTTCATAGAGGCAACATTCAACATTCTAGGTAGCTGGGTAGTGATTATCATTATTATTTTTTGGTTTAAATATGTGTCCATGAGGCCCAAATAATGACTGACTTACTCCAATTTTCAGTCAGAGAATCATATATAGAACATTCAGTATTGCTGGTGCCTAACTATCCGAGTAACTGACAAACTCAAGGGAATCTGCCAATTCTCATCAAGGTATGAGGGAAAAAAACACTGCATCAAAATTTTACAGCTCAAAGTTATCACAGAAATCACAAAGCTCACTCCCTTAACTTTACAGAGGACACAAAGGTTAACTTGGTCAAGTCTTCCCATTGAATAACTGGCAGAACTTTGATTGGGACTTTTCAGATTGCCTTCTTGGGACTCTTCCACTACAGTGCCACTTAGAAATACTATGTCAAAAAACCAAGATTACTAGAATGTCCTAAAATAAACCATTCTAAATGATTCAAAAAACAATGTGGCTAGCTTAATCATGAAATCAGCTGTATTTTATAGTTTATCAAAGGTTTATTTATTTTACCAATATGTGAATGTTTCAAACAACTAATTAAAACTGATTTGATGAGGTAAGTTTTTAAATAATGGCATTTCAGAGTCATTAGTTACAGAAATTAAATTGCTCTCTGAATCAGAGGGTAATCACTTGATTTTCAAAAATTTCCCTTCTTGTAAGGGCAAATGTCAACTACCCAAGTTAATAACGTTAGGGGAATCATTTGGTATTTTGTTGCCACACAGGAACCAACAACATGAGACAACGACTAAGAAGCTTGCTTTGTTGTAGACAATTCAATTTTGAAATAGCAAATTCTTATTTAAAAATTCAGAGAGGATATAAATTTCATCCCACTGTTACTTACCCCACTAGCAATTTCTGATGTTTACAGACACACTTTCCATAAACTAAAACATATTTCATGACCCTAAACTGTTAGTAAGTATTCTGAGTCCTAAAGAAAGCATTATTCATCAAATAAACAAATTACCCTTCAGGTTCTGTCTCCACAAATACTTCATCTCCATCATCACCTGTCCCTGTTTCTGTAGTCGTGGATAAACTGCCAGTGGATGTTGTCACCATTGGAACAGATTGAGATGCATGCTCAGAAGAATCAGTAGTAGTGCTTTCTGTAAATACAGTCACTAAAGAAGACAGGAAAAACAATTTAGTTTAAATTCTTTGGCACACAATATTTAGTAAGAAATTGGAGGGGTCAGACAACAGTGTTTCCATTTTTTAAGAAAATATTTTTATTAATTTATTTTGATTTATCAACAATCGCTTCCATAAGCTTTTGAGTTTAAAATTTTTCTCGCCCTCCCTCTCCTCCACCCTCCCCAAGATGTTGCAAAATCTGATATAGGCTTTACATATACATTCCTACTAAACATATTTTCACATTAGTCATGTCGTAATTTTTATTAGAACCAATAGGAGAAACCACCAGAAAGAGGAAACAAAACAAAAGCAAATAGCATGCTTCGATCTGCATTCAAACTCCATAGTTCTTTCTTTGGATGTGGATAGCATTTTCCATCATAAGACTTTTGGAGACGTCTTAGATCCTTGCATTGCTGAGAAGGGTTAAGTCTATCAAAGCTAGTCATCGTACAACATGGCTAATTAAACAAACTACTAAACCTAAGCATCTGGTATCACATTTTACAAACTGATACTTACCTGGAGCTGCAACTTGTAGGGGAGTAGTAGGAACGCTTCGGCCACCAGATTCTTCTTCATGTGCTAGGAAGAGGGGTGTTTCATACATACCTAAACCTAAAGACAATTGTGTTAATGACCTCACTAAATACCTATGAGAAAAAAAAAAGGTTCCTGAGTACAATTCGAGGTAAAAACTAAGTTGTTTATCATTGCTCAAGCCTGTTGAAATATTTAGTTTGGTCATTTTAAATTGGCAGATAAAGCAGAAATCATGATTCTTTGGAAACATTTAAAGTTCTAAATAAAACAGAAAACTTAATATACTATCAAAATTAAAGTGTAAGAATTTAAATGATTGTTGCTTCAGCAACACTACTATTAATCCAAAAATTTCTTTGTTGTAGGCTTTAATTTTTTTAAATATTTGTCATAAACAGTCCCTTTTATTTTTTAAAAAATTATTATTATTATTTTTTTGGTGAGGCAATTGGGGTTAAGTGACTTGCCCAGGGTCACACAGCTAGTACATGTCGAGTGTTTGGTCTGAGGCTGGATTTGAACTCAGGTCCTCCTGACTTCAGGACTGGTTCTCTATCCACTGCGCCACCTAGCTAGCTGCCCTATCAGTCCCTTTTATTAATACATTTTCTCAACACTAAAGTGAAATAACTTAATTTAGTTAAATTAAACATTTATTAAACATCCACATGCAAGAAAGATACTGTGCTTGCAATTTATTAAGTACATATTATGTATGAGGCAAAGAAATAACTAAGATACAGTCCCTTTTCTGAAGAAGTTTATAGCCTACTTGGTAAACAAGACACATGAAAGGATACCAATACAGAGGAAAGATGCAAAGCTCAGGAGACCTTCCAGCAAAAGCTAGCCTAAGGACTCAATTATAGATAATGACACACTCATGGTACACAAAACTTCCACTAAGCTCCAGTCACTTAGCTATCTCATTATTCAGAAAATTTAAGTGATTCAAAGGCTTGTCTAGTATTTACCTCCTTGAGACGCAAGCTGACCAAGATCTGAGTGGCTAGAGCTTGTTTGCGGCATATCCTCAGGGGGTCCAAACCGGAACCTAGGAACACCAGCAACCTGAGGTGAACTAGAAAACAAGTTTCTAGTTGAAATTTTGCAAAATCTGACCTACGGGTTTCTTTTGTCAAAAAGCATATTACTTTAAGATACTTACTATGTCAAGGAAGGAAACAGGTTTAGAAAAAAAATCAAAGGTCACTAAGAGCAAGAAAAAATTATATTTCAGAAAAGTAGGATTGAAGACAAGTGGAAAAAAGAATTTAGGGTCAAGAAATGAACACACTATCCCAAATATCATTTATACTTGGTTTTGGAATATATGTGTATATTAGAAGGCCATAAATCGATGTTTTAATCACATATATATATTTATATTTTTTGGGGGGGGGGTTAGGCAGTGGGGTTAAGTGACTTGCCCAGGGTCACACAGCTAGTAAGTATTATGTGTCTAAGGCCAAATTTGAACTCAGGTCCTCCTGAATCCAGGGCTGGTGCTCTATCCACTGTGCCACCTAGCTGCCCCTAATCATGTTACTATTAAAATTAGTTTGTACTTCTTGCACTCTCTAAAATATATCAATTGATGTTGGAGGGAAACTACTCAGAAGTATGCTGGATAACAGTAACAAATCAGTGTGGGAATAAAAAGTGTGAGTATGATTGGATTCTTTTCTGGAATTCAGAAGCAACATATCCAAAGAAGTAGAAAATTTTTAATATTTAAAATTCTTATAAACACCTGGACAATTTGATAAGGGAAAAAAAGGAAGGAAAAGGAGAACAGAAAAAAATTATTCACATAATGACTTACTGAATTGCTTCTGCAAAACCATCTGTACGATGTGGTACCACAAGAGTTGGGGTACTTGGAACAGTCCTGTCCTCATCATCAAAAAAGTGCTGCTGCTAAAGCAAAGACTAAAATTAAAAGCTACACAAGAATTCAATATTTAGAACAGGTTGTGCATGTAGTAGGTGCCTGAGGAAAATGTTGAACTGACAATTTTCATCTTCTGCTAGATCTATCTGAACTGCTACAAATACCACAAGTTTCCTTACAACTCAGTGAAACTGATAAAACTATTTCCAACGAAAAAGAGATAATGGAATTGACAACCAACAGTAATTCTAGCCTTTGTAAACTAGTTGGGAGGTCCCTGGCATCATTATTAAGCCCGTTAACTGTGTATTTTAGAAGAACACAAAACTTATCTCTTTGTGCCAGGCACATGCTAGGTGCCGGACATACAAAGACAAATGTGAAATCAGTCCCTGCTCGTGAGGAGGTTATAGATAAGTACACACATAAATAAAACCCAAATATATACAAAGTACAAGGTACAAGGAGTATTAACAACCTAGAGTCAAGAAAGGTCACTTAGAGGAGATAACCACTGAAGGGAGCTTAGGGGTTTCCAGAGGAAGAATGAAGGAGGTAGCACATTCCAAGAATGAGGGTAGAGCAGAAGTGGCAGGGTCTGGGGAGGAATAAGGAGAGTTGCTTATAGGTAGCCTATACAAAGGCATGGAGATGAAGTGTTATATACAGAACAAGAAGTTGGCCAATTCAGTTGCATTACAGAGTATAGGAGCAGCTGGAGGGGAGAAAGTACTGTGTCTTACCATCTTAGAAAGATAGCTTGTAGCCACATTGTGAAGGCATTAAATGTTAAGCATGGAAGTTTGGATCCCAGAGGAAATAGGGAACCCCTGGACTTTATTGAGCAGGGGAATAGCATTGTCAGACTTGTGTGTTACAAATAAAAATGTAGCAGCTGTGGAGAGATGCTGCATAAAGGGAGATAGTATATTAGAAGGCTACTCTAATAGTATAGGCATGAGATAATGAGGGCTTGAATGAGGGTGATGGTCATGGTGTAGGCAAAAGAAGGGGACATATCTGAAAAATAACACAAGATATAATTTATGAAGATTTTAATTTAGTGTTGGAAGTTTTTGGAGCAAAAGCCATTGAATGAAGTTACTACTCCTTGAGGAAGGAATTTTATTTTGTCATATGCTTGACTTTTTAAAAAAATGCTAACATATAACTGCTATTTCAAACTTATCTTACAAACCAGAGTTGGAAATGCTTTTAGTCCAGACAATATTTTCTTAAGCAGTTATTACACTTACCATACCACCTATCCCAGGAGTCAGCTGAAGCCCTCGTCCAACTGACTGTCTTCGTGTCATCTGGATTCTCTGTGTGGTAAGGAATAATAGGATGATATTTTCTAAGGGACTTAACCAAAACCAAACAAAACAGTAAGGAAGAATAGAAGCAGCTAACCAGCTAATTACTGAATTACCTAAAGCATAATGAAAAAATTATTCTTTGATCATATTAGCAACTATGCAATGATCTGAATCTTGGATTAAAAAACCAGGAAAACCCCTTGATTTGGACTAAGGGTAGATAAAGCAAGTATAATAACAGTGTATAATATTTTTTAAATGAAACTTTATTTTCAAGTGCATATAACTAATTAAACCAATAAGGTATTACCAAAAAGAAAAATAAGACTTGTGTTTACTAATAGGAAAGATATATAATTATGTGTATTTCCTATAATAAGGCTTATGCTTAATCCCTTTTCTATTTAAAAATGTTATCAACTGTGCTGTAAAGTCCCAGACCTTCGTACTTTATGGCTCTAAATAAATTCTGACTTCCTGAGAAATTTACAGGTTTTCTACAGTAAATTTCCATGGTGACTATATATTTCCTAGTCAAGTATTAATGTCATTTTTGTCTATGATGATGTCATTTTCTTTTTTTTGCTAGGCAATGTGGTTAAGTGACTTTCCCAGGGTCACAAAAGCTTGTAAGCGTCAAGTGTCTGAGGCCATATTTGAAGTCAGGTCCTCCTGACTCCAGGGCTAGTGCTCTACATGATGATGTCATTTTAAACAACACACACACACACACACCCATCTGAATCTTGGATTAAAAATCCAAGTATACAATACACAGAATACACATCATGAGGTATAAAGTTGGCATAACACACTCACCTTTAAACTCTTGTTGCTACTACTCAAAACCTAGAGATGCCCAAACCCATTGCTGCTAAAAAGCATCAGACTGAAATTCAATACAAAACATACCTATATAATCTAGAAATTACAAGTATAAGTATACAGGTACAAAAATACATGGGCATAAACAAATATATCCTTAAGAAAAAAAAATGGAACCAAGACAAAGATTTCTTTTCTTCCACATAGAAAATTAACTAGTTGCTAGACTAAATTTTGTTTTGTTTTGTTTTTAGGCAATTGGGGTTAAGTGACTTGCCCAGGGTCACACAGCTAGTAAATGTCAAGTGTTTAGTCTGAGGCCGAATTTGAACTCAGGTCCTCCTGACTTCAGGGCCGGTGCTCTATCCACTGCGCCATCTAGCTGCCCCTGCTAGACTAAATTTTATATGAAATTCAACCTACTCAAATTTTTGCTTTTAACGATGGAACAGTGACTACAATAATTCCAAATTATACCCACTCATTGCTTTGACTCTTTTTTTCTAAACTTCTCACTACTTACGTAAGCCAGCAAATAAATTACTGCCATATCTGAGGAAGAAGAAATCCACGAGCAAGCAGTTGTTTGGGTAATTTAAGAATATTTTCAATATCAGTAAATAGAAGAATATTATCTCAGAGAAATAAAATGACAAACAGAAAAAGCTAATGTATTTTCTACAAGTCAGATCCTTTAAAATAAATAGCACTTTTTAGTACCTGGACTGGAGGTCCCAACTCCTGAGGAGGTGCATGGATAGTTAGTCTTGGAGGAAGTGGGTGAGGCGGTCTTCGGGGTGACTGAGGTGCTCGAGGACCCTGTCTTTCAGATGCTGATGATGGTTGTTGTTCTCTACAATTTTCATGGGACAGAGATGATTCTGTGACAGAATTCCCTTCACCTTTAGCGAAAAGAAAAACAATACAAAATCGTCACCACTGGCTGAACTGACATTTTGAACTAAATATTCCTGTTAGCACTTGTTTCCACCATATGGATAAGTAGATCTGAGAACAATCAGATAGATTAGCCTTGAAAAACAATGAAATCACATTTAAACATTTTTAGGACTTTTAACATTTTAGGACTGATCTGTAATTTTATTGCTTTATCCTACACTGATACTGATTTCAATTCCTCTACAACTCAGTACAAGGTCTTCAAGGGTTTCTTGGCCATAAAATCTAGCACCCTGTAACCAATGTGGTAATGAGCCTCTCCAAATTTGTTAGGTTGGTCTTTGGTACAAAGGACATACAGTTTAAAGTAGGTCCATACATGAAGAAGCTTTTCTGGCTTGAAAGAATATGTTAGCATTTATGCTCTGCTACCAAAGCTGCTTAACAGCTAGGGTCATTTCTATACCATAATGAAGCACTGAAATAGCACTTCAGGGGAGACTTTCTACTAAGGCAAAAGTTAGTATACCTCACATATTATCTTTAGCTGTTTGGTTCCTCCAGGTAGTATAAAGATGGAAATTCCTGTTTTGGAAGCTGGAATAGGGTTTTACATTGATGAGTGGATCAGTGCTTGGAAGATTCCACCAATCAATTCTGAAAAGTATAAATCAATCTAAAGATGAAAATTATATAACCTCTCTAAGCCTTGGTTTCCTCATCTGTAAAATGAAGAAATTAGAGTAGATAACTTCTGAGGTCCCTTTCAGCTATAAATCTCTGATTACAAAATCACACAAAGTCAGACACCTTTCAAGTACGCAGCTCTGCTACTATTCCTTTAGAAGCTTAGACTGACCTCTGCTGGTGGCAGAAGACAAAAGAGAAAGCAACGGCAATGTACTTTGTTGCTGTTTTCTTAGAAGTCCTAAAACAACTCCACTTAAAAACTTAATATTCTCTTGCATTTATTTATATTTTTATGCTATTTTTTATACTATACTGATTTATACTTTTCAAAATTTCACATATTTTTAGTTTACCCTTACATAGTCCTTGAGGCAAGGAACTTATCATTCCCAAATTTGTAAGGAAACACAGAGAAATGGTGACTTGTTCCAGGTTAACCAGCTAAGCAATGAGAAATGAGGTAAGAATTTATACCTGCGGAATTTGAATTCAGTCCACTAACACATTAATTCTCTTTGAAGTCATAACCTAAGTCATGGTCAGGATCAATCTGAGTTTTATAAAATGAGTGATGTACTTTGAAACAAATCTACAGTAAATTTTTTAAAAAAGTGTTCTTTTCTTTTTGCTTTAAACACAAGCGAAACATAACTCTTATCCCCATACTAATAATACTGTCCCCAAACAAAAACCACAGCATTTACTCTTACCACTGTTCTGAGAATCTGCAGCTCTCTGGCTACTTTCACCTCCTGTACTTTCTTCTGTTTCAGTACCTGGATCAGTACCATCACAACCCTGAACACAAAATCACTCTGATGATTTGATACAAATGAACAGCATTTAATACTACAGAGTACAATAAATTATCTAGAGTGAAACAGGAACATATTAATAAAGAAGTAATTTTAGACAGTAGCATACTGACATTTGATTTCAGAAGAAGCTGGCAATTTAAGTTTACATTTCTATAGATATATCCTTGTAATAATGCAAAAATGAGATACTGTGATTTGACAGAAAGAATATTGTACTAGGCATTAGGTGACACTTGGCAGGACTTAATTCCCTGTGTTCAAGTTATCACTCTAGTCTGGGCTTGTTACTGAATTTATAAAATCAGAGCTGAATTAATGATTTATAAGGCACTTTCCAGCTCTAAAATTTTATTATTTTTAGTCCCTTATTTTGTGATACATTTGCCAAATTTTCAAAAATACAAGAGTAGCTATTTCTCCAAACATCTAAAACCGATCTCAAGAAATAGTTACTAACTCAACAATAACTTTAATATAAATTTAATTTTGAATACCAGCAGGTAACATTTATATCCCATTTTGTTTGCTTTAATGTACTAATTGAAAAAACTGCACAAGTCTTACCAAAGCAGTTATTAACAATGATATCTTGTATTTTTATCATACTTTAAGGTTATTATAAAGTATGTTTCTTCACCTGTAAAATGGAGAGGCTGGACTATGTAGTCCCTAGATATATATCACCTCATTTGATCCTCAGAATAACCCTATGAAGTAGGGTTTCATATAGATATTATTTCTTTAAAGCTCAGGGAGCTTAAACAATTTGTCACTTGGTCCCATAGCTATTACATGCTGGAAGGAGGACTCCAACACAGACCTCTGATTCCAAGTTCAACACTCTTTCCACTATACCATAATGCTTCTCCAAGCTTAAACTTCAATTAACATCTCCAAGTAGGGCCCAAAATAATCTTTCATTTAGTCCAAGGCAAAAGAATTTAACATTAATGCTATTTTGATTCACTAAAAATATTGTTATTTCTCTAAGACTTTGAAGAGTTTGTCAACATTCATAAATTCTTTAAAATAAATTAAAAACTTCTGATAAATTAAAAAACCAAACAAAAACGGTTATATATTTAATAATCATTTTTAGTTGTTTGAATTGTGATTTCATTTGTGTGGATACTCTTGCATCTCATGCTGATAGTTTACCTTTCACACTGTAAGAAATGGCTGAGTTGCTGCAGCCAAAAAAATGCAACTTCTGATGGTCAATGTTTGGCGATGGGCCTCTGCAAACGTTTAAACTAGACTGTTTCAAGAATGACAGAAATTTGTTGTCAGTCCTGTAACTTATCACTTTCCAGCTTGGTAGGAGCTACCAGAATTTGAGTTTAAGAAGTCAAGATAATGTGATTTTATTGGATTTTCAATATGATTGCATTGGAAGATACCAAAAATAGTGGATGAAATTAAATACTAAGTTCAAAAGATTCAATGCATTAGGGTATATTAAGTTGGCCGCTTGGACTACTCGTGACAGTTTTTGCATTATTGGTAATAACTTACTCAAGACAAAACAGGATAATAATTTCCCTAAAGCAAAGTCATCTTAAAAAAAAAAGATAAATGTTGGGGAAAAAAAGCTGGTGAAGATTATGTTTTACCTCAGCATCATCAGCTTCATAGCCATCATTGCCATCTGCACTACCAGTGCCTTCATTACTATCTTCACCTTCATCTCCCATCCCTGTGTCTTCATCATCATCGTCATCCTCATCATCCTCATCATCCTCCTCATAATCCTATTCAGAAAATTGCAAATAAAAAATGTCTAGACAAGTCAGCTGAGATGCTTATCTTAATAGTCAGTAATTCAAAAGAACAGGTGCTGATCAGAAGAGATGAAGTACTGAAACTGTAGTACACTAGCAACTTCAACTACAACATTCTTGGGTCAAGTTGTAGAAATTGGAGTGACATTTAGAGTCAATGCTCAAAATGAAATTGACAAGTTATCTTGGGAATAATAAATGCTTAAGGCTTGGTCTGTGTAACAAAACTAGACAGCAACTAAGAGATCCAAATCAAAACCTTCCCTCTACCCACAAGTCCTCAAGTACTCCATTTTTATGTACAATAAATAATACCCGCTGTAACTGACTTGCTTTTTAAAATAAGTTTATATTGGGGGGGCAGCTAGATGGCGCAGTGGATAGAGCACCGGCCCTAGAGTTGGGAGGACCTGAGTTCAAATCCAGTCTCAGACCAGACACTTGACACTTACTAGCTGTGTGACCCTGGGCAAGCCACTTAACCCCAATCGCCTTACTTAAAAAAAAAATAGTTTATATCAACATCTATAAAGAGTGAAAAATGACAAAATCTGATAAAGGAACAATGCTAGGCTAGTGTTATGCCAAATGTGGTAAACACTGTTATAGTCTACATATTTTTACTGATAAATCACTGCCTTTGTCATTGCGGTGCCTTTAGTTCAGTAACTGCAAAAGACTGCCAGTTTCATCTTCACCATAATCTACCTCTAAGTAGCATACTGGAGCTCCCCTGCTACTTCTAGAAGGCAGTAAGGCTTTAAAAAAATAAAGTTCCTCATCCTCAGAAGCATCACAGAATCCCTCTCTCCTGCTACAGGAAAGCCTAGTAAAGTACTAGGTACCAGGTAAAATTTTTTTTTTCAAGAGGAACAGGGCAAGATTACCTTTCAGTCTTTTCCTTCAAAGGCACTAACTGATAGGGTGTCTCTCTATATTAGCAGGTCAGTCTGGTTACAAAAGTAATGTGTCCCTGAGGAAGCAACAGGGCTTGAATATCTTCAAGTCACATAACAAATTATCAAAGGTATTAAGTTGCATTAAATTCAGAGCAAATATCTAAGGATCCTAAAGTCAGAAAAAAGTATTAAAACCTAACACTAAAAGCAAGTATATCTCACTGAACTTTATAATGTTATAAAACGTCAAGACCAAAAGCTCAGAAAAGGGGTAAAAATATTTAACTGAGCCTGGGGGAAATCAGAACTTACACTTTACCATCAAGACTAAAAAGGGCCTATGATCAGCTAATTCCACACCACAGTTACCTCTTGTTCACCATCGTTTTCATCATCAGCATCGTCTTCATCATCACTGTCTATCACAATGACATCATCTCCTTTGGACTGGGCATCCTGGCAAGAGGTTGAAGTCTGCTGATCTGACTGCAGGGGTCCAAGATCAATTTGAAGGGATTGAGAAGTTTCTTCACTGTCCTCCATAGGAGTATAATCTCCCTGAGTGACTCCCTTAAAAAAGAAAGAAATAAGCTGAAATAAAAAATGTTTCTTTCAAATACCCTAACTTAATAGATATACCTCTCAAAATAAGCATATATATATATATATATATGCTTATATTTACCAAGAAAGAAATCACAATACTTCAATGACTTTCCTAAAACTCCATATCACACTGCTAAAAGAACATTAAAAATCAAAATTCTTAATAAGATTTTTCATTCATTAAATAGCACCAATTTAAAAAAAATTCTGTAACCATTTTTTCCATCTTATTAGAGTTTTTTAAAAAGTCTATTTTCTGGCATGAAATATTCCACAGTAGCTGCTACAAATGTACCATTAACTAGCACCATCCAAGAAAAATAATGTTCATTACCATGGAAAAAAATTTAAAAGACAAAATATAACTAAAATGTGTTTCTCCCCAAATTCTGATGCGGTCATTTTTTAAAAAATCAATTCTCTGATCCATGGGTTTGGCTCAAAGTTAGCACACTAGAAACAGAATTGTTTACTGATAGTAGATATGATATGAAAAGTTGAAGGACAGGTCAAAATGCCTTTGTGTATTACTTCAAAACCAACAGCAGATTTTGCTATGCCTAAAAAAAATTATTTTCATGATAGGTATAAAATGTGACACAATGGAAATTCACACATTACCAACTATTTTCCTTTTAGTTCCAATGCTATATGAAACACAGTGGATAGAGAGATATAATTCTCCACTATCTTTGCATTTAAAGGTTTAACTTGCTGCATATACTAAAGGAAAAACAGAGTTGGCAATTGCACCTCTTACTTCAAAGACAGCTAAATGAAGCAATACATTCACCTGGCCTACAAATTTAGTAAATAATTAATTTGGGAACAAATCACCTAAAAAAAATTCAGTTTCTCTACAAATAGAAAAGCTTCACAGATCTTTCTGAATAATGATGTTTTATGAAAGTAAAAGAACCAATAAGGCAAAAGAATAGTAGGGCCACATGACTTCAGTTAACCTGGATGCTGAATCCAAAATGTTAGATAACAAAACTTTTAATCCATTAGTTCCTTGCTGCTAAAATAAAATTCACCTAATATTGGGAATATTTTTCTGGGCAACAATAATTTTTGAGGCAAGAATTTTTGGAAACATGTGACTGTGCAAAAATCACTTATCAAATGAAAAGGAAAATCATAAGGAAGGAATTCAAAAATATCCCAGATGTTTACATTTGTAGAAGTAAAACTGATTCAAAATCATGTTACCTTATTACTTAAATTCATTTATGCTTCACTTACCTCTCCAACAGAATCTTGTGAATCCTGATTTACAAGGGGCTCAAAATCATGTTACCTTATTACTTAAATTCATTTATGTTTCACTTACCTCTCCAACAGAATCTTGTGAATCCTGATTTACAAGGGGCTCAATCTCCCCATCAGTGCTCTCTTCTGCCGTAACTTCTTCCTGAATCATCATGTATATAAAATGAAAAATGTTTTGCCTACGTTAATCCTTTAGGTATTTGATGAAGGTCATAAAATATGATACATATATTTAAGCAATACACCACTACACTAAAACTACCAAATAAAATCAGAAAAATTGCCTCTTAATGAAAAGGAAGATTTTAATTTAGATTTAAAAGGTGAACATCTACACTGTCATTAGCAATCTAGAGAAAACATGTAGCATTATGGTGACTATAGAACTATAAGCAAAAGACTTAAAGAGGAATAGTTCATCTCATTTATATCCTTTTACTCTAGATTTGTAACCTTTTATTATGTCAAGGAACCCTTTGGTAGTTTGGTGAAGCTTGTGGACCCTTTCATAATGTTTTTAAATGTATAAAATAAAATACATAGATATATAAAGGAACCCAATTATATTAAAATACAATTATAAAACAACCCATAGCTCCTCTTCCTCTCCCCTCCCTGCTGTCAAACTATTTATGGACTTTTTAGGTTTGGATACAAAATGTCCCATATTTAGTATATAAATGTACTTTCTTTTGTACATATTTGTTTTTTTAAAGGAGTGCTTAGAGTAAACAACATTATCATTTTTCTTTGGTGTATACAAATCAAAGCTTATTGTTAGCACACTGATAGCACAAAGAAAACATGCCACTGGAACAAATTTAGGAGTTTTGGGTATGTGGAACTAAAAAGCCATTTTATTCTATTTATACTTTTAAGGTAGTTCATTATCACAGGAAAAATAAAGGCCCAAATCCATTTTACTATTCTAGGGCACATTCCAAATTTCTTTGTCGTATTAGATCTTTCCTGTTTATAATGAATATGGTTCACAATCACTGAGTTATTATATTAGCTCAGATGGTACTTCTTATGCAGAGATTTTTTTCTTGTAATTTACTCTATTTCTACATCCCTAAGATTTAAAGCAAAATTAAATCGTGTCAATGAACCCAAAACAGGTATTCACTCCTAATAGGCAAAAACATTAGCAAACATTAAAACGCATTATTTAGTTACACACCTCAGGTCCTACAGGGGGTATGCTTTTCAATTTCTTTGAGAGAGGCATATCTATTGCTTCATCAGAGACTTGCTCTGATGTCTCTATGGTGCTATCATCTTCCTCTTCACGTGCACGTTTAGGCAGAGATGAACTTGGAGTAGCTGAAACTTCGAAATCAAATCACTATTTTAAAAACTGTAATAGTAAACAGCGCTTAAAAAGAGATCACATGCAATTTCTCTTCCCCCTTAAACGGACTTTTGTTCCCTGACCAAATTACTTGGCATTCATAGCGCTGCACTCCATCATGCTCCTAGGAAAATTTGTCATTAGGAACCTCAACAAACTACCAGATTATATCAGCTTTGGTATTTTCATCTCATCAGTACCCTTCAGCACTTTCTTTCTCTCTAATTGGAGTGAAGAACAAAGAACTCCTCCCCAAACCTCCACTTAAAGAGGGCTCCCAGACAGCCATCTCTTCATTTCCTCCCAGCTTGTGCTCCATGGACTGGACTTCAATTTGCTCCTCTCTGCCCCCACCCCTTTCTGTGTTATCTTCCCCCATTAGATTCTGAGTTCTGAATACAGGGACTATCTTTTTCATACTTCTATCCCTAGTGCTTAGCACAATGCCTGGCACATAGAAGGTGCCTAATAAATGTTTATTGACTAAGACACAGTAAAGATTTCTTTAGTTATAGTTTAAATGTTTTCTATGCCATTAACAAAGACCTAAGATTAAAAAATTCTATTGCAAGATTCTGGTTGGCTGTCCACATGATAGAACTGTATATTACTATTGCATTGAGCCAACCAAATATTAGTCATACATGTGATTCATTAGTCTTAGTTTGGTCTACATTTCTGGCATTTGTGATTTATAGTGTTAAGATGAATTTTTATTATAAATGGGTGAGAGCTTACTTTGGGTTATGACACCTACCCTTCCATGATTACATTTATAGCATTAATATTTGGAAAGAATTGGCTTTTTGGTCTGGTCATGAATTAAAAAAAAAAAAAGAATTCAGGTCTTGCAATTAAGGCAGCTAGGTAGTACAATGCACACTGATGAACTCAGAAAAAGGCAGACTCTAGTTTAAACATTTTTTAAGACATTTGCTAGGTGTGTGAACCTGGACAAATCACTACATATCACGTAACCTCTCTCAGAGCCTTAGTTTCCTTATTTGTAAAATGGTGGTAATAACAGTACCTACCTCCCAGGGTTGTTGTGAGGATAAAATAATATTTGTAAAGCACTTCGCAAACCTGAGAGTGTACATAAACACTAGCTATTATTATTGTTATTATTATGAAGGCAGAAATGACAAGACTTGATAATTCATTGTATATCAGAGTTCATATGTAGTGATATCCAAGATGGCAGTGGTCTTTAGGATCTGAGGCACAAATTACTAGCAAAGATTTTTATGAATCTGTTTAATAACAGAGTTTTATAAGTGATCTAAAAACTGTGAAATACTCTGTATCATGTTTGCACAGACTAAATAAATGTTTAGGAATACATTCTAATATGCCTCAAATAAAAAAAAAAGGAAGTGCCTAAGTTCCCAAACATAAAATAAAAATTTCTGACAAAGGAGATTTTATTCAGACATGAATGGGTGAAATCCAAAAATTTGCTAAAGACTTTAAAATGTTAATAATCTGGGGAAACTGGGGCAGCTAGGTGGCGCACTGGATAGAGCACTGGCCCTGAAGTCAGGAGGACCTGAGTTCAACTCCAGCCTCAGACCCAACACTTGACACTTACTAGCTGTGTGACCTTGGGCAAGTCACTTAACCCCAACTGCCTAAAAGCCCCCCCCTCCATCTGGGGAAATCATCCTTATTATCATAGCAGGAGGGAAAGTGTTTCCTGCTACATTACTAAGTGCAACTTTTATTCAGAAGATTAAACTTACCGGTACCAAATACTGCTGTCGAAGTGGAAGGTCTTTCAATTGGTGAACTTTGTACAACTTCTACGATGCTGGGGGATAGTTCTTGGCTAGCAGACTCGATCTGAGGATGACTTTGTTGAGTGGGTTGCACAAAGGCTGTAGCCTGTGTTTGCTGCTGAACAGTTAAAATGGGCTGAGAAATAGAGGGCTGGACATTGGGACTGGTAGAACGAACAGACCCACTTGTACTTCCAAAAACTGGAACATGATCCACTGGTCCTTCTGATTGCATAGCTGAAAGAGAAAAAGATTAAAGTTTAATTAAAAAACAAAAACAAACAAGCAGCTACCTGCTACTGTTCAGATCTCTCCAGATACTGATTTTAAATTTTTTAGGAAGGCACAGCAAATAAGATGCTATTAGTAGTAAATGATAGTATAAGAACTGTATCTTTCAAATATTTTCCATAGTGTATCAGCATCACACTATGTGTAGTTAAATGCTTCTTTGCTAATAAGAATAAACCCAATCCTAAACTTCAACAAGTTGAAATTCCATGCAATAACAACACAACTGACATTTGTATAGTGCTTTATAATAAAATACCTCCCTACAATAATCTTGCAGGATAGGGAATGCAAATGTATACCCTCATTTTAAAGAGATTATGATACGCTATGAGCTTATTTGAGGGTATAACGATAGTGAAGCCCAGTCTCTAATTCAGGTCTTTTTGATGATAAGTGTACTTCTTCTACTTTAAGACGCTACCCCTCAAATACGCAAGCATAAAAATGGAAATTAATTTACTTTGTCCAAGATGTTAGAGGTATTAAGAATAACGCAGCACACTACCTTGCTATAATGTGTTAAGTATTTCTTCTATCCTCTTTAAAACTTTAAGGATTTAGTCTGCTTTACTTAAAAAACAACACAACCCTCTTTTACCATTACTGGTGTATCTTAGGGGCAGTGAGAAGTTGTTCCCTCCAATGATGTCACCACTATCCAGGTGAACCACTTAGTGGAAATAATATAGATAATATAAGCAAGAAAACAGCCCACTGATTATTGAGCAGTTTACCTGCTGGTCTACTTACCTTCTTGAGATTCCACCTGTGTTGTGGGCATCACTGTAGCTGTTGGAGTAGTGGTTGGATTTGTAACTGTTGCAGGTGTAACCATTGGTCGGATACTAGCTCTAGGGGTTGACTTATTCCCAGCTATGGCAGCAGCTGTCACTTTGCTTGGAGTAGATACAACAGGAGTTGGCTTGATATTGGCTGTTGGTGGATCTGATGTACTAGCACTAAAGATAACAGATATTTTTAAAACTAGCTTTTGACAAATAAATTTAAAAATCTGAAGTTTTTCTATTTCATATACACCACTGAAGTGTAGCATGGTTTTTAATGTTATTTAAAAAACAGTATTATGTAGATTTTCTAGATTAAAAAATAATTAAGTTCTGATTAAGTTATATAAACCAGGCACCGTAAAAAAAGAACCTCTTCAATGCTAATTGGTTTTAATCCTCAATGTTATGAACATCCTTTTCTTATGGAAAGATATTTTAGGGAAAAAAAGAAAAGAATCTAATTTGGCAAATTTTTCATATGATAGAGAACAAAGTACAACAATCATAGTCAATGTGAAATTAGTGGAAATGCAAAATCTGAGATTTTATGTAAGGTCTACATATTAGATCTACAAAAAGCAGAATGCAAATGAGCCTCCCAAAATAAAAGCTAAGAAATTTCAATTTTCTTTCATTGATACAGGAATCATTTCTAAGCCTGGAAATGGGTTTTTTTGGTTAGGCAATGGGGTTAAGTGACTTGCCCACCGTCACACAGCTAGTAAATGTTATGTGTCTGAGGCCAAATTTGAACTCAGATCCTCCTGACTCCAAGGCTGGAGCCCTATCCACTGTGCCACCTAGCTGCCCAAGAATTTTTTCTTAAAATAAAGTTTAGCTATGTTCCTTTAATTAATAAGTTTTAAATGAAAGGGGCACAGGGCAGTTAGGTGGCCCAGTGGAAAGAGCACTGGCCCTGAGTTCAAATGCAGCCTCAGATATTTACTAACTATGTGACCCTGGGCAAGTCAGTTAACTACAATTTGCCCTTCCCCCAGGCCCCCCCAAAAGGTAAGGGGCACAAATTAAGAATTTCCACTTACCAATTGTAACAACCTCTCCCCCCAAACCCAAACAATAACAACAACAACAAAAAAACAAACCAGGACATTTCTCTGGTGATTGTTTCAGCATTTTGAACCAATATCTGTAATACGAGACAACCCAGCATAGGTTCAATTGCTTTTTGTTTTGCTAGTGTTGCCCATGTCACATCTCTCCAATTTTGTTCACTGTTGCTACTGCCACCTATTTTTTTTTTTATAAGATGAGTAGCAGCCCATCTTTGCTGGAAAAAGGATAAGAAGGTATAAGCTATTAGAAGAGTTAGTAGAGAAACCTCAATGCTCAAGAGAGTCTTTTCCTAATTCCTAAATAAGAATACAATGAACAATGAAAAAGCAAACTTGGGACACAACAGGCAAGCCATTCAAAGCATATTGTTAGGGAAAAAAAAATCATCATTCTTTAAAAGGGGGCACAATATAGGATTACTCTTTCTGAAACTATTTCTAGATTTCCCAGCAATTGAGAAGTCTCCTATATTACAAGAACAATTTAAATATAATAGAAAAATAAACTCACATTCCTCTTTCACCTGAAGCTGGAGTTGTTTTGAGTGTGATCTGTCTTTGTTGTTCAGGGACCTATTAAAATACAAGTTTGTGTAGATGAATAAGTAGTCCCTCTAAAATCCCAAAAACAAAACAAAACAAAAAACAGCACTAGTACCCAAATCTCAAAAAACTACTATTGGTAATCTTTAAGAACAGTTACATACAAATTGTTCAAAGTCATTCATTAACAGAGTAAAAATAGATAAGACAGGAAAATAAAAATTATGGAGACCTTCAGTAAAATTTTAAGATTTTTAAAAAAAAACTCACATTATTTATTCGACAAACGTTTGTCAGAGGCCTGCAATATATAATGCACTATGCTAGGGGAATACAAATTTCTCAAGAAAGTAATAATCTGTTACACAGGAGGATATAAGACACATACAGATAAATGTAGATGAGAAATACAACAAATAATAGCTCATAGTGAAACAGCACTTTCTTGTTTATATATGATCCTGACAAGAAGCCTATGAGATAGGTAGTCCTAAGTATTATTAACCCTATTTTAAGGATGGAGAAACTGAGCCTCAGAGGTTTTAAGAGATGTACCCATGGTCACAGATAGTAAATAATGGTTCCAGAATCGAAATCTAGGTCTTATGACTGAAAATAGTCCCATTCCCACTATACTATGACATGAAAAAGAGGAATAAAGAGTGCTATAAGATTAAATGCAGAGAAAGTAAATGAGTTACCAATTACCTTGCTAGTAGTTTCCTGAGGCTCATCTCTTTGCTCAAGATGTCTTTCTTGCTGTTCCCTGAGTTCTCGTTCTAAACGGCTAATTCGACCTTCATACTGTGATTTAAGAGCAGTCATACGTACATCCAACTCATCTTTCTGCTGATCTAATGCACCATTTCTTTGTTTAAGCTCTTCATTTTCTTTAGTTAATTGATCTTTGACACCTGAACAAATAACACCATATGTTATAACTTCTGTACCAAAAGGGTAGAAATGAAGAATATTAAAATGATTGGCAGAATTCAATTCCTTCAAGATTCAGCTCAAGTCCCAACTACTGTAGGCCTTTTGTACACTTCTGTCAACTTAGATATTAAATTTAGGCATATCTTTTTTCTAAATGAATCTCATCTATCTCTACAGTCAACGGTTTAACCTACATTTGTTTGAAATCAGTAGACAATTACATATTAGGATGCTCGTCTTCAACTCTAATATTTAAAATGCAAACATGCAAAAGAACTATGTATGTGTTCAGATGGGAAATTCAGGTTAGGAGAATGAAGACTGTAATCTAACTATATTTTTGTAGGTAAATCTTAGGAAGTCGTGTGAGGCACACACAATCTAACTGACTTACCCAGGGTCACCAAGCTAGAATGTGACAGAGGCTAGATTTGAACTAAAGTATTTGTGAGACTAAGTCCAGCACTCTATCCACTGTCATGTTGCCTCTTTAATATACAAGGATAAAAGTACCTAAGTAGTCAAAAAGAGATGAAACAATAAAAACTATGGAGACAAATACTACATTTCCATATTTATTACTAGGAAGTTTGGTGGTACAGTGGATAAAACAGTGAGCCCAGAGTCAAAAAGATCTGGGTTTGAATCTGGCTTCAGATACTTCATAACTTTGTGATAACGAGCAAGTCATTTCACCTGTCTGCCTTGGTTTCTTCCTCTACAAAATGGGATAATAATAGCACCTACCCTACCAGGGTTGTTATGAGGATTAAATGAAATAATATTTGTAAAGCATTTTGTAAACCATAAAATGCTACCTATTATTACTATTAGACAAAAACTGCAATGCCATTCATAAGCCAAAAAACTTCAGTTTCCAATGAACCTATCTCTTATGACCTACTGCATTTGAAAGGTATCTCTCACTATTCTTGTGGAGAAGACAGAGGAATGTGGGGTAGATAATACAATTAGATGGGTTCATAACAGTGGAACAAGCACTGACTCTGGGGTCAGAAAATCTTGGCTCAAATTCTATTCTTTTACCACCTGTAACTTAGGTAAGTCATTTTAACCTTGTAGGATCATATTTCCTCTTCTATAAAATGAGAGGACTGGCCTCAGTGACTGAAGGGCTCTTCCAGTTCTATTCTTTGCTATTAGCAGCCAGGATTCAAGGAAGTTATTAATGATTTAATGCTAACTTGACAAAAGGTCTTTAGGGGAGCATCCATTTGTGCTTGGCCCTGTGCTATTTAAGATTTTTATCAGTGCCCTGGATAAATGTATAGAAAGTATGACCATAAAATCTGTAGATGGCACAAAGTTGGGAGGAACAGTCAACATACTGAATGATAGAGTCATGACCCAAAAAGTTCAATGATTCTAAGGCACTGGACAGAATCTAAAAATATGCAATTCAAGAGGGATAAATGGGCAGCCTTAAACTTTGGTTAAAAAAATAAATCAACTTTACAAGTACAAAAAAAAAAGGCAGGCCTGGTTAGATAGCAATTTTTCAGAAAAAGTTCTGGAGGTTTTAGTGAGCTGCTAACTCACCAAGTCACCAGAGTAACACAAACACAGCAGGCAGAAAAATGAATTAGATCTTGGGCTGTATTAAGAGAGCCATAACTTCCAGGCAGAAAGAAACTGTTAAACTGACGAGTACCCAAAGGAGGGTAAACAGAGCAGTGAAAGGCCTTGAGTGCATGTCTTATAAAGATCAGTTGATGGAACTAGTGTCACTTAGTCTGTAGAAGATTTGAGGGGGATATAGTAGCTATCCTCAAGCACTATCATGCAGAAGAGTTATGATACAGTGGAGACTCCTTTCAAGTATGGGTTGCACTATACAGCTGATGAGAACCCTTCTAATCCTCCAATTCTATCATCTATCCTTTACGATAAATACCTATAACTAACATTTACAAATCCACTTAGGATATACTGCTTAGAAAGAAAATAATGCCCCAACCCCTCAAACCAACCAAAAACCAAGCTGTATTTTATGACTGAAAATGCAAGATTCTTTGGAAACAGGATTGAAGGAAACTCTCGAACAAAAGAAGCAGGTTCATGTCTCAGGATAACATCAAAGACACAACCAAATTAATAACAGAGGGGAACAACCTCACAAACCCTGTATCAGTTTACTGATCAGGAACATAAGTATTTATTAGTAATGAAATAACATGAATTAGTTAGGATGATAGGTAAAAATAAATGTTATGCTGATCAAATCCTGTTATACTCCATTTCCCCTCCTCTCCCACCTACCTCGATTTTGATATAACAGGAAAAAAAAAACCAAAACAGAAGAATTTACTGGAGATGATTAAAATAGAATTTGGCTCTCCCTAGGTTTGGTAGGCCACTGATTTTGATGGGTTATAGGGTATCCTTCACCTTAGGAGTTAAGGGAAAACAAGGAAATATGTCTTCATTCAGTTTATTATCTCACCTCAATATTAGTCCTAAGATTTGATCCTGGTAGGACAGAAAAGTATTGCTAGGCCCCCTACTATTATCTGTGGTAGCTAGAAGCTGTATAGCAATATGGGATGACCAAAGTCAAATGCATGGGAAAAGCATTTTGTAAATAGTGAGGTAAAGATATAAATTTAAGTTCTTACCATCCCCCTGGCCAACATTATCTTCAAAAGTGATGAATCACAGAACTAGTTTATCATTGAAAAATCTAAATTCCTATAAGTCCAAATCTTCAGGAATTAATACAACTTCTTATCATTAAAATGACATTCATTTAGGAAGTGCTATATGTGAAGCATTATCAATTCTGTACATGTGACATTCTAATAAAGTTTTTATCAAGTGGGGAGTTAAAAATGACTTCATCTTCTATTTCCTCATCTCCAATCAGCACTCCAAATACCTAAGCTGCATACTGGCAAAATGTATATAGAACTTCGTTGTAATTATTATAAGTTTCAAACTGGGATATCTTTACCAGCTAAGTGTGCCAGCTTTGCTTTGGCTGCAACAAGAGCCTTTCTCGTTTTGTCTTCCTTCTCAGTCATATGTTGTCGTAGCTGCTCCTCCTGTGTAGTCCTATCTTGAAGATCCTGATGAAGACGTGAGAGTTCAGACTGAAGCTGTGTTATCTGTTCCTGAAGACTTCTAGCTTCAGTCTCTTTTTCAGATACTGTCTAAAGAAAAAAAAACAAACCCACAAACTTTAAATAAAAGTAGCTAGCTAGAGAAAAACAAGATGAGCTGTCAAACAGAATTACCAAACCTCAAAGAGAATTACAAATCTTATAATCAATACAAGCTTTAAATTACTTAAATTGAACACGTGTCAATGCACCACGTAAATGAGTCTGGTATATATCTCTTTATGCATGTTTATGTATATAAAACAACGTACATAATTATACAAAAAAAAGCTAACGTTTTTAGCAAGTGTAGTACAGTGAGTGAAAGAGAACTGGACCTGGAGCCAGACAACCAATCCCAGACCAACCCCAGCTTCGTGCTCTGGCAAATAAATCATTTTCCCTCTCGAAGCCTCAGTTTCATTATCTGTAAAATGCAAGGCTGAACTAGATGCTCTTTAAGGGTTTCCTCTATATCTAAAATTTAATGATTCTACAATACATCACTAACTTACGAAATATGGGTATGAAAAATGACCAGGCTTATGATGGCACTATGAGGTAGATAAGTTACTGTCACCACTGTACACATAACCATGTACTCCTTACACTGTTAGGAAGAATTGGGACTGTAGCTCTCTTACACCTACCTTCTGAAGGTTCTCTATTTGATTTTCTAGAGATTTTGTTTTTATTTCAGCTTGGCTCAGAGTTTCTTTGAGCTCCTGAACTTCGTGTACAGATACTTGCTGTTCCAATAGTTCTCCAGAAGACTGAGAAGTCTCCATTACCTAAGAATATGACATTGTTTATTAAGTATCAACAATACACACATGATAAGGGGGTGCTTCCTGACCATAGGGCTTAAAAACAAAGTCTCAGAAGTAATTCAGATACAAATGAGATAAAAAAGTGATAATGGGCATTTCTGTAATACTTAGATTATGTTCTTGTCTCTTAAGGTAGCAGATACTAAACTAGATTACATTTCTTAACAGCTGTATATACATGACTATCCATAGAGATTGTTTGCACATGTACACTACAAACTTAAATTTGTAATGATTTACAAGGAGGAAAATTCAATGACAGGAAAACAATCAACAAATGCTTTCAAACTTCTGTTCTGAAACACTATTTAGACCTCTGAATTAATTATTTTAGGTCACTATTCAAACAGAAAAACCACATCCATTCAAGTTTGTATTTTCATCTAAGAATCTGAAACTATTGGCTAATCCAAGTATTTCAATCAATAATACATAAAAAAATTGTAGAGGATTAATTACATTAAACTGAGTAAGATTCAGCTTTACATTTTTTTAAACAACCACCTGAAACTTTACCTTATCATGTTGTGCCTTAAGCTCTTCATATTGAGTCTTGTATCTTCTTCCAATTTTCTTGACTTGAGTAATAGTTTTGACTTTTTCTTGTATATCAGCTACTTTGACTTCTAAGTCCTTCTGGAGAGTTTCTTTTTCAGTTCTCATTTTACTTAATTCTTCCCTTAAGTTCTGGATTAAATTTTGGCTAGTGGTCAAAGATGCATTTGACCTAAATGAAAAAAAAAAAAGCAAAACAAAACTCATACACATCTTGTTGGGAGAAAGAACATAAAAATAAAACCAGTGTTAAACAAGTTAATTTAAATTGTTCACATTTTTATATGGCATGATTTTAGTGTAAGTTTAATAGTTAAAGCATGATAACATGGCCTTATTAAAACATAGTGTGCTTTATTTGATTAGCTCAAGGGATATTATAAGTATGTAACAGAAGTAAGCACTAAGCATTGCATATTTTAGGACACAAGAAGAAGGTTAAATAATTTTCTTTTCAACTTAAAGGCATAGCATTGCTTAGCCCTATACTAAAAATGATGAGGAAAGCCACACCACAGTGGAGGTCCTACATCTTTATTTTCTCTTCAGAAAGGTGCATTGTTAGCAGAAAGCTCCCAGAGAATGGAGGATAAGTGGCATAACTTATTTTGAAGTTTCTTTCAAATAGCAGGTTAAACTTAGAACTTCCTTCCACTATACCTTGCAATTTCAGCTTTAAGTCTTCCAGTTTCTTCAGTCAACTGCTGAATGCGTTTAGTATTCACTTCCTTCTCTGAAAGGAGCTTTCGACATTCTTCCAAATCTGGCTCTTTTTGCTGGCTTGCAAGATGCTGAAAAAGAACAAACCACATAATCATGATCTATTTTTTACCAAACAAAAGCACTTTATTAAGTGCCTACTATGTGCTATAACCACTGTTCTAGGAGCTGGGCAAAAATCAAACCGTCCTGGACGCCAAGAAGCTTTCATTCCACTGGGAGAGACCTGATACATGTAAGTAGAATCAAAATACATACAAGATAAATATAAGATAACTTTGGCATAGGGACTAGAAGCTGGTGAGATCAGTAAAGGCTTCGTGTCTGTTTTGAAGGAATTAATGATCAGACGAGGCAGAGGTGAGGATGGAAATGGGAGTCAGACTGTGAAAACAGGGGAGACTAAAGACGGAATGTCACATGTGAGGTCAGTATGGCTCGACCATAAAGTTGGATGATGAGTATTAATTCTAAAAAGCCTGAAAAGGTAAGGCAGGACTAGGTTTTGTAACACTGTGACAGAAGAATTTGTATTTGATATTGGAAATATTTTTATGGGAAATAAAAAGCGCTACTAATAGTAGCAGAGCTGTCTATACAATCGACTAGCATTTATTGAGCACCAACTATGTGCCAGGCACTGTACTAAGCACTGAGGAAACAAATAAAAAGCAAAAACTAGTTCCTGCCCTCAAGGATCTTACATTCTAATGGGAGAGAAAATATGTGTATAATTAGGTACAAACAAGATACATACAGACAGTATCAATGGAAGACAAAAGAGGTAGGGAAAAGGGAGTTGTTTCTATGCACTGGACAGGCAGTTGGAAGAAAAGAGTACCTGAGTCAGGTCCTCAAGGAAGAAAGGAACTTAAATAGAGAGGGGGGGGAGGGAGGTAGGGATTTCAAGAAGAGGGGAAGATTTGAATAAAGGATCAGAGAGGAAAAAGGACTGATTAATAATAGGCGATAACAGAATTTGCCTGAAACATAAAATAGTACCAGATATGACATGTAAAAGATAGGCTGGAGGATCTTTTATACTAATATAGGAAGTTTATACTTTAGAAAGCAATTGGTAATACTTAAAAGGTTTTGAAAGAGGATGATATGATCAGAGCAAGCCATGTGAAAGATTACATAGAAAGTACTGTGAAGAATGTATTACAGATGGAAAAAGGAATACTGGTTGACATGTCATTACAATGGTCTTGGTAAGACCATTGAGATGTTATTACAATGGTCTTGGTAAGAAGTGATGAGAGCCTAAACTAGGCAGGAAAGGAAGAGGGAAGGATATAAGATATTAGGAAACTGATTCAACTGAGAGAAAGGGAAGAGTGTCAATGACTACCAACGCACTGAGCTTGGAACTAGTCCCACCCTTATCACTTAGTGTTACTGTAACCTTGTCAAGTCAGGTAACTCTCTTAGGCCTGTTTCTAAATTAGTAAAATGAGGGAGCTGGATTACATGATCTCTAAGATTATTAACTTCAGAGAGACAGCATTGTATGATAGTGAAAAAAACATTGGAATTGGAAACAGAAGACTAGAGTTTGAGTTGTAGCTCCTTCACTAGAGTTTGAGACCTTGGACAAATCCTAATTTCCTTTGTACCTCCACTGTCTGACCTACAAACTGAGGATAACTGCCTGACCTACCTACCTCAGGGTATGGGGATAAAAGGACATAAAATACGAAAAACTGTTCACCAAATATAAGGTATGAATATCATCCTATTCACTAATCTCAAGGAATTATCTCATGCATCATCAGTTCTTAATGTCTACCAATCCGACCAGTCTACTAATCTGTCTAGTTAAGTGGGCAGGGATTGTGGTTTATTTAGCCTTTCACTCTTGTACACAGTGCCTTGAACCTAAGTGCTAACTAAATATTTGTAGAATTAATGTATTTCATGAATAGAGTAAAAACCAAAGACAACTTAGGTACTGGGCGACATTAACAACACTTGGCTTAAAAGCTGGAAGAAACAAGTGCAGGCTAAGTTTAAAGGAAACGACTTGCTGTCTGGCAGACACAAATCCACACCATCATGAGTGTGTTATACAATGTTATACAAAGCTTTCACAGCAGAAGTACTTTTTCTTATTCTCAAATAGTCTTACTCCATTAAAGTAACTTTTGGGAGGGTATGTGTGGGGGTGTAGAGAGTGTGGAGAAGGGGGAATGGACCAGTGATTTCATTAATACAGCAAATTTCTTGTTTGGACACTTCTAATACCAATACAGCTCTGCAACTGCTTGGCAACTTAAGAGACTTAGACATGGGGTCAAATTCAAAAAGAACAGGATCCCTGCAGGCTGCATACTGACTTACAAAACTACAAATTCATATGATCTCTGTTGTGCTGTATTTTTATTTATGTTGTTAAGCATTTCCCAAATGTACTTTAATCTATTTCCCTGCATTCAGCAGTCACTTGAACTTAGTGGCTCAAAGTTTGACAACTCTTTTCTTAGAGTTACCTGGAGCAGAGAAATGATTCAACCAGGCACATAGTTAGTGTGTATCAAAGGTTGAGTTTTCCGACTTTGAGACCATTCACTACGCCACGCTACTTCACAAAAGTTAATTTTAATTCTCTAAATTATTTGCTTACCAATTTTGTGAATGGGGAACTTACTCACCTGGTTACGTGCTTTCCAGCGTTTGATATCTTCTTCTAGCAACTTCTTCTCTGCTTGCAACATACCACTTTTCTCACTCAGTTCAGCATTTGATTCTTGTAATGGTAAGATATCTAACTCCAGTTTCCTGACCTGGAAAACAAAACATCTTACCAGTACTATTTTGGCTGATATAATGAACATAACATTTAGAAACTTTTAAAATCACATGCTCCTCCCCCCTGCTTCCTTCATGAGTAAATTAGCAAGTTACAAACCTTTGCTTGCATCTGCTGTAGTTCTTGTTCCAGCCTTTCTTTTTCTTCCCTCAGCATCTTATTGGTTTCTATAACTACATTCATTGTTTCAGTTTTTTTCATCAGTTCTTCATGCTGAGCCATTGTTTTTGCAGTTACCTAAGGGTAATAATCCAGAGGTAACACAAGATTATAAGCATCTTTTTGCTTAGGGTGAGAAGGTGGGACAGGGAAGAATTGGGGAGTGCACCGATATGTATATCATTTATTTCAAATAAGATCCAAAATGTATGAGAAAGTAGTGACATTTCTAATTGAATTAGTATTATAGTGGAAAGGAGTCAACTTTTTAAAGGGTCTTGTTATAATACATGATTTATATTTCTAATTATATATATATCCATCTAAGTTTGTGACCAGGCTCAAAAATGGGAATCAATATAAAACAAATGTTAATGTTTCTTTTAAAGCTTAAAATGAAAGAATCCATGTGAATATGAACAAAGAAATGCCAGTTCTAGTAAAAGATGTGGGGTGGTGGAGGTGTGGTAGGAGTTAATTTTGTTTGTTTTCAAAGTAATATAAAACAAAACCCCAAATCACTAAAGGCACATACCTGGACTTTCTCTCTCTCAGCATTTAGACTATCTTGCAGCTCCTGAAGCTCTCTCTCTAGGAGCTCTACCCGTTGTCTGTAACGCAAGCTTTCTACTTGGGCTACTTCAAACCTGGTTTCCGCAATTTCTTTTTCTCGCCGTATAAACCTGCAACAAGAAAAACACTTAAAATATTTATGAAATGTCTGGCTTCATGGATCTTACCTAAAAGTAACACAGCCTAAACTTTCAGTGCTGATAATTCCGTGTTTCAAGTTTTTAAGGACAAGTTAAAAACCAATATAGAATTTAATTACTGTACAGAAAGTGAACAAAAATGTTTAAAATGGTGCCAAACCATTTTATTTTCTTCTTTTTGTATCAAAGACTCATGGACAAATCTAGATCTAGACCAACACATATGTGAAGCATGAACCCTCCACAACATATGTCCATATGTTGTATTCAGGACATATTCAACATATTCAGGAGAATGGAATTTTGCTTTGCTCTGCAGGGGTATATGGACTGGGCCTATAATTCCACTGGTATGAAGAAATTCCCTCTATCAGTGTAGGTTAGCACCTTCTCTGTAACTCATAGAGAGCTGCTTTCAGTACTAGAAGGTGATGTGACTTGTTCAGAGTTATAGTCAGTATGTGTCAGAAGCAGGATTACAAGCTGGGGCTTCTTGGTTTTGAGGTGAGGTCTTTATCTACTAGGCAATGTTCTCCTTTGAATGTGAATATTAAAAATTTCAGGCTGAGGATCCTTAAATTCCTAACTCAGGTCAGAACCTAAAAATAGAATTTAGGTGCCCCAAAACCAGACAAAAGTGGGTGGTACCTCTTTTGCTACCAATTAATTTAAGAGAAATAAATCTTAGGGTAAGACTATACGAGACTAACTTGTCACCTACAGTAAGCTAACCTGTAGATAGAATATAGAGCATTACAAACACAGAATCAAAAAATCTTCTCTTTCCATTTCCTCTATTTTATTAAAAATGCATAAGAAAGAAAGAGCTAGGAAAATTTAACCCCTGAAAAATGGATTTATTCCAAAGCACAGAAGCAAATTTTCTTGAATGTATTTCATTTACCTGAGAATTTCTAAGATTTGTTCTTGAGACTTGCCTTCTTCATTTAGAGATACATTTAATGAACCCTGCACACCTTCCTTCATAGAGGTCACGACCTTGTCACTTAATTTTTCAATCTGATCATGAAGTAATCTATTTTGTTTCTCTAAATCTTGACAGCGAGAGACACACTTGGTAGCTTCATCCTGTGAATAAAAAATGTGTTATCATACCTTTTTTTAGTTTTATTGACAATGACAATTTTTAGCATTACTGACAAAAACATATTCCATATAGTCATTTAAAAAACTTAGCCTCAAAAAAATCATTGAACATTTTCACATCTACAAAGGAATGTACCTTTAACATCCTCTCTCTTTCCTCCCAAGAGGCTTTACACTCCAACAACTGTGACTCTGCTTTTTGAGCTGTTTCTTCCAACTGCTGACGTACTAGTAAGTTTTTAGAAACCTGTTCTTTGGCAGCCTGCAAAGCTTCCACATCAGCAGCATGTAACATCAGTTCCCGTTCATACTTATTCTGAGCTTCTATTGCTATTTTAGCCTGTAATAAGTTACAGAAAATAAATTAATAACTATAAGGCCATCTTGAGTTCCCTAGAAAGAAAACACGTTGATGAAAAGCTATTGAATATTTTTATGGCTCCCTACTTTTGAAGTAACTATTTTTTAAATTTTTAATTTTTTTTGAATTCACAAGTGAATTTTACTAAACATTCAAAGAACAATTAACCCCAATACTATATAATCTTTTTGAAAAAATAGGTGGAGTCCTACCAAATTCCTTTTACAACACAAATATTATGGTACTGATACCAGGAAAAGCAAAAACATAGAAAGAAAACTATAGACCAATTTCCCTAATGAATACTGATACAAAATTTTTAAATGAAATACTAGCAAGGAGATTATAGCAATATATCACAAGAATCATACACTATGACCAGGTGGGATTTATTATCAGGAATGCAATATGAGGAAAACTACCAGTATAATTGACAATATCAATAACAAAACCAATAGAAATCATGCGATTTTCTCATGAGACTAATGAAAATAATGAGAGACAGAGCTTCTGGGAAATTAATAATCAATTTATGGTTTTGCTTTCTTTTTTTAACTTTAGGCAACTGGGGTTAAGTGACTTGCCCAGGGTCACACAAATAGTAAGTGTCAAATATTTGGTCTGAGGCTGGATTTGAATTCAGGTCCTCCTGACTTCAGGGCCAGTGCTCTATCCACTGAGCCACCTAGCTGCCCCAATTTATGTTTTTAATAGTATTTCCCCCAATTACATCAAGACAATTTTTAGCATTCATTTTTACAAGAATTTGAGTTCCAAATATTTCTCCCTCCCTTCACACCCTTCTTCTGAAAATAGAAGAGTTGCCTAGTATGTAAAATATATTTCCATATTAATCATAGCTGTGAAAAAAGAAACAGATCAAAAAAAAGAAAACCACAAAAAAGAGTAAAGTAACTGAAAAAAGTATGCTTCGATCTGCATTCAAAGTCCATCAGTTGTTTATCTGGATGTGGATAGCATTTTCCTCCACAAGTCCTTTGTACTTGTCTTGGATCACTGTGTGGCTGAGAAGAGCTGAGTCATTCATAGTTAATCATCACATGATGTTGCTGATACTGGGTACAACGTTTCTGTTTTGTTCATTTCACTTTGTATCAGTTTGTACAAATCTTCCCAGGTTTTTCTGAAATCTGCCTGCTCAGCATTTGTTATTGCATAGTAGTATTCCATTACATTCATACACCACAGCTTCTTCACCCATTCTCCAATTGATGGGCATCCCTTCAATTTACAGTATTTTGTCACCACGAATAGGGCTGCTATAAATATTTTTGCATGTGCAGGTCCTTCTCCCTTTTTTATAATCTCTTTGGGATACAGACCTAATAATATTGGCATTGCTGGATCAAAGGGTATACAGTTTGGTTGTCCTTTGGGCATAGTTCCAAATTGCTCTCCAGGGTGGTTGGATCAGTTAATAACTTCCCCAACAGTACAATTTTCCCATATCCTCTCCAACATTTATTATTTTCCCTTTTTGTCATATTAGCCAATCTGATAGATGTAACATGATACCTCAAAGTTGTTTTAATTTGCATTTCTCTAAAGAAAAGTAATTTGGAACACTTCTTCATTTGGCTATAGATAACACTGATTTCTTTATCTGAAAACTGCTTGTTCATATCCTTTGACCATTTATCAATTGGAGAATGGCTTGTATTCTCATAAATTTGACTCAGTTCTCTAAATAGTTGAAAAATGAGGCCTTTACCAGAGACACTTGCAGTAAAGATTGTTTCCCAGCTTTCTGCTTTCCTTCTAATCTTAGTTGCATTGGTTTTGTTTATACAAAAGCCTTTTAATATAATCAAAATTACCTATTTTACATTTTGTAATACTCTTATCTTGTTTGGTCATGCACTCTTCCCTGGTACCATTCTTTGTGTCTAATCTAACTTTTCTAATAATCTAGTCACCTTCTTAGTTTCTTTCTGGTTTACTTTTAGGTTGGATTTATCAAGTTCTGAGAGGGGACAGTTTCTTTCTGGTTTACTTTTCGGTTGGATTTATCAAGTTCTGAGAGGGGACAGCTAAGGTCCCTCACTAGTACAGTTTTGCTGCCTATTTCTTCCTATAACTCCCTTAACTTCTCTCTTAAGAATTTGGGTACCATATCATTTGGTGCAGATGTTTAGTATTGCTATTGCTTCATTGTCTATGCCACCTTTTACCAAGAAGTAGGTTCCTTCCTTATTTCTTTTAATTAGATCCATGTTTGCCTTTGCTTTGTCTGAGATCAGGATTGCTACCCTTTTAGCTGAAGCACAAAAGAATCTGCTCTAGCACCTTAGCTTTACTCTGTGTGTCTCTCTTCTTCATGTTTGTTTCTTGTAAACAACATATTATAGGATTCTGGTTTTTGATCCACTCTGCTATTCCATTTTATGGAAGAGTTGATCCCATTCATAATTATGTCTATTGCGTCCTTGGTCTGCCCTTTCTTCTGTCAGTCACCCCCCCTCCCCCCCACACTTTCATGTTGGGTAGACAGATTTCTATATTCAACTGATTGTGTATATTATTCCCTCTTTGGGCCAATACTGATGAGACTAAGGTTCAAGAGATGCTCATGGCCCACCCATCCATTTTTCCCTCTACTATAACAGATTTTTCATGCCTGTTCATGTGAAATGATTTACCCTATTCTACCCATCCCTGCTTTCTGCACCCAGTGTATTCCTCTTTCTCCTCTCTTAGCTCTTTATGTCATTCCCTCAAATTCATCTTATACCTGTATCCTCTATGTATACTCCTTCTAGGTGTACTATTAGTGGTATGTTTTTTAAGAACTACAAGTATCATCTTCCCAGGTAGGGATATAAGTTTTTTGTTCAATTCTGGTCTTCTCTTTATGAAAGATTGAAATCCTTCTATTTCATTGAATGACTATTTTTTTCTCAAAGTATTATGCTTCATTTCACTGAGTAGGTGATTCTTGGTTGCATTTCAAGCTCCTTTGCCCTCAAGAATATCATGTTCCAGGACCTCTGATCCTTTAATACTACAGGTGCTAAGTCTTGTGTAATACTGACTGTGGCTCGCAATATTTAAATTATTTCTTTCTGGCTACTTGCAGTATTTTCTCCTTGACCTGATAGTTCTGAAATTTGGCTATAATGTTCTTCGGAGTTTTTATTTTGGGATCTCCTTGGTGAGGTCATCAGTGGATTCTTTCAATGCCTATTTTGCTGTCTAGGAAGTTTTCCTTGGTAATATCTTGAAAGATGATGTCCAGGTCCTCCTTTTGATTATCCCTTTCAGGTAGGACAATGATTCTAACATTGGCGCTCTTGGATCAAATTTCCAGGTCAGTTGTTTTTCCAATGAGGTAGTTTACATTTTCTTCTATCTTTTTTTCATTCTTTTGAATCTGTTTGATTATTGATGTCTCATAAAGTCATAAGCTTCCACTTGCCCAATTCTAACTTTTAAGTAGTTGTTTTCCTCAGCTAGCTTTTGTACATCCTTTTCCATCTGGCCAGTTGTATTTTTTTAAGAGCTGTTTTCTTCAGTAGATTTTTGCATCACCCTTTCCATTTGGCCAATTCTATTTTTAAAGCAGTTTTCCAAGCTGTTGACTCTTTTTTTCATAATTCTTTTGTATCACTCTCATTTCTTTTCCCATTTTTTCTTCTATCTCTCTTATATGATTTTTAAGCTCCTTTTTGAGCTCTTCCATGAATTCTTTCTGAACTTGAGACCACTTCCTTATTCTTCTTTGAGGTTCTGCCCATAGATGTTTTGACACTGTTGTCCTCTTCTGAGTTTGTGTCTTGGTCTTCCTTGTCACCATAATAACTTTGTAAGGTCAGATTTTTTTTCCTCATCTTTTTTGATTTTTTCCTTTCTTTTAAATTCGATCTGTGCTCCCGAGGTGGAAGGGGCATTGTCTCAGGCTTCTTGTGCCAGGTGTTACAAGCCATGGTTGTTTACCTGGTGCTGCACCGATGTTGCCCTGAGGCCCACAGGGGACCCTCTTGTCTGGTGCTGCATTGAGGGGGTGGCTGTAGGGGATTGGGGTATGTGTGTCTGGCAGCTTACTTAGTGTTGAGCCAGGAGGGAGATGGGTGGTGGTGGTAGAAGATCCTTCTGCTGGTGTGTGCTAAGGCTGGTGGGGTGTTTCTGCTTTTCCCTGGGGCTACACTGAAGCACATGGCAGTCTGGCTGCTGGCCCTTGTCTATTTGTTCAGGACTACGCTGAAATACATGGTGATTTTTGGAGGTGGTGTCTGCCCATTCCCTTGGCTATGCTGAGGCACATGGTGGGGTTGGTATTGGTGTTCACCTGCTCCACCACACTGGGCTTAGGATCCCCTGCTGGTTTGCTGGGATGGTTCCTGTCCTGAATGTCCTTTTTACTTGACTGCAACAAACCTTTCCTGGTGACCTTCCAAGTTTCTTGGGCTAAAAGATTATTTCACCCCATCTTTTTTGTTGCTTCTGCTGTTCCAGGTTCTGTTTTGGGGTGCTATTTTATGGTTCAGAGATGAATATGGGAGAGTTACAGTGATTTACTCCTTACTCTACCATCTTGGCTCCCAGAAGTCCAAATATTCAATTTATCAATTAGGACAGCTGTCAATTACTAAATTGATGGCCAGTGTTTTCTCTTGGTAACCAAAGATCTGAAGTAACTATTTTTAAAACCATACTTACTTGTTCCTGACAATCACGCCTGGCTTGCTGCTCATTACTCAAAGCTGTGCTTGCTCTCTGAAGAGCTTCTTGAACTTCATTTTGAACATTTGAGAGAGTCTTCTTTAATTCAGATAGCTATAGCAGGAAAGCAAAAAATCCAAATTAATTGTATGCTTGCTTTAAAATTACAAAAATAAAATTCAGAAAACCTTTGTAGTATAAAGCAGTGGTTTCAATTTCAAAAAGAAATGGGGCCAGTAAACTATACTAAGGATCCCTGCAAGGTTGCATACTGACTTAGAAAAACAACATATTAACATCATCTACATTCTAATGTATTTTTATTAATTTTGTTAACTTATTTCCCAATTACATTTTCTGGTTTGGCTCCAGTGTTGCTGACAGATAATGCTCATGTTTGACACCTCTGGTGTAAAGGTAAGACAAGAACAGCTGGTAATTTGAAATAATCTCTCTTATAGCTACAGGTAAGCAATTAATTAAGTCTTGATAATTATAAACAGGGGTTAAAAACAAAGGGCCAAGAAGGTAGTTTTTCAGTGCAAGCATGAAAGCTTGAAAAATGAAAAGTGGAATAAAATAGCAAATCAAATATGGGTTATCTTGAAAGCTGGTAAGAAGAGAAGCACAGATGACAGAAGATACAATTTCTCACAAAGGAAACATGCTGGTGGTCAAATCTACCTGCTGCTCCATACTCTCAAGGGCTCTGCGCTTTTCATCTTGAAGTTCTTGTTTTTCCTTCTCTGCTTCCATTAGTTTTTTTTCCAGTTGTGCCTGATACTCAGCTGAATCTTTTAAACGAGCTTCAACATTCTTACGCACCTCTTCTGTCACCTTGCCATTAGACAACAGAAATTAAGAATTCAAAAATAAGTTGTACAATTAATTTAGGTTATACCAGGCTTGAAACCCTGAGACAAAATCAACATTACAATTGTGAAGGTGAAGGTTTGTGACAGTCTACTTGCCTTATGGTTCCATAATAAATTCTTGTGATCTTTAGTACTAAAACTGACAATACCGAAAGTCTCTTCTCTACCACTACTGCCCCACGTACACCAAAACATCAGCCCCAGTTCTCCTTATGTCCTCATCCCACTTAATCCTGTTTCTCCCATTATATCCACCTCTCCATCTTGTTAAATGTACCTATGCCTTCCCTCTTCAATTTACTTTGTATCTATTTTCTTTTTAATTTTCCATGCAGTTGTTTTTCCCAATATAATGTAAGTTCCTAGAAGGCAAGAATTGCTATATTGTTGGTTTTTTTTTTGGTCTGGCTCACAGTAAGTGTTTAATAAATGCTTGAGTTAAACTGAGCATCCCACTTATAGAATGCACTGAGGAGTAATATACAGTTTTTACAGAGATGCTTGGGACACAGATTAAGTGACTCATATGAGTCCAGGGTCATAGTTAGTATGTGTCAGAGATGCACTTGAAAAACAAGTATTCAAATGATAAAGTATAATCTGTCTAACCTATGACTAAACTGGGAATATACGTATACACTGATTTGACAATGACTTCTAAAATAGTTAATAGGAAGGAATATTAACTGAAAAGGCTCAATACTGAAAAGTAACTCAGGACTGAATGAAAAATCAAAGCCAATTAAAAATTTACTAATAAAAGTACCACTGAAATGAATCATTGCTATTAAATACATTATGTACATATGCCAAGTTGTCAACAGATTTTAGACTATCATTGTGCTTCACATTATATTACTTACTTGTTTTTCCTTGTTTAGGGATTCTTCTAAGCTAAGAACCATAGCTCGATACTGTTCCACATTACTAGAAGTTGTCTTGAGTCTTTCCTTCAGGTCATTTATCTGCTCTTCAGCTTGCCTTAGTTGACTTACAAGGTCATCTATATCTTCTTTAGTACTAGGCTGACCTAAAACAATGGTATTTGAATTTAATATATAAACAAAAAATAAGCACTATGTTCCTTACAGATATTTCAGGACACAATTCAATTCAAGATGTTTTAAATGCCAAGTATGTGATCACAGTTGTTAGGCAGTGAAACCTATAGAGAAACAACACCCAACTCGAAGAAGCTTACATTCTACTGTGATGGCTTACCCTCCATGTGATGGCTCATTCTATTTCCATGTTTGGGATTCCTTTCACCTTTAAAAAGTTCAAAATATTACCTGAAGCCTTCTTTAACTATCCCCTCCCCAAATGCTTTGTTTCTAAACCCACAGTAATTATATGTAATATAGTTTTAAAAATATTTGTCTTTGGATCTTATTCTCCTCCCTTCTCCTACAATTTGATTGTAAGCTTCATGAGGGCATGTCTGAAATACTTCCTCCAGTACCATGAAAAAGATTGGTACACAAGAAGTACATAATAATAAATGTTGAGCAAATTAATGTTTAAAAAGACAGACGTCCAAGTATTATGACTTCTACTAAAAAGCCCTTGTTCAGAAGGAACCTCTCAACTCTCTGAGTCTATCATTTGAGTCGCTAACCTTCCACTTTAAAATCTCAAGTTACACTATTTAGTGCTACGAGACTTTAAGGATAAGTCAAACCAATCCCCTCATTTTGCTGATGTGGAAAACTGAAGTCTAGGGAGTCATTCTGGCCAGAAGCATTGTTCTCTTTCTAAAATGGATACTACCTCAATGACTGTCTGTATATGTCCATGTTGATTTATACATGTCCATTTTCTAAAGCAGAAAAAAAAAAAAGAAATCTGGAAACCAGTATTTAAAGATAATCATTTGCTTTGTAAACTTCTTTCAGGAAGCAAAACTTCTGGGAAAATTCTTTTACCTAAGACCTTCTCATTAATAATACAGGGTATTCCAAAAGTCTTAAATGCAGTTTTAGGCTTTAATAACTTAAAACCATACTAAGATTCTTGGGATATCTTATAGAGAGGAATACTACTCTACAGGAAAAGTAATCAATTTAATTACCCATAGTGCTTTTTAATTTGACTCTGTCATTCTTATCTGTAACTGTCCTTAGAAAAGAGTTTGCTATCAGAGGGTTTGAGCTTCAGTTCTATTTGTAAATCACTTCATTCTAGGCTTTACTTTCCTTAAATGTAAAATGAAGCTGCTGTACTGGAGGACTTCTGATATTCTGTTGAATACTTCCAACAGTTGGAAAACAAATGAAGCATATTATGATTACCTGTTCAGGATACCTTATACACCCATATTCAACTTCCTGAGGAGGATCAAATGGGTCAAGAGTAAACACTACCATTGAGTCCCAATTTTATGCTAGGATAAAAAGTATTCACAAGGATTAAAACTTCCCACCTAATGCTCTATAAATTCTAGTTAAGTGCGCCTCTTCTCTTATCTAAAATTGACTGGTTCATGATATAGTTTTTGCAAGATAGATAGATAGATATAGATATACATACATAGATCTATCTATCTATCCCATCCACATATATATATATATATATACATATATATAGATAGATAGATAGATAGATAGACATATCTATATATATATATAGATATGTCTATCTATCTATCTATGATAGATCATAAACTTAAAATAGTTTACCTTTTCCAGGAGCTCTCTGTGCTGACTGGGAAGCAAGCTGGGCTTCGATATTATTGAGTTGCTGTTTCAATGTAGTAGTTTCCTTTTGAGCATTTTTTAACAGTTCTTTTGTATTAAGGTGACGGTTTATTTCAGTCTCTAGCTGTCTCTTTGTGTCTAAAAGATGAACCTGCAAAAGATGATAAATATATATATCACTTACATCAAATTTTAAGATTGTTTTTAGTTTAAACCACAGATTTAAATCAAAGTTTCCTTTCTTATGGTCACTTAAATGGCTGACAAAAAACACTCAAAAGTAAACATTTATTAAGCATCTATAGGTCAGCATTTATTAAGCATCTACAGCAATATGCTAGATGACGGCCGTATAAAGATGAAACGAGAGACAGGTTTTGCTCTCAAGGAGTTTACAACCTAGTATAAGGAAATGCATTACAAGTATACAGATAATGACCAAACAAATTAAAATAGTTGCAAAAAGGGAGACCCATACAAAATGTTATGAAAGATGTGAGTGACTAATGGTATTTTGGAGGAATAAGTAAACACTTCTTACAGACTAATAACTCATCTGGTCCTTGAAGACAAGGGTTTCAACAGGCAGAGGACGAGGGGGGAGATTATTCTGGGGCATTGGAAATAGCATTTATAAAGGTACTGAAGAAAGATTGGAAGGAGGAGCTTTGGCAATGACAAGCTCAAACATAAAGATAGGAAATAATATGCACTGTCAGACCAATTAATTTGCAGCCAGAGGCCGATAAAGGCTATGAAGTGCCTTGCCTAAGTTCACACAAGCAAGATTCAACCACAACAATTATCTATGCAAATAGACTCACATCTTGATTTCTTGTAAGTGTGTGTCTTTGTTCTACTTCAGTTTCTAATTTCTTCTTCAGTTGAGATATCTCACGTTCAAGCTTTTCTATCTGGTTATTAAGTCTCTGCTTAGTTTCTGTTTCAGATCTCTCCAGTATTCCCTTAAGAAAAAGAAATGTCATAGGGTTTTTAAATAATTAATAAAAACAAATTTATTCAGCATCTATAAAAAGTGTAGGGCAATGGGAAGAGAAAGACAATAAGAAAACAGTGTCTGAGTTCAAAGAATTTCTGTTGACAGAAACCATATATACACATACAAAATACAAGAAAAAATAAATTGGGTGTTTAGAGGTGGGGGCAAGAGACAGTGGCTGGAGAGAAGTCAGTACATAGTACCTGAGCTGAGGCCTGAAGAAAGCAAGGGGTTCTACGGGAGGGAGGGCAACAGTGAGGAGAAAGTTAATCAAAAATGTCTATCAAGATAAGCACCATAAACTCTTTAATCTACCACAAAGAAAAAGCCTGCTAACAGAAATATTTTTAAAAATACAGCATACATCTACTTGAACATGTTTAATTACCAGACTACCCATATTAAGAAGTTATTTTCAGACTTTTCTCAAAGTGAGGCATTATGTATGTAACTACAGAGGAAAATGCCAATAAAAACTCTCCCAGATTTCACAATTCTGTCAAGAACAAAAAGATTTATATATGTTCAGGAGGCTGAACAAGTAAGTTTTACACATTTCTTTCATAAATTAGAGATAAAGTTCTGAAAAGAGCAGTTAAGATTCCTTTTAAAGGTTGAGTCGGAAAAAATAACATTTTAAGGTCTCAAATTCTATATTTATTAAATTTATGAAAACATACACACACACACATACAAACAAATGTAACTCATAAGAATGAAAAGAACGATATTTTCCAAATAGCTATCTAGAATTAGGGTTCTAAAACTTTTTTGTGACATGGATCCTTTCACAATTTGGTGAAGCTCACAGACACCTAAGAATGTTTTTAAATGCACAGAATAAAACGCATAGGATTTTAAACCAGTTCTATTGAAATAGTTATCAAATTAAAGAAAGTTCACATATCTAAAAATCCCTAGTAGAATTCATGTATATTTACAACATATAGAAATTGATGTTTCTTTTATGAAGACATTACACCCCCCCAATTTAGCAGAATACCTGAATTGTCTGCAGATTAGTTAGCAGTAAGTTTTGTCCTCTTTGTTCAGCTAATAAAGATTCTTTCTGCTGAGTGAGGCGAACTTCTGACAATTTCAACATTTCCTTTTCCTTTTTCAGATTTTCTGCTCTCACCTTAAAAGACAGAAAAACAATAAAAGGTCTTGTGTGAAAAAACTGAAAATACAATTTTCTAAATATAATATCTAAATATACAATCACAAAAGTTTGCCAAATTTAATGCTAAACTTACACAATATTTAAGGTCTGTGCAAAGGACATATATGGCTCTTAAGATTAATCAAATACATATTCAATTCAACAAGCATTTATAGAATGTCTATTATGTACTAAACAGAAATCCCAGAACATGTTAAGGTATCAAGAAAAGCAGAGTCATTCAATCAGAATAAACAACTGATGGGGGAGCCACAGAGTTCTTCCAATGGGATCAGTGGGGGATGCTATTACCAACTCTCTCCCTGACCCTATTCCATCAGGCTGTGTATATATGGAGACAGACAAGGCCACCAGGGTCTCCTCATAATTTTACTTAATCCCTTCCTCCAAATTGCCCAGGATTCTCAAAGTGTTGATGGGGAGTAGAACTGGGGGAGAGGAGAGCTGTCAGCAAGTCACCCTTCTTATGCCTCCTCACCTGCCCAGACCCTATGAGTCGTCAACTACAATCTGATGAGACAGAAGACCTCAGGGCTTACTATTGGCCCTGCCACTATATCTCCTATGGACACTGCCTTTCATCTGCTGATTCACTCTATGGAACCCTGGGCCTTATCTCCATCTCTCTTCTGAACCCTGAAAATTTCCAAGAGTCTCCATCAGCTCTGCAGCTGAATTCTTACATATATTGTCTGGGAGATAAGAGTGTGACTTTCTTGAGAGCAGAACAGTGTTTATTAGCACTTACCATAGTGATTGATAAATGCTTTCTCCATCCACCCATGGGATCCAATAAACTTGTTTTAGAATACCTTAGAATACCAAGAACCCAGGAGAAGCTTAAAGGTTTAAAGTCACAACACTTAGTTACTTATTTCCCTACAACAGGGAGCACAAGCCACAAAACACTATAAAGATAAACCTATACTGCTCTAGGCTAGTTCTTTTCCCTTTTCCTAACTCTGTGAGGTGACACTTCCTATTTCCAGAAATAAAATGGGGTTTCTGTGACTCTAGGATAGGAAATATTAATAGCTTCCCAGTTTTTCTCAAATATTTATTTTTATCAATAGAATGAAAGTCTCTTGAGGGAAGAGAGCATTCAGTTTTAGTTTTTATCACTTCCACCCCTACCATAGCCTAACTGTTGCCAAGGGTTGTTGATTTTACCTTTCCAACATCTCTTGAATATGCCTCCTTTTCTCCTTTGACACTGCCTCCTCTTTGGTACAGGCCCTTATTACTGTGCACCTGGACTATTTTAACAGCTGCTGGTGGGTCTGTCTGCCTCAAGTCTCTCCCTACTCCAATCTATCCTTCATTCAACCATGAAAGTGACTTTCCTAAAGCACAGGTTTGATCACCCCTCCCTACCCCCGAAAAATATCAGTAGCTTCCTATTGCCTCTAGGATCAAATACAAAACACTCTGTTTGGCCTTCAAAGTCCTTCATAATCTCCACCTCCCAGTCTTTTTACTCCCATTCCCTAACAAATACTCTTCAATCCAGTCACACTGGCCTCCTGGCTGTTTCACAAAGACATTCAAATTTTCAATTCCAGGAATTCTTGCTGGCTGTCCCCCATGCCTGGATCATTCTCTTTGCTGATAACTGACCTTGCTAGCTTCCTTTAAGTCCCAACCAAAATCCCATCTTTTATTAGAAGGCTTCTCTAACCACTCTTAATCACAGTGCTTTTTCTCCTTTAATTCTTAGTTATCCTGTATATAGCTTGCTTTGTATGTATTTGCATGCTGTCTCCTGTATCCCCAGAGATTAGTATGGTGTCTGGCACATGGTAAGTGCTTAATCAAAGTTTATTATTTGACTGATATTTCCCCTACACCCAGTCCTTGTACAATGTCTCCTTTCACACTGTAGGCTATTTAGTTGAACCAGAATAAGTACTACAAAAATACACCCTAAAGTTAAAGAAATGGCTTTTTAAAATGATCTGAAAAAGTAAAGATCTATAAAAGTCAGACTGACATACTACTATTCCCCTACTTTATGTCTGGACAATCAAAAATTACATAATAGTTTATTTTCTTAATGACTTGCCACTAATAACTAGTTGGACTAGTTCTTAAATTTTTCTCTTATTGGAACACTAGTAAATGTTAATTTCCAACTTAATTAAGCAGCACAGCATACTGGACAAGAAGCCATTCTTAGGGCCAGGAAACCTTAGATTCAAGTCCTACTTCTGACATATGCTGGCTATACAACTCTTGGTAATTCACTCAATCCCTCAGTACACCAGGCAACTCTAAGCCTCTAAATTTGGAGAAAGTTCAGCGGAAGATCATCTGAGAGTTTGCTTATACCAGCAATTGTCCAATATTCTGGTCTCAGGGCCCCTTTAAAAATTACCGAAAACCTCTTTCCCCAAAGAGCTTTTGTTTATGTGGGCTATAAGTACCATTAATAGCATTAGGAATTAAGATGCCTTCTTATCATGAATATGGTTTTGACTTCAAGGACCACACTTTGAGAACAATTGCCCTCTACTTACAAACACACAGGCTTAATCCAAGTCTCTACCACTATCTTCTAGGATCAAATGATCTAGAGGGTCTGCACAGTAAAGATTACTTGTTATTGGGGCAGCTAGGTGGCACAGTGGATAGAGCTCCAGCTTTGGACTCAGGAGGACCTGAGTTCAAATCCAGTCTAAGACACTTGACACTTACTAGCTGTGTGACTCTCGGCAAGTCACTTTAACCCCTACTGCCTCACCAAAAAAGTGGGGTGGGGTGGGGAAAAGATTAGTTGTTATCCATAAGCCAAATGGAAGATCCAAAATATCTAAGTTAGGTAAAGCAATTATGTTTAAACAATAAAATTAAATTAAAAAAAAAAAGAAATCTGTCTTCAAATAAAAAAAAAGCAAAAGCACTTTCAGGTAAAACCTACAAAAAGAAAACTAATCTCACTTCTGCAACTGCCAACTTCTCATTTGCTCCTCTCAAATCCTGGGTCATAGTGTTGATGATCTGCTCCTGTTTTTGAGTTGTTGCTGTGAGTTTTTGGTTTCTCTCATGTAAGGATGTAATTTCTCGACGGTACCCCTCGACATTATCTTGTAGCATTTCATACCTTGTATTATAAAAAATAAAAATACATTAATAAGCTCTAAAATTAAGCATAATGACTTCTTAAAACGTCAACTTTTATCTAAATGGACTGCAGAAATATATACCACATAGTTAAACACTAGGATCAGTTTTCTTCCAAATTTGGCTTGAATAAAACCTGAATGTAACCTCTAGTTACTATAATTTTGCTATCTATGACTACATATTTTATCCTTTTCAAAGAGATCTGATTTTGACTTATACTTTATACTCCTATCAGAATAACAACACAGCAAATGTCCTATGTTAAGTAATCAAACTAGAATATAAATACACTCAAAAAATTTCCTATGAAATATAAAAATAACACTTCACTACGCCAATTAAACTACTCACTTTCATATATCAAATCCTTAATATTGGTTAGCTAAAAAAACCCTGTAAAAAGCCACAGTGAAGTTATACCAGAGTCTAATGAAATAAAAAGGTACTCTTTATATTTCACTAATCTCTAAACAAAACAGCAAATTATTAAATGACTTTTTCAACCTAAACAAAACTGATTTACCGTTTAGAAGCAAAATCTAACTGGGTAGAAATTTTAGTATGTTGTGACCGTAGATCTGCAACTTGCTCCTGAAGTTTCTCCACTTGTTCATTTTGAATTTTATCATTCTCTGCTTTTTCTTTTTTGTAGTTTTCAAAAATTTCCTGCAACTAAATATTAAGAGCAATTATTGAATGATGTTTAAGACTTTCCTTCTTAAAACCTGCCCTAGACAAAGAAAATAAGAGTTATACCTGTTTGAGTGCAGCCTTGGCTTCTACTGCCTCTGTTGACTCAACTGTAGAAACTGGAGCAGGAGTGGAGATGGTCTGTGACACACCAGAAGAATGTTTCGGTGTGGACATCAGGGAAATTTCCTCTAAGCTTGAAGCTTCATAAAAATAAAATGAGAAATATGAGAGCTGTTTTTAGTTTTCTGCATGTCTTTACATTTACTTCATCACTAAAAAAAAAAAAGCAACAGGCACTGGTTACTTGAATTAGATCAGGTTGCAGAATTTAGTACTATAAATGTTCTTCACTGTTTTATTCAGTGAGAGATGGAGATGTTGAGCTAACAAGAATCATTTAGGTGCATGTGACCTTTTGAAAGCAAAAAATGGCAAGTGAACACAAATCAAGAAATAAAAATCTTTTGTTACCACCAGATCATTTCTTAACAAAGACTTTAGAAACACACTAAATTTATTTTTTTCCAAAATATTTGAAAGCTTAAATAATGTGTTAACCTACCTTGCAATGGAATGACAACTCCTGTTGTTTGTGATAACAAAATTCGGTACATGTCACGCTGACGGACTATTGAATCAACAAGCTGCATCTGATGGTGTCGTGATTCACGAAGTTGTTCCAATTCAGTGAGGGCACTCTCAAGCTGAATTTGCAGCTCAGTAATTCTGCAGGAAAAAAATAGCTGTATACTTTAGAGAAATGTCAGTGACTACATTTTGATAGTTCTGCTAGAAATTCATACAGGAATCTATATTATAATACTTCGCATAATGTCATACCTATTTTCCTGCTAGGGGTGAGGAAGACAAAGTCTAGATAAGACATGGTACATTTGTTCTAGAGTTTATATGTAATGGGGGTTATGAAATATATACAAATAAAGAAAATACTGTATCAAATAAATACAAAACATAATATTTGGGGTTTAATGGAAGATAACTGTTTCATGGAGGGATTCGAGATTGCCTTTAAAGAACTGGATTTAATGGGTAGGTACAGGGGGAGGAAATCTCAGGCTAAGAAGCATAGGGTATACAACACAAAATATAAATCAAATTAATATTTGAAAATAAGGATAATTTTCAATTCACTAGTTTTTTCTCTGAATTTTTTTACTTAGTCCAACACATTTGAATGCTTTTAAAAAATCATTTAATGCCACTGAGCACACAATGGGTTATCTAGTATTTGCACAGGGAACTTTAAACAACACATAAAATTATTACATAACTAATTTATTATTATTCTATGTGGAATTTGTATGGAACTGTATGTGTTCGATTCCCATGACCTATGTTCATGATGAAGTCATGATGGCTCTTCAAGAGCACTGCTTTCACTTCTAGATGAACATTAATTGTTCCTTTAATAATTTGTTCTAGAATTTTGTCAGAAAACAAAATGAAGGTCATTGGCCCATACTTTAAAAACTTCTATTCTCTTTTTATTGAAAACTGGGACAATATTTACCCTTTTCCAAATCTGAGGTATTGTTCCCTTTCCCATGACCATTCAAATATCATGAGTACTTCCAACAATGTTATCTGCTGCTTCTTTTAGTACCCAAAGATGCAGTACATTTGGGTCAGATGATGTGATCAAGGTGGTCTTTAGCTTTCTCCTTGTTTATTCTGTGTATCAATTTCCTAATTCAGCATATTATTCTGTGCTTATCAGCTCAAAGATCATCTCCTTAGTTGCAAACACAAAAGTTAAGTAAAAATCTTCTCTGTCTTCTCTGTTATCGCTTACCTTCATCTCATCTACCCTTAGAGCAGGCCTGCACAATCTGTGGTCCGCCAAAAAATTTCCTCTATGTACAAAGAATGTCTTCCTTTACATTTTTTGCAGGCTTCCTAAAATCCTTTGGCATGCTGTAAGCAGCCCACGGGCTGCAGGTTGTGCAGGACTGCCATAGAGTATCCAAGCCCTTCCATGATTTTCTGCTTTGGTTTAAACAACCTTTTTGGGGAGGTGACAGAAAGGAGGGACGGTAATTGCCATAAAAGGATTAAATTAGAAATGAAATTTAAATTGAGGCTTAAAACCTGAAAGGATTTACACAGAGTATGTCTACCATACATAATTTAGTTATAAAATTTCAGTCTTCTGTAATATTTATTTTTTAGTTTTCTCATTATTATTGAATATATATTATTGAATATATGCAAATTTAAATGATTTATTCTTTTAATTACATTTTCCTAAGGTTAACAAAAAAAATCATAACAAGACAGAAAAGCCATCACACAAATCAAAGGATGACCATTTTATTACGGAAAAATATAAAAACAGATGGTTTTAAAAGGTCTCAACTTTTTACCTTGAAGACGTTGTTTCTTGTTCTTCTCTTTCTCTCGTCTCCCCAAGCTCCCTAAGCGCTACTAGAAGGCGCTGGTTCTGTTGCTGGAGTTCTTCAATATTCCTGTAGGAGACTAGATGCTGTGATATTACTTCAGATGAACTACTGATGTCAGCAGAACTTACTTCTTCATCACGAATTACATGATTACCCCTTGCTTCTTCAAGTTCCATCAAGAGAACTCTAATCTAAGAGAGGATGCAATGTTATTAAAGCATTGCTGATTTAGGTGTGAAAAAAAATAACATTTAGAGCAGAAAGCAAAATTTTTTCTTTGGCTAGGTAATGGAGTTAAGTGACTTGTCCAGGGTCACATTGCTAGTAAGTGTTAAGTGTCTGAGGCCAGATTTGAACTCAGGTCCTCCTGACTCCAGGGCCAGTGCTCTATCCACTGTGTCACTTGGCTGCCCCCAGAAAGCAAATTTTTAAGAGATGATTTTCATGTACTTGTTATTTTAAAAACCTCAGAGTGGGAAAAAAAAGTTGACAAACAGCCAGGTAGCACAGTAGACAGAATGAGATTTGCAAGGAAGGAAGATCTAAATCAGAATACTGCTTCAGAATCTTATTAGATGTGTGACCGTGTGCAAGTCTCTGTGCCTCAGTTTCCTCATTTGTAAAATGGGAATAACAGCAACTATTCCATAGGATTACTGTGAGGATTAAATGAGTTAGCATAAGAAAAGTGCTTCCCAAAACTTTAAAGCACCATTTAAATGTTATTGTTAGCAACAGTAGCACTTCAATTAATCACCTAAAAAAAAGCCTTCCAGCTTATCACTTAGATGTTGATACCTTCTAGGTAAGACATTTTTTACTAAGTCTTAGCAATTCTGATGTAAGTAAAATTGCATTTATTATCTAAAAAGCTGTCCACTGCAAACAAACTTTTTTTTCAAGATACTCTTTAGCAATATCAATAGAATGATAAAATATGATAAAGTAACTCAGTAACACAATAACAGACACTAACTTTTTTAGAATCTAATTCATTGTTTGGTGACTTTTGATATAAAGTGGATCACTCCTGGTTCCCTCTAATGAAGGATCTATTGACCAAAGGAACTACTTATTATAAAGGTAGTTTTATCTTTAGAACACTGACCCCAAATGCAGAATCAGAGGAAGACTAAAGTGCTAAATTAAAATTTTCTAACCTGTTGTGAAAGATCTTTCACTTGTATTTCCATTCTTTGGTTGTCCCTTTCAAGAACGGATGAATGTTTGTTGGCTTTGTCAGTGTCCTCTTGCAATCGCTGAATTTCCTATAAGCCAGAAATAGGTTTAAAGCTTGTAAAAATCAGTATTTCTGGTGTAAGACAAAAATTTTGCTTTAAGAAGTTTGAGACTACCATTACCATAGAGTGCTCAGGAACTACAATAATCAGAGTAATATTAAATAACATATGGGAAAATTAAAAAGGAAAAAACCCTTCTTAAATTAATCTTCCTGAGGGGAAAAAAAAATCAACATGTAATATTTACATATGACTAATAGCTGTCATTTAAAATTGGGTCTAAATTAAAAAATAAGTAGGAAAGATGGGTCTGTTCATTCTGATTGAAAATTTCACTCCCTTACCCTAGTCACATATCCACATAGAATTCTTATTAGACAGTAACATATAATGGCATAGAAATGTTACAAGCACTATAGTAACAGACACTAATATCCTCATAGCAATGCTACATGACTGTAAATCATTAACACTATAATTTCAGATAAAAAATAGTTACCAATAATACAAAAGACATTTGAAAGACATAAAGTATGCATGATAAACTTACTCTCTCTTTACAGATGAGGAAGAAAAGAACCAGAAAGGTTAAGTGACTTTCCTAAGGTCACAAAAGTATTAAATGGAAGATCCCAGATTTAAACTATGTCTTGATTCCAAACAGAACATTCTTTACAACATGCCATTGAGATAGTTGTTACTATCAATTTTAAATTTTGTAAAATTTAAATCAAGGCAACAAATCATGTTTCATCTTTACTTGTTCCCTAGTTTGGTCCTAAGAAGGGTACACTTACCTTCATTGCTTGCTCAAGCTTAACAGATAGACTTGCCACAGCTTTTTGGGCACGTTCATATTCCTCACGCTGGCGTTTCAGAATCGGTGCTTTTGCTTCAACTTCTTTTACTATTTCATCTAGATATTTATTAATTCTTTTGTTCTCTAGTTTCTCTAAAAGTAACTGATCTTGTGTTTCTACATATGCATTGTACAGCTGTAAGAGAAAACATACCACGTCAAGTCTAAGTACAATATTAAAGGAGCAGGTAAGAACATGATAGACCACAAACTAAATTTGAATTTTTTGCCACATTGACTAGACAGTCGTTTCATAAAACTGGATATTCCTATCAACATTCTATTTTAAGCATGACTCTTCTAAGTAATATCTTAAGAGTCCTGAACATTTTAGATGAAAATGTGTTGTAATACTCAAATTAAAAAATGGTCACCTCAGTTAATTTCATTCCAGGTTTCACTATTTTAGCTACAGCTGCTGCAGTGGGAGACATAGCTGCAAGCTCCTCTTCAGATAATATGGCCCCTACACAAATAAACACAGAAAAAATATTCCATTACTGTACAAGCTCAAAAGAAAAACAAAAAAGAAAGCCCAAAAAACAAAAACAAAAAAACCCAAAGTTATAGTTTTCAACACACGTAAAAGGATTAATACATTTTCAATTCAATAATACATTTTAAGTACTTTTACAATCTTCCTTCACACTACTTCCCCCTTCATGTTACACAGAATGTAACAACAAGATTACCTCCTGAATCATGCTTCAAATGCTCTCTTTTTGGTGCCTCATCTGTGTATTTAATTTGAAGTTATTAGAGGTCCAGGTTCAAATCCTGCCTCTGTCACCCTAGCTATCTGACTATAGTCAAGTCTCTTGGCCTCTGAGCCTCAGACTGGTACCATTATGTTGTGAAAATAGTATCAGGGATAATATTTATTGTCAAATAAAAAGAAACTTAAATAATTTACCCGACAATTTCTTAAAAGAAATGCTTATATTTAAATATTATTAATTGAATATACCACCTGCTATTATACTCAAAGAACAACAATTTCAGTGTTCCAAGTCACTAAAAACATTTATATGAAAATATCATCCATACCTTTCCTTTTTGTGGCTGAGAGTAGATCATTAGCATTCTCTAGTTCTCTCTCTAACTTGCCAATCTTCTCTAGCATTTCTTTTTCCATTTGGGCTTTTGATTCTTCCACTTCCATTAAATGATCTTGTATTCCTTTGTTAGCTTAAAATATAAGACAAATTTAAAAAGAAATCTTATCATGCTGTAGAACAAAAATCTAGAAGTTGCTAAATTTTAATCTGCTTAAATCCCTATTTTTTCCTCAAAAGTATTCTTTGCTAAGAATCTAAGGATCAGCGTCTAAGGATAAAAGCTGGATTCAGGAGAGGAAACGACCATTCCTTCTATCTACTATTGTTCATTTAAAGTGCCTGTTTCATTTGAATTACATGAAATACTCATGCCTTTGGTTCTTACTCTCCTGTTTCTCTTGATCTCCTGATGTCCCTCTCTCCCTGATAGATGGAAAGGGGTTGTAATTCAATCTCTTGACTTCATTTTGATTCTTCATCTGAAATACTGGATATTCTTTCTAGAATATGGCTTAAAGGCCTATGCATAATCAATTAAGAAATGTTTTATTTATAGTTAGGAGTAAGACATTGAAATATATCTTACACTGTGAGAAAGTTTATTATAGGTTCTGAAAATGAATATTCTGGAAATGAATATAAAAAAAGTTATAAGCCTCTACCTAGGCTTAGCATACTGGCGTTAGGGAAAATCTTTGTTGTTGTTGTTCAGTCTTTTCAGTTGCGTTCAAGTCTTTGTGATTTTCATTCGGGTTTCTCAGCAGAGATATGGAAATGGTTTGCCATTTCCTTCTCCAGCTCATCTGACAGAAGGAAGCTAAAACAAACAGGGTTAAGTGACTTGCCCAGGGTCACATAGCTAGTAAGCATCTGAGAAGAGATCTGAACTCAGGGAGGTGAGTCTTCCTAACTCCAGGCCTAGCGCTCTATCCCCTGTGCCACCTTGCTGTCCTAAGGAAAAATCTAACTTTATAAAATTGGCAAACAGAGGAGAATAAGGTATACAAAATTAGGAAGAAACAACATATTACAAGATGTTATTAGTAAATGTGTATAAGATAGTGATGGAAAAATATACAAGTCTCAGTGCAGATTAAAGCTTTAATAGCTGAAAACTGCATTAAGATTTTGGAACATCCTGTGTACATATGTCTGTCTAGCTACACACATACATATTTATGTAATACAGACGTGCCTTTAATAATTATGCCAACAGAACAATTTTCCCCCCCAAAATTTTGGTACAGTAGCATTAGAACTAAGATTGAAAACAAATTTCACTTCTAGAATAGTGCTCTTAAATCCCTCAGGTAAGCTCTATCACTAAGATAAACTTATCTAAAATATACTTGATTTACAGCAATCATATGATTCACAACAGAAATGGAATCTCTAAGTATCTTTCTCTCCTTGTAGAATCTTTCTTACCCTCTCCAGCTTCTTTTAAAAGCTTGTGAAGCTCATCCACTGCTCGAGTTAGCTCACTGCTTTTTGCTTCAGAGTCATCAGCAGCACTCTGAAATAATGTTTAATCAGAAGCTGTTAAAGAGCATCAACAACAACAGTAAAAACAAGACCAGGAACACTAAAATTTATGATACTGCATTTACCTTATACAAGTTAGAGAGCTTGATGTGGGCATTCAGCTCATTGTGGAATTTTTCTTCCATACTAGTCTGCTGTTCCTTGGCCTAGAAAGTAAACAAAATCATAATAATCATAATATCTCACCACTGGTATAGATTTAAGAGTTTTTTCAAATGGTCAAGGTTAGGTGTGGTTGTCTTTTAAAAGAGAAAAGATCGGGAGGGAGACAGAGAGAGCAAGAAAATGCTATTTTTACCAAATAACAAGATTACCTAAAATTAAATTATAATCATGTTCCAAAACAGATTAAAATAATAATCAAGCCTTCAGTAAAATTATCTTATTATTTTTTGGTTCTCCAGGAAAACTATTAAACAATTTCATAATACTGTAATTAACATGTATTCTCTATTTTTGACATAGCATCTGCTGTCTGTTCCTGATCTTAGAAATTACAAGCTGATACATATTTTTGAAGAATTAAGGCTACAAATGTCAAACATTATATATAAGAGGGCTGGACTTAATGATAATAGTAGCTACCATTTATATAGCACTTTAAGGTTTGTAAAGTGTTTTACAAATATGATCTTACTTTATCCTCACAATGAACCTGGCAGTAGGTGCTCTTCTTATTTTTATTTTACAGATGAGGAAACTAAGGCAGATAGAGGTCAAGTGACTTACCCAGGGTCATACAACTACTGACTGTCTGAGGTCAAATTTGAACTCAGGTCTTTCTCACTGTAGGTCTAGTGCCCATAAGCTATTAATACTTAGCTGCCTCAAATGGCTCTTATGAGTCTCTTCTCGGGGCAGGTAGGTAGAGCAGTGGCCCTGGATTCAGAAGGACCTGAGTTCAAATCTGGCTTCAGACACATAACAGTAGCTGTGTGACCCTGGGCAAGTCACTTAACCCCATTGCCTAGGCCCCCCCCCAAAGTCTCTTCCAACTCTAAACTTATGAACCTAAGAATGCTTTCACATCCTCAAAGTAGTAGCTGAATTTAACACACCTCTTTCAATTTGGTCAGAAGCTCTTCCACATGTTTTTGTAGATGTTCATTTGATGTTTTCAAGCCATTCACCTGTTCCTCCATCCTGGAAACCTACATGAACAAAATTTGTAAAGGGAAGGAAGTGTCACAAACTTTAAATTATCACAATTTCATGATTATACTGTCTAATAAAAACTCAAGTGTCCTCTTTTACACACACCTTTGCAAAAAATGTACTAGTACAACATGGAGTCCCTTTCTTTTTTTAAAATGAAATCCCAAGTAACAATATTAAAAAATCAGTTGTAGGGAAGTTTTAAAGAAATCTTTAACTGGTTTCTGATTTAATGAACAGAATGTTAATAATATCCTCAGTTTTTGATGCTTATCCTACTAGAATATTGTTTTGCTTCAAGACTGAACAAATATCTCGTAAAATTTGACACATAATTCTAAATATGAAAAGATTTGACCACACATCCATAAAGATAGTATTTTTATTCCACTAACTTACCTCTTCTTTTTTGTTTTCAAGATTACATTTAAGTTCCAGGATTTCATTTCCTTTTTCTCTACCAACAGCCAGGAGTTCATCAGTTTTGGTTTTTAGTTCTGTATTCAGCCATGTGTTTTGACTATGTAGTAATTCCTTTTCTTGTTCCAATCGTTTCTCTCGATACTATGGAAATCACATGAAATAGTTTTACAGAGGGCAAAAAAAGTTTTATAAGGGATATAAACTAGAGTTGGGATACAACTAAAGAATACCAGCTATATTTACATTTGCTTAAAGTCATAGGTGCTTTTTGCAGGGTATAATTTGAATAAAATTTTGCTTCACAGAAAATCAACTGCAGAAGACTTGCATATAATGGGCATTAAGGAACACTTTAAAATGTCACACAATCAGATTATAATTACAAAGTCTTTCTTATAGACTTTATCTTTTAAAGTCCTATACACCCTGGTTCAAACCAATCTTTCCAACCTCATTACACATTTCTTCTCTTCCTACATTTCACAATCCATTCAAATAGGCCTCTCTGATTCCTCAAAAGTGTAATCCCATTTCTCATTTCCATGCCTTTTCTATAGCCATATCTCATGTCTGGAATGCACCTTCTCATTGCCTCTGCCTCACAGATTGCTTCTCTTCCTTTCCTTACTCCCTCAATTACTAGTACCCTGTACCACAACATATCTATTGTTCACATTTACTCTGCATGGGCTTATTTATGTACTTATTTCCACAAATAGAATATAAGTCCCTTGAAGGTAGGAAGTGTTTCATCCTTTGTATTTTTATTGTCAACATATAACGCAGTGTGTGACATAAAACAGCTGCCTAATAATGGTTTGATTGATTAACTGACTTGATTTTACTCATTTCAGTGTTATAGGAAATACACCCATGGCATCCTGGATAGCTACTGCTTCCAGTATTGACATGCAGAGATCTAGGAGGTAAAACCTCAGTTTTCATTATGTGTAAGCACAGTCCTAGAGTTTCAAAAACAAACAAAACTGTACCTCATCAGAGTTTTCACTATATTTATATTGTTTTCAATTACATCAGAGAGACAAAGAAATGATTCTGGTTTTAGAGCCCTCATAAAGGAGACACACTCTGCCACATTACCCAGAGGAAGGAGAAACAAAAGTTATACATAGATAAACTTAAGGGAATTACATTTCTAAACTAGGCTGGTGAGATTTACACTTTAAGGCTACCTCTGGAGAGTTCACAATGGACCATGAGAGAGGAAATTTTTATATGTCAGAAGATAACTAGAAAGTTAGAGCTTGGTTGTGGATTTGTCAATATACAAAGAGAGAATTCAGGGAGGTGTCATAAATTCCATTTACCCCCACTTGGTTGCTTATCTTAAATTAAAAAAAAAAAGGAAAACATCTAAATTAAATTTAACAGATGATGACTAACGTCCTAGCCAGCTATGTAACATTCCCAGTAAAAGTGGCAGCTCTGGACCTCTAACATTAAAGAGTAGAGAGACTATAACCTCTTATGACAACAGTAATAAAGAAGTACAACTGATTGTATTTGAGATTTATTTTTCAAAAGTTTTTACCATTAATCATAATTTGTATATGCTAAGTACCTTAACAGAAACATCAGATGCTTGAAGTTCATCTAGTTTTAACTGTAGCTCTCCTTTTGATGTATTGCTTTCCTTAAGTTTTTCATTCAGGCGTTTAACATCCTCTAGAAAAGCCAGAACAGGATATGAAAGTTATTAAAAGTACTGCAGAGTATAAATTACTATGTCTTTCTTACTCATAACTGTATGTCCCTTAACACTTAAAACTGTAGCTTTCACATAATGTACTAAATGTACAACAAAATCTAAATGCAGTAAATAAAAAATATACCACTTAGCTTTCTAAAACAGGCACCTAGCTCTTTAATTCAATTATTCCATGCTTAATTGTTCTATAAATCTGACCTTCATCTGTAATACAGTCATTCACTAATATTTAGGAATACAACAGGATATCAACAACAACAAAGAAAAAGAAAAAAGAGAAAAATTCAAATACATATATTTTTCAAATATATATATATTTTTGCTTTTCGGTGAGGCATCCGGGGTTAAGTGACTTGCCCAGGGTCACATAGCTAGTAAGTGTCAAGTGTCTGAGGCTGGATTTGAACTCAGGTCCTCCTAACTCCAAGGCCACAGCTCCATCCATTGTGCCACCTAGCTGCTCCTCAAACGTATTTTTTTTTTAAGGCAACTGGGGTTAAGTGACTTGCCCAGGGTCACACAGCTAGTAAGTGACAAGTGTTTGGTCTGAGGATGGATTTGAACTCAGGTCCTCTTGACTTCAGGGCCAGCGCTCTATCCACTGCACCACCTAACTGCCCCCCTCAAATGTATTCTTTACCATTGTTTGCAGCTCTTTCACACACCCTTACAAAATTCGGACGACAGGCTACTCAGCAGCTCGTTTAGGAAAATCATGCTCTGGGCTCCAGTCAGCACTAGATCTACTTTGCTTCATAACTTCTTTCATTTTAAAAGTAATTATTTTTAAAATGACCCCACTGAATACATAAAGCAATAAGGATTAACATCTTTCAAAGAGTATATAAGCAACCCTCCCATTATAAGACTAGAAATAATACATTATTGGGGGACAGCTAGGTGGCGCAGTGGATCGAGCACTGGCCCTGAATTCAGGAGTACCTGAGTTCAAATCCAGCCTCAGACACATAACACTTACTAGCTGTGTGACCCTGGGCAAGTCACTTAACCCCATTGCCTAGCCCACCCCCCCACAAGAAATAATAATACATTATTTACATCTTTATTACATAGTCTAAAATATTAAATGAAAAAAATTGAAAGTAGAGTGTAACTTCAGATTTCCTCTTTAAATCTTATAAAGTAACTTATTTCAGTTACGTAATAAAAAGCAAAATTTTGGAACATATTCTTCATACCAGTTAAATATTCAAGTTCTTGTGAACGTCTCTCACTGGTTCTGACCAAATCTCTTTTCTCAGCTTCCAATTCTTCCTTTGATCTTGTAAGCTGGCTCTGTTAATTAAAATAAGATTATGAAGGAAAAGCAATGTAACATAAGTAAATTAATTACGTAAGTAAAATTATTGTACTTATCAATCCATAGGAACTAGGCATATGAAATTTTCAGATAAATTCTAGACACACATCTTAATTTTGTCTGGTTTAAATCAGCTACACCTTAACTATAGGTGTCTTTTTTTTCAACATAATTCACTTTTTCGTACTGCTTATTTTAAGGAAGAATTCTGAATGTTAAACAAATCTAGGGAAATTATGCTCTGGGCTCCAGTCAGCACTAGATCTATTTTACTTCACCACTTCTCTCATTTTAAAAGTAATTATTTTTAAAATGAGCCCATTGAATATATAAAGTAATAAGGATTAAAATCTTTCAAAGGGTATATAAGCAAACCTCCCATTATGAGATAAAGCAACTTATGTGTGCAAATTTTCATGAGTACTCCTGTAAGAAGAAGAGATAATATCTCAAATGTTTTGTTTTTGTATTTTGGTCAAAAGCAAACAAAAACAAACAAAAAATGTGATTAAAAATTAAATGTTATGGCCATATTCTAAAATTTTATTTTTATTTTTGGAGTGTGACGACCTTTCATCATTACGGTGGCCAAGAAATCCATTATTATAATTGAGGGTTCTTTTCAACTATATTCAATGGAAATATTTTTATTCGCTTCCCTAATCTTCTGAAAACCTTGTCTCCTAAGAAATAATCTGATGTCAATACAAACTTTATTTTGTTATACATTACCTGTCTTGGCCAAGAAGCAACTGATACAAAGGAGCAAAAAAAAGTGCACAATAAAAACAACCATACTTACATAGTTACTAACTTGGAATGTGAACTACAAATAATTGGCAAAACTTTATGCATATGAACAATGATTATTTTACCTGAATAGCAATATGTCGATCTTGGGCAGTTTCCAGTTCTTTGTTTTTCTCAGTCACCGACTTCAGTTGTTGATCTGAATATAAAGATTATTAAAAATTAAAGATTTATCCAATCACTTAAGTACAGAAATAGAATCACAGAACTTTAGATCTGAAAGCAACCTTAGAGAACATGGAATCTGTTTCATTTTACAGCTGAGGAAACTGAAGCCCCAACAGACTATGACTTGACCAAAGATATAAAAAATTGGTTCAATAGTTTCTAATTTTTCAAATATTATCATCTCTTACTTAATCAAAATATATTATTTGATTTGGACCAGACCTGTGATTTCACTGGCAAAATAAAATTACAATGAAGAATGCCTAATACCAATGATGACAGGCTCTATAACTTATAGAGTCTTAAGAAAGTTCTCTGGGCTACTGGGAGGTTTAGTCACATGCCCAATTAGTGTAAGAGGCAGCACTTGAACTCAGATAATTATCCTAACTCCAGCACCAATCTTCTAACTACACTGCGCTGACTCAACAAAATGTACACCACACACAAAAGTGTTTGTAATTGCTATATTTGCAAACAAATTAAGAACACTTGGTCATATAGTGACTGTAAAAACTTTTAAAATTAAGAAAACAGATACAGAAAAAAAGACTGAGAATTAGTTCTGAATTCATGGATTATTATTTGACAGGACTGTAATCAAACCTGCAGAACAGGCATAAAGTCACCTAAGCAGTGATAAAATTATATAATGAATGAGATTTGCCCAAAAATAAATGTTAGAAAGGACCTTAGAGGCTGTTTGGGGAGGGTAGATAATATTAAGACACTCACAAAGAGAATGAATGAATGAAAAAAAAAAGCATTTACTAGGTGCCAATTACCAGGCAAAGTACTAGAGACACAAATATAAAACCAAAACAGTCCCTGGTCTTCAAAGAACCTTACATTCTAATGAGAGAAATTACACATGTATCAGAGTAAAGCAAAATAAAATTTCTTAGTCACCGAATAATGAGTACAACAAAAGAGAAGGTGACCAATGTGCCCTTTTCCAGAGGCAATGGAAGTGTTCATTTGGTTAAACAGGGCAGGGAAGCGGGTTTTTGTGTATTGGCAGGGAGAAAGAGGATAAAGAAATATGATTCCAAGGAGGTGGTTGGAGTTAATCCCTGGAGTTCTAGTTTGCACAGTGGGACAAAAATTATATTGTGTTTGCTAGGATCATATGAGACAATAATATTTAGAATATGTAAAAATAAAACATGGTATAAATGTAAGCTATTATTTTTATTACTTGAGGCATAAAACCCACAGGGTATGTAGCAACAATCTTATCCATTCTTACTTTATAATACTAAGGAGAATACATACTAAGTATGGAAAATAAAGAATGTTTTAATATACTTTGCCATTTTTCTTATCGTTACCCTTCAGGCATATCTCCTACACAGTTCTAGTGTCCTAGTAGTCCTCCTCCAGCGTTGAAGAGATAACACAGAAGCAAATAAACTGAATCTGACAACACTTTATTGGAAACTCTTTTCTCCAATGTTTGGGAAGATTAATGAGAATACTTCCAATGCTCCTATTTCATAAGTTTGCTGCTGTTTTGCTGTTACTGGCCTCTGAAGTGGCAGATATGTCCCTATAATATTTAATATTTACTGATTTTGTTTTAAAGTTTTTTCTTGTGTTCCTCCTGTTTATTTAATAGTAATAGCTAGTACTTCTATGGCTCTTTAAGCTTTTCAAGTGCTTTACATAGTATCTCATCTGACCCTCACAAAAACTCTTGAGATTGATGTTATTATAATATTTCCCAACAGATGAGGCAACAGAAGCTGAAATAGTTTGGGTGATTTGCCCAGGGTCACATAGCTAGTGTCTGAGGAAAGATTTAAACTGAACTATTCCCCTCTCCAGATCCAGAACTCTATCCACTATACAACCAGCTGCCTATAGAGTCTTAGATGTATTACTTAGGATTATCTACTTGTGCCTGACAAGTAGTGTTCTTAACTCCCTTCTTACTTGTAGTTAAAAACAAGAAGAAAATGTTTTTCACTATGCTAAAGCAAAACTAAGAATATCGTTAAGAAGAATCAGCATTTACTTAAGATTTTAAGGGACGATGAGACCACTTCTAACATCAACAACAAGATTTAAAATAGTTACAGTTCAAATCAGCAGAGGAAGGATATCTTTGAACTCCTGGGAGGAGGGAGGATAACTTCCACTTCATTTAGTCATAGACTAAATAGACTTCTGCTGTGGAAGAGACCTCTGAAGTTATTTAATCCAATCAACAGTTGAGCAGGAATCACCTCTACAACATCCCTGAGGTTATACTGAGAAGAAAAGGAAAATCCCCACTCCAGATATTCCTCCACACAGCTGTTAATGATTTCCCTAAAGCAAGGATCTGATCATGTCACCTCCCCCTTTCCTCTCAACCATTCAAAAAATTCCAGAAGCTCCCCATGACCTCTATGATCTGACAGATTTAAATCTCTTTACAGCTTGGTCCTTTCCTACCTTACCAATCTTCTTACATACTACTATCCTCCAGATACTTTTTAGTCCAATGTTACTGGCCTACTTGCTGTTCATCATACACAAAAGGCTCTCTATGCCTGGAATACTTTTTGGGATTCCTGGTTTTCTTCAAAGCTCATCTGAGGCACCATCTTCTATGTGAAGCTTTTTCTGATTCATCTCCCACAACCTCAACTTTTAGTACATACCCTCCCCAAATTACCCTGTATTCATTTTGTGTATATTCAGTATAAACTTAGATGTATACATGTTGTCTCTTCTATCACAGTGTAAGCTCCCTGAGTTTCACTTTTGTCTTTGTATCTCTAATACCTACTACAACAGTGGCACATAATAAGATCTAAATGATTGCTTATGGACTGACATTTTTTAATATGACTTAAAAATACTTCCTGGGATGATGATGGTTGATAGAAAGAAGGTAGAACTACTTGATTCCTATTTTGTTTATGTTTTTTCTGTCAAGGTGAAACATCTTTGGTCTGAAAATAATAGAACACCAATGGTTAACAAGACATTTACATAACAAGATACATGAAGAGATGATAAGAACATCTAACTATCCTTACTTACAGAGTTCAAATCACCAGGCCTGAACGAAGTACATTCAAAAAAAGTTGCCAGAACCAAACGGTTTCTAAGTCATTTTTGTTGATCTTTGAAAAATTACAGAAAAAGGAAGAAATGCCATCAGGAATGTTGATGGATAAATGAGTTTCCTGGTTTTCAAAAGGGGAGAAAATAGATTCTTCAAACTACAGACCTAAAAATTTAATTTTGATAATTGATAAACTTTCAGAAAGTATTAGGGATGGTTTGGTACCATATTCTAGGGAGAGAAGGCAGGATGGATTGCTCAGGAATAAGTCATGCCACATTAACCTCAAATCCTCTTTTGATAGAATTATTAGACTAGCAAATAAGGAAACTGCCAAACACACAGTATCTGGATTTCAAAAAGAGACTTGACCAAGTCTTTCAGAGTATCCGTGTGTACAAAATGGAGAAATGTAAGTTGAATGATGACAGAACTAGATGAATTTAAAACTGGTCCCCAAAACTAGTGATTAATGGATCAAAGTCACGTTGGAGCGAAATCTCCTACGGAGTGCCACAGCATTCTGTCCTTGACCCCATTCTGGTGAATATGTTTTATGAATGACTTAGATGAAGGCATAACATAGTATGTTAGGTTTACAGAACCAGGGGCCAAAAAAAATATCATTCAACAAAGTAGAAAGATGAGCTGCATCTAAGATTTAATTTAGTAAGGATAAATAACTAGGCTCAGAGGATTACTTTGAGCAACCAATGTTCACTGTCATGCCTCTGTGCCTTTGCTGCCTGACTCCCTAAAGCCAGAATGCCCTTCTTTCCTCCTCTTCTTTATCCGACACTAGAGACATTCTTTAAAGGCTACCTCAAATGCCACTTCCCAAATAAAGTGTTCCCTGATCCCCCAAGTTTCTAACAACCTTCTCTCTACATAGGGCTTTTGTTTATCTCTTTAATGCATCAACCTTGTAACATTGCATATTTCATCAATCTGTGTTGGTGCTACTCTACAGGATTATAAGTTTCTCAAACACAGGGGCTAAGATAAGTTTTTTCTCTGTTTGCTGAATATGTGCTTACTGTGTATGTTGCTATAATTCCAATGTTTTTAGTCTTAAAATCATAAAAGAGATCTTGGAGATCATCTAGTTCAATCTTTATCCAAAATGTGAATCCCAACTAGAACTGCAACAACTGGTTATTTAGTCTCTACCTTAAAACTTCCAATGATGCGAAATCTACAGCCTCCAGAGGCAAACTATTTCATTTGTGGACAGCTCTCTTTCTTGTGTAATCGATTAAGAAGTCAGATTTCTATCATTTCTATCAAAACAATGAGTTTTCCAATTATAAGAGTAAATGGCAAGAATGAAGCTGATAATTCTTTCATGCATTTAAACTGTTAACATGACAAAAAAGAATTATGAATTAGTAAAGCTATACATGGCAAAATTAGTAGTTTTTCATTAAGGAACACAACGCAAAGAAGTAAATGGCTTTTCTGTGATAATAAGATTTAAAATTTATACATTACTTCTCACCTTCACCATAATTTCACATAGATGACCACTTATGGTCTTTTGTCATTTGATCTATCACTATCTGACACACAGTGCAGTCCAAAACAGTACATTTTATAACTCAGCCTTTTCTATCTTTATTTTGTTTTTGTTGTTTTTCCCCTTCAAAGATAAACAAAATAGGCTGTAAATCAAATAGAAGAGACAAACTAGATCAAAAGCTGAATGACTGTAATACATACATAATTCAAAAACTTTCATGCATTTTCTCAGGAGCGTTAGAAGACTTCCACATACCTCCAAATACTACTACACATAAATTTATGTTACTTAAAAAACACTTACTAAGTTTTTCCAGCTCTTGACGCAAAGTTTGGCATTCTCGGCTTTCATTTACAAGTCTCTCCTGACTCTGGGACAGCCGCTTCTCTACCTCAAAGTATTGTTGTTCTGAGGGAAAAAAACTGCAATGTCACAATTTGTTTACATTTTGTTCATGTAAATGTAAAAATGTAAAATATTTTAATAGTAAACTTTAATTTCCTGAGGCTTTAAGTAAACGTGAATAAAATCAGAGAGCTGGTAGCAGTTAGTTGAGCTCCTTCACTTGAGAGATGAAGAAATGAGGTCCAAACAATTTAAAAGACTTACCTGATGTTACACAACTAGCTAGTGTCAGAGCCAGGAACTGAAAACTCAAGTCAAACTTCTAGTCCAATATTCTTTCAACTACTCCCAGATAATTTACATTTTAAGTCTTTTAAAGGGTTCTTTCAATGATTTTAAAGTGTACTATGGCAGTAGATCAAATTCTAGAAGAAATGAATCCTTGAGAGCCACATACTGACTTAGAAAACCACAGACTAACATTAGCACTGATGCCTTATCTTGGTGTGGAGTTGATTCTGGATACCTGAGAGCTATGCCAATGGAGACTGGCACACAGTACGCCCTTAAATACTTATTGGATATAAATACTTACAGAATAAAAAAATCTTCAAAGACAGGCTTGAAAGCATATTATGTCACCTGAGGACCAAGTTAGCAGCTGGCACAGAGTAGGTACTCTGCACAAAATAGGTACTTAAACAATACTGAATTGATTCATTAATGAGGAATTGACCAACTTTAAGGGGATCAAAGGCTTCTTGCAGAGATGGTGTTCAACCTGCTTCATTTCACACTGTTGATCACCCTTCTCCTCCTGGACACTCTTTCCTCTGGGTTTTTGTGACACTGTTCTCTTCTAGTTCTCCTCTTTAACTGCCTGACTTCTCCCTTTCTATTGTCTTCTCTGGTTTGTTTCATTTCCCCTAAATATGGGTATCCCTTAAGGTTCTTCTCTTGTCTCCCTTTATGTCCTCTTCAGCACTCATGGGTTTAATTACTGTATCTATGTAAGTGACTTCCAGATCTACAAATCTACCCTCAGTATCTCCCCTGAACTTCAGTTCAGGATCACCAAATACCTAATGCAAGTTCAAATTAGATGTCCCCCACAGACATCTCAAACTCAGTACTTCCCTTCAATTCAAACTCTTCCATGTTCCAATATTCCATAATCTGTTGAAGACACGGCCATTTTTCCACTCCTCCCACATTTATAACCTTGGTACCATCCAATCAGCTGTGAAATCTTGCCATTTCTATCTCCACATTTTTCACATCTGATCCCTTCTCTCAGCTACCTTACTTCAGGTCCTCTTCATCTCTTTCCTAGATTTTTTTTTTAACAGCCTCCTCATTGGTCTCCAATGCCTGAAGTCTCTCTCCACTGCTGCCAAAACGACATTCCTCAAGTACAGTTCTAACAGCACTCCCGTATGTCATAAACTCCAGTGCTCCTTGACTGCTCCAGAATAAATATAACCTCCTGCTTAGCTTTTGAAACTTTTTATAATCTAGGCCCAACTTATCTTTCCAAGTTCAATGGATTTTACTCCCACCCCTCACACTTTGACATTCAGCCAAAGTGGCCTTAGTCACAACACTGTATCTCCTGTCTCTCTGCCTGTGCACTGGCGACAATCCTTTGCCTAGAATATACTCTCTGCTTCTTTCTTAAAGAATCCCTTTCCTCTCCCCAGACACAATTCGAGTATCACTTTCTATACGAAGCCTTTCTTGATTCCTCCAGCTGCTAGTACCGTTCTTTCCTAAACTACTTTGTATTTATTCTCTCTATATTTTTCCCATGCGTCCTTACATGTTTTAAAGCTTCAACTGCTTAAAACTGCACTAAGATTTTTGTCCTATGTGTCTCTCCTAAATTGGAACGTAAGCTCCAGTCGTTTCATTCTTTGTATTTGTATTCTTAATGTTTGGATTGTTTACCTCAATACGGTAGGAGAGAAGACTGAATGTGGAGTCAAAGGCCTTGTATTCAAATCTTAGCTTTGCTACGTTATATTTGTATGGCAGAGGGCCAGGCCTCGGGTTTTCACATCTGTAAAATGCACAGGTTGGCCGGGACGATCCTTAAGGTTTTACTGATATTAAGTGTAAACGGCTAGGGATACCACCTCCAAGAGGTCCAGGTTGGGAGGGGGCAGATCCTTGAACCACGCTGGATGCTGAGCGTGGATACGCGCGTCAGGGCCCCGAGTGGAGAAGGCCTTTTCCTGACGCTAAGTCCGGCAGCTCCCACGCAAAGCTCGGGGAGGGGAGGAGAAGGGGCGGGAAGCGCTTTTCGAGCGGGGTCACTCGAAGAGGGTAGTTCGGGAGGCCCACTTACCGCTTTCCACCTTGAACTTCTCGTGCCGCCCCTTCAAGCAGTCGATCTCGCTCTGCTGGTCCGCCAGGAATTTCTCCAATTTGGCCTGGACGGGCTTAGGCAGTTTGGTCAGCTCCTGCCTCTCAAGAACCTGCTGCAGCACCGCCGCCATGTTGCCAATGTCTAGATCTTCAAGAAGGGGAGCTGGGAGAGGGCCGAGGCCAAGGACAAGGAGGCGGAGGCGGAGACCGGGGCCGTGGCCCGAGCCTGCGCCGGAACCTCCCGCGCTACGCTCCCGCGCGCGCCCGACTCCCTGAGGCTAGCTCGGCGGGACCCTGGGAAGCCAAGGGACGGGCTGGAGAGGAAACCTCGACTCTCACCCCGCCCCGGGGGATGCGCGCGCACGCCCTACCCCCCCTTTTTTCGCGTGGCTGGCGCTCAGACGGACTCCCTCGAGCACCCTGGGAAACCGAGTCTAGAGGCAGCTCGATTCCTGGATGCGCGCGCACCCTTCTTGTCGCCTCCCCCCCACCCCGCCTCCTTCACAGCATGCGCGCAGAACGGCGGGAAATGTAGTAATCCTCCCTCCCGTTTCTCTTCCTCATTCGTCACGCCAACTACTCCTCCACGCTCCACCTCCAGCACAGTCCTGGAACCCAATCCCCTTCTCCCCCCCTGCCCTCCTGTGCGAGAAAACTGTCTGCGAGGCGGGGCGGGGGTGGGCGGGGCGGTGCTACTTACTAGTCAACCCGCGTCCCGCCCCAAGGAGCCGAGAGCCCTTTTCACTGAGGTTTCGGGACGTCATGGGTCGTCGTCTTCGGGTGCTCTTGGTCAGAGAGCCGCTAAAGGGCATCAGTTCCGGAGGGCCGGAGCGGGGCGGGGCGGACTGGTGCCGCTACCGCCACACTCTCTATGGCCGTCCGGAAGGGGGCGGGGGAACAGGGGTCGCCTCCCAATAGTAGTGGGGAAGACTGGGGTAAAGGGCGGGGCTTCGTTTTCCTACGTCGGTTAGAAGGCACAGTCATATACGTCATCAGGTTGCGCCAGCTTCTCTCCTCTCCCCGTGCTCGGAAAGGCGGCTAGAGGCCTGAGGCGGGAGTGAGGTGTCTTCCGTCTGTACACGCGACGCTGAGCGGCTGGGACGGAAGCTGGGGCTGCCGAGGCAGTAGCTGCAGCCCCTATCGCCACCCCCGGGGCCTGTGGGCGCGCCCATCTCCCCCACAGGTGAGTCAGCCCGTGGTGGGGCTGAGGCGGGAATCTGGGCCCTAGAGAGAAGAGGAGGCTGCCCGGAGTTGGGCTGTCAGCCCTGGGAATAGGAGGCCGGAACAGAAGGGCGAGAGCCTTTCATCTGGTGGGGGGGGGGGGCGGCCGAGAAGGCGGGAAAAGGACCGTCGCGAATGTGGTTCCATCTCCTATTTTATGCAGATAAAGAAACTGAGGCCCTGGGGGTGGGAGGGGCAGTGGTTGGGCCACGTTTGACCCACAGCTTGTTAATAGTGGAGTCTGGCACTGGGACCCTTGAGGACGAGCTCTGTGGCTTCTTGATTTTCATTACGAGGAGGAAAGAGTGGTTTGGATGGTACTTCGGTTGTGACACATTAGTCTTTGGAGCTAGGAGGAACTTTGAAGAATATTCAGTCCCACTCCATTATACAAAATAATGTTGACCAGTGAAATGAATATTAACTTGGAAGATTTAGTCACTTGCCCAAGGTCATGTTATTGTTTGAAGTGTTTTGGGTTGTTCTGGGGGCACTTGCTGTTCAGTTCAGTATATATTCAGCACCTACCCTCTGAAGTACTGTATTAGCTTTTGGGTAAATTTTAGTTAGATGATAATGGTACTTGACTTCAGGAAACTTATAGTTTAGGAGGAGAAGACCCATACACAAAAAAACCCCGTAATACAGATTCTTAAAGCATAAAACTATACCAAGATTTTTGGGTCACTTTTTTTGTATCCCATTGCCCTTGCACTTGGCTGTCTGTCTCACTTCTGGAATGCTCTACTTCTTCACCTCTTTCTCTTGGATTCCCTGGCCTCCTTCAAGAGTTGGTTCAAATACCAATTGCATGAGGTTTTTCCTAGAAATCTTCTGTCTTACCCTCGAACTCCCCTCCACCTTTCTTCTAACATTACCATGCATCGTCTGTGTACCTCGTATGGGTCACCTACTTTCCTTGTGATCTTTTGCTTTGGAATTGTGAACTCCTTGAGGTCAGGAATACTGTTTTTGCCTTTCTTTGTGTCCTCAGAACTTATCCCAGTGCCTGGTACAAATGTAGTAAATGCTTAATCAATATTTATTGACTGGCTGAAATACATCAGTAGAGATGCCTAACAAAGTGTTATATGAAGGGAAAGGTCATTTCTGACTTGGGACATGAGGTAATAATACTCACCAGTTTAACCTATGTATGTTTTTTTTTGTACATTCTTGTTTACATGTTGTCTCTCTAAATAGATTGTGAAATCCTTCGGGCAGGCACTGTCTTTTGCTTTTCTTTGTGTCCCCTTCACTTAGCACAGCACCTGGCACATAATAAGACCTTAATAAATGCTTGTTGACTTGTTGGCATAATGAATGAATGGTGACATTTGAATTGAGTTTTAAAGAATATGTAGGAATTCTACAGGAACTGGAGGAGAAAAAATACTCAAGGAATAAACAACCTGAGCAAAGGTAAGCAAGCAAAAAAAATAGGGGGTACCTTCCTCCCCTCCTCTGTGATCCAGTTACACTTATTTCCTTGCTGATCTTTGCATACAGGTCAATCTATCTCTGACCTTGACATTTTCATTGATTGTTCTCCATGCTTGGAATTTTTTCTGTCATCTGTCTCCTGGCTCCTTCAAGGCCCACCTAAAATCCCACCTTCTATAAGAATTTGTACCTAGTGCCTTACTTCTCCTGATTATCTCCAATTTATCCTTTTCTATGTTTTTTTGTACAGTTGTTTGCATGTTGTCTCCCTGGTTAGACTGTCAGTTCCTTGAGGAGGACTATTTTTTGCATATCCTTGTATGCTCAGCACTTAGCACTTAGCTTTAATAAATGCTTGTTGACTTGTAATTTGGAAACAGGTAGGCCAGTTTCTTTGTAGCATAGATTGCTTGGAGGAGAGTGAGGTAATGCTAGAAAGAAAGGGAGATGCCAGAACTTAAATTTTAATTAATAAGTACTAGGAAGCCACTGAAGATTTTTGAGCAAATGGATTTTTTCAAAAGAAAATTGATCAGATACATGTATAAGAACAATTCTGGCTACAGTAGAAAAATGGATTGGAGGGAAAGGAATGGAATCAATAGGATTTAATAACTGATTGGATTTGACAGTTATGAGAGAGGAAAGAGTCAAAGATAATGCTAGATTTTTAAACTTGATAGACTGAGTGGATAGACAAAAGTCATGGGCATCAGTGGCCTCCAGTGAACAAGATTGTAAAGGATATGATAGCCTCAGAGGGGAGCTTGGTTTCTGTTAAATTGAGGAGTGGAAGGAGTGTTGGTTGAATAATTTGAGGAAGTATTGAAGTTTGAGCATAGACTGAGGATTTCAAAGGACATTGTAGTCAGATGGATTTAGAGGATAGGGGAAGATGAACTTGAGTAGGCCTTGTATAATTAGAATAGAGAGAAAGATTCACTGATAGAGGCAGAATATTTGAACCTCAAGTTCACTTTTGCTCCCTTAGCTGGCAGTATTGGGCTTCTGCACTGGAGAGCTAGGAAGGATTTATATGATCTAGTCAATTCCATGTCCTTTTGATATTTTAAAAGTAATCATCATACCTACTGTTGAAAAAAGGCAGTACATTTTGACTGTTCTGTAAACCCACCTCAACCATATCCAAAGATGGTGATACCCATGATTTTGACACTACCTACAGATGTTCTGTTTCTGTGTTCATAAACTTAAAAATCCCCTTATCTGATCACGATCTATTGTCATTTGACTTTTCCCAGTTGCAACTCCAAACCCTCTATTAGCCATACTGGGCCCCTTACCCTATCTTGACCACTTGATGGACCAGTTTGGCTCTATACCATCTTCTTTTGAGTCCCTGTCCCATTATCATATTGTATGTCTTGCCCTACCAAACCTCAGCCTTGGGTCACTTCCATCATCTGTTGCCTTTATTCCACTGCTGAATGAAAGTGGAGAAAAATCACAGAACTGAGCTGACTGGGTCCATTACAAATTTGTTACATAATTTCAACTAGACCCTCTATGCTGCAAGGCAGTCCTTTTACTCCTCACTAGTTAAATCAGTTTTCCCTTCAGCATAACATGCCCTTCCAGACCTTTTCATTGTTTCTCAAAACTTCTCCTGGCTCTTCTTCCTTCTCCCTCCACCATCTCTCATCTGAGAACCTGGCCTTTTATTACTGAACACATTGAGGCCATTTTCTGAGAGTTCTCTTTCCTTTTCCTCCTCATATCACTCAGGTGCCTTCTCCTACTATCTCCTTCACCTCTGTCTCATATAATATAAGGTGGTCCTTCTTGCTAACAAAAGCCCCTCTACCTGCCCAAGTGATCCCATTCCATCCTATTTACTCCAGCAGATTTCTCTCTATCATCCCCAATCTCTCATTTATATTCAGTTTCCCTGTATGTTGATTGCTTCCTTGCTGCCTATAGATATGTCTTCTCCATTCAGCTAGATGGTTCAGAGGACAGAGCAGTAGACCTCAAGTCAGGAAGATCTGAGTGCAAATTCAACCTCAGTTATTAGCTGTGTGACTCTGGGCAAGTTACTTAAACTTTATTTGACTCAGCTGTAAAATGAGGATGGTACCTACTTACCAGAGTTATTGTCAGAAGGTAATATTGTAAAGTGCTTAGCATAGTGCCTGGCATATAGTAAAAGTTCGATAAATGCTTATTTCGCTTCCTTTCTTCCTATCTTCTTTCTTTCACTACCTTCTTCCTTTCTTCTCTTCAGAATACTCTCACTTGATCCATCCATCCATCCATGCTAGCTATCATGCTATATCTTCTGCCTCTTATGACTAAATTCCTTGAGAAAAGCATCCATGAAAGGTATTTCCATGTCTTTTCTTTTCATTCTCTTAACTCTCTACAATCTGGCTTCTGACCTGATTATTTGACTGAAATGTCTCCAACCAAAATTATAATGATCTTTTAAATTACCAAATCAAATGGCCTTTTCTCAATCCCATCCTTTGTGACTTCTTTCCCAGCCTTGGATACTGTTGATCACCCTCTTCTTGATATTCTCTTCTTTCTAGGTTTTTGTGACACTACTGTTTCCTAGTTCTCTTCCAGCCTATCAGACTGCTCCTCAGTCTCCTTTGCCAGATCCTTATCTGACTTATCCCTGCTAACTTTGAGTGTCATACAGGGCTCTGTCCAGAGCCTTTTTTCCTTCTCCCTTTAATACTGTTTCATTTGGTGATCTCACTATCTCCTCTGGATTCAATTATCATCTCTATTGAGATGATTCTCAAATATACTTTCTGGGCCTAACCTCCCAATTGTCCTCTGGTCTCACATTTCCAACTGCCTTTTGATATCTTGAACTGGATGTTCAACTCAACATGTACAAAATGGAATTCATTATCTTTTCCCCCAACCCTCCCCTTACAAATTTTTTTATTACTGTTATAGATACCACTCTTCTCCCTGTCACTCAGGTTCACAACTAGGTGTCATCCTCTCTCCCTCTTAGACTGCCCTTCTCTTCTCCCATTGTCCAGTATTTTGTCTGTTGATTTTGCTTTTGTTATATCTCTTGTGTGTGTCCACTTCTCTCCCCTAACTCTGCCACCATCCTGGTGCAAGCCCTCATCATCTCATACCTGTAATATTGCAGTAGCCATCGGGTTGGTCTTCCTGCCACAAGTCTGTCCCTACACTAGTCCATTCTCCATTCATTTGCTAAAGTGATTTTCCTAAAGTGCAGGTTTGCCCTATCACCCCTATAAACTCCAGTGGCCCCCTGTCATCTCCAGGGTCAAATACAAAATCGTCTCATTCAAAACCCTTCATAACCTTGTCTTCCCCATCCCCACCCTTACCATGTACTCTTCCATCTGGTGACATTGGCCTCCTTTCTGTTCTGGGGAACAGGAGACTCCCGTCTCTCAGCACCAGACATTTTCACTAACTGTCGCCCATGCCTGGAATGTTCTTCCTCTTCATTTCTACCACCGACTTCCTGCACGTCCCAGTTAAAATCCCACTTTGTACAGAAAGCCTTTCCTAATCCCACTTAATTCTAGTCCCTTCTCTCTGTTCTAGTATATCATATATGTAGCTTGTTTGTATGTTGTTTCGCCAGTAGACCGTGAGCTCCTTGAGAGCAGGGACTGTCTTTACCTTTCTTTGTATTTCCAGCGCTTAGCATGGTGCTTGGAACGTAATAGGTGCTTAATAAATATTTATTGACTGACTGACATTACTTTCTATGGTATTATGGAGACATTTTAAAATTGTAAACTGAATTACTTAACTTCTTAGATTTTGAAATAGGTCAGCAGTTCTCAAATGGTTTGTGGACCTTTTGGGGATTCTGAGACCTTTTCCAGGGTCTCTGCAAAGTCAAAACTACTTTCATAATCATACTCAAATGTTATTTGCCCATTAAAATACCACTCTCTTTTCCAACTACATTTCTCTGTGAGGCTGAATTTTCTTCATATACTTCAACCAAAATAAGATGTTGAAACAGTTTGAGTGCAGAAACTGATATGGGTCTTCTGTTAAGCCAGACTTCAGAGATTTGCAAAAAATACATTAATGCCACCTCATAAAAAATGTTATTTTTGTTAATATGTAGAATGAGTTTATTGTTATTTTCAAATAAGTTAATACATATTTTAAAAATTTATCAGTTTTAATTTTCTAATATGGTAAATATCAGTTGATATTACCCACATAAACAAAAACTCAGTTTTTGAGGATGTAAGGGAGTCTTGAGACCAGAAAGTTATCAGTTTTAAAAACCTCTGAAATAGAAGACTAACATAGATCTTAATAGATTCTTGTGGACTGATCCCTATGTCTAGTCCTGTTCTCTCTCTTGAATTCCTATCCCACATCACCTACCTGTTGGACATTTCTATCTAAACTGTCTATCTTTCAGACCTGAATGATCTTAAGGGCATCGAGGTGGCACAGTGACACAGATAGAGTGCTGTATCTGGAGTTAAGAAGACCTGAGTTCAAATAAAGCCTAAGACATTCCCTAGTGGTGTGACCCAAGTCACTTAACCTCTGTTTGCCTCAATTTCCTCATCTGTAAAATGTGGATAAAAGTACCTACCTCCTAAGGTTGTTGTGAAGGTCAAAGTTTTTTTAAAAACTCAGCATAGTACCTGGCACATAGTAAGTGCTATATAAACATTAGCTATTATTATCATTACCTTTGTTCTTACTATTACTTCTCTTGCCCATTATCCCCTTCCATATTCATGAACTCTCAGATTATAATCTTTTATCAGTCTAATCAGTCTTTCCCTATGCCTTAAGAAGATAACTCCTGTTCTTCCCCTTCACAGTGACCTCCAGTCCTTCTACCCTGCAGTTCTCACCGAGGCCATCACTCCTGTAGTTCCTGCATTCTCCTCCTTGGGCATCTTGACTCAGGGGTGAACCATTTAAATTTCACACTATCTTTTACTCTTGTGTCCCTTACTCCTGTATCGTATTGCCAATTGTGCCTAAGTTCCAACCTTGTATTCCTCCTGCCATCCTCTGCTTTGGCCCCTGTTGTCATGTTGCTGAGTGGAGCTGGAGAAAGTCATAAAACTATGCTAACTGGCTCCACTACAAATTTAGGCAGTGATTTGATCAGATCTACGCTTTAGAATGAAAATCACTTTGGTGCTTGAATGGAGGGTGGTTTGGAGAGAGGGTGGAGAGACGTGAGATGGGGAGACCAATTAACCATTGTAGCAGGCTTAGGTTGTGAGTGCCTGAACTAGTTTAGTAGCTATGTTAATCACTCAACAGGCGTTTATTAAATTTGACTTGTGTGCTAGGTACTTTGCTAAGCCTGGGGATATATAGAAAGGTTCCTTCCTTCAAGGAGTTTGTATTCGAAAGGAAGAGACAACATACAACAAATTGTACTTACAGTGTGATTACAATAAAAATGTTCACACAATATGACTGCAATAAGGAGTTGGACTTGGTAATAATAATAAAGATTGATGAAGTAATCTTCAAAGGAAGAAAGTTTGCTGAAAGATGGTGGAAAAGGAATGGTCTGGAAGTTGGAGTGATCCTACTCTTCCTCTGGATCCTGTGCTTTGGAGGCCATGAGAGAAGAGAGTGGTGTTGGAGAGGGGGGCAGGGATGCAATGTCTTGAGAGAACTAGGTTTGGTGTAAGAAGATAGAATGGAATGTGAATAGATACAGAATAAAAGGGAGTTAAATAGTAGAGTATGGGTAGAGGCTCCATAGGGTTTAGTAGAATGAGAAGTAAAAGGTTATGGCAGCACACCATGGATGGAGTTATATAGTGCCTACTATATACCAGGCACTATGCTAAGCATTTTACAAATATTATCTGATTTGATCCTCACAACAACCTGGGAGGTCGGTGCTATTATTCTTATATTATAGTTGAGGCAACTAAGGGAAACCAAGGTTAAATGACTTCCTCATAGTCCCGTAGCTAGTATTTATCTGAGGTCAGATTTGAACTTGAGTCTTCCTGAGTCCAGGTCCAGTGCTCTGTCTACTGCACCATTAGCTGTCTCAACATGCTATATAAATGCTAGTGTCTAGCTATTGTTAGCTGTTTAGGTTGCAGGTAGGACCAAGGTGGATAAGGATTAGAGTACTGGGAGAGGAGGAAGAGAAGTTTGTCACCTCTGCAGATGCTGAATCTGAATGACAGGGCTAAGGAAAGCAAGATCAAGGAAGTTACCTTCAGTTGCTTGAGGAGTGACCAGTTGATAAAAGCTTCTATTCTCTAGGGTCCTGTGATGATTGAATGCAATCAGTATTGCCTGTCAGCACTTTGGACTCTCAAAGTCTCAGGTTCTCTTATGGCTGTGAGAGCCTGTTAATGGAGGAAGAAATTCAGTGTAAGTCAGCCATATGCATGATGTCCAAAAATACCTAATGCTCTATTAGGCTGCATTAAGAGAGCCGTTTCTTCCAGTAATAAGAAGTGATAGTTCTTCTGTACTTCCCCCCTGGTCAGATTGTATTGTATATTTACTTAGGGGCACCATGGTTTAAGAAGGGAAGAAAGAATGAAGTTTATAACTCTTGATGATTCTAGCTTTCATTCAATAAGCGTTTTCATCGTCTTCTACGTGCCACTCTGTCCAACTAAGCTAGCCTTCTTAGTGTTCCTTATATACAACATTACCTCCTGAAATGCATTCCCTCCTTCCCTCTGCCTCTTAGAATTTTAGTTTCCTTCAGATCTCAGCTCAGACACCACCTCTTCCTACGACACTTTTGCTGATCTCACCCATTTGCTAGTCTTTCTAGCCTCCCCCTCCCTATTACCTTGTATCTATTTTGTATGTACTTAAAATGTGTATATATAAACTACTTGAGGTAAGGGACAGTTTAATTTTTGTCTTCAAAGGTGTTTAATAAATTATTGATGATTGTTTGCAGGGTACTATGCTAGGTGCTGGAATTACAAAAGCAAAAATGAAATAGGCCCTTATTTCAAAGAGTTTGTAGTCTTTTGGAGACATTACTTCCCCCTGAAACAAAAGGCCTATGTTTTTAAAATACCATAGTTCCTCCTTATTGTTATTTTATTTGTTGCTTTATGACAATTTCTATTTGTTCTGTCTTCTCTCATTTATAGAACTTTTAAAAGATCTGAGACGTTGAACATAATATTGATAAGCTTTGAATAATGGGAAGAAGCTACATAGTAGAAGAAGCTGTTGGACAATACCTTTTAAACTTCAACAACCAAGAAAAGGCATTTGTCTCTGGTCTTTTGATAGGACAGGTATGTATATTTTAGGTATGTATATTTTTTTTGATAGGACAGGTGTGTATCTTTTAGGTATGCATATTTTAGTCTCAAATTCATTAATACGACTTAGCTTTTGGGGTTAAAAGTGTGATATAATGTATTGAATACCCAGGGTCTTAGCTTTTGGGGTTAAAAGTATGATATAATGTATTGAATACCCAGGGTCTTATTTAGCTTACTTTAGGCAAACTGATCCCTCTGCACTCCCTTTACTGTACCATCCTTTCCTCATCCTTCCACTTGTACATTTCCTCTCTTCCCACTCCTGTTTTAAGGGACAGTTTCTATTTAAGTGGAAGAATAGTTTTGTAGATGTTCTTTTATCATGTTAATTTATAGCAAGCAAGTGGTGTAGTTCATTAATTGCTTCTAAAGCCTGTCTGTTCTGCCCTTGCTATATATTTTTCTACCTCTTTTTTCACATTTACTGACCTTACCTTCACTTCTGTCCTCTATTATTTATCTTTTTCCTTGCTGCTTAACTCCTGAAATTTTTTTCTCTCCCTTTGTGGACAGATTTTTTCCTTATACTTGAATATGATGGAAAGGGCACTGGACTTGGAGCCAGGATAGACATGGCCTTGAGTTTCATCTGTGATATTAACTACCTTGGTCATTATGGGAAAGTCATTTGTCTTCTCTGAGCCTCAGTTTCCTCATCTGTAAAATGGGGACAATACTACTTAAACTGCCTACTTTATAGAACTGCTACAGAGAAAGTGCTTTAGAAATATGAACTATTTATCCTCCTTCCATTTCTTTCACCAGAGATTGGGATGGGATTAGGGAGCAGGGAAAGAGATGTAGGGGATGACATCCAGTTTCTTGTAGGTCTCTGAGAAAACAGGAAAAAATAGATCAAACCTAGACATTTTATTAATTTAGAAGATAATTCTTTTCCAATGCTTCCTTTAGAAATAGAAAAAATAAACACCTTTCTGCACCCTTTAAAATATTTTTTGTTAGTTTTAACTCAATTTTACTGCTTCCCCAAAGCATTTCTTATATTACTCACCCTTACTCTACCTCCCTTTGAAGAAACATAAATCTATAATATATTAAAAGTTAGAAATAATAGCAAAGCTAGAAATTTTTAAAACTGAGACAAAAGTTTTTGGTCCATATTTTTCCATATTTGTTTGTTATCAAGATGAATCAGAACAAGGACTGTAGAACAGGATGTCTGTTACAGTGCCTCATATGTATTGAATTTATTCTTTTTGTACTGTAGTGACCAACTGAATATGTATTTGATTTTTTTTTTAATATTTAAAATTGTGTTCTTTGATGTTCAGGACTGTGTTGTTTATTTTTAGCCTGTTTTATAAAGTATATTTTGTTCAGAATTTCCCTTTTCTCTCTTGCAGATCTTGGCAAAGGCCAATGGTCTGTATATTCTGTCTCTCTCTCTCTCTCTCATGACCCTGGGCTTGACCTCATATTGCTATCTTCTCCTTTAAATGTGTTGGGTACAAAATTTGGTCCTATTATACCCTTCCTTGTTGAAATTTACCTGTCCTGAATCTCCTTGACTTAGGGTCAGGGTCTTTTTTTTCCCCCCAAAGTAATAAGTAGCCATTCTATGCTAATGAGAAAAGTCTTCTCAACCAAGATTTTATTCTCCTATGCCTCCTGGCCCAAGAATTTGTGCAGTTTAACAGTTAGTCAGTTTTAACACTAATCAGTTTTCCTGGTTTTTGAATGGTTTTTGAAAGCCATTCATTTAGCCAATTCTTGGTCACTGAAGGTTTAATAATACCAACAGTAAAATTGTGATTAAGACAAATTCAAATCAAATTTTTCTGTTAGATCTAGTAAGAGGTTTGTTGAGGTCAGTCAAGATTTTGTCTATACTGAAATTTTGGGATTAATTAAGTTTAAATTATCAATACACTTTTCAACTATCACTAAACACCATTAATATTTGATTATAATGCCATCATCATCATATTTAGTATTTTGTAGGCTAAGTTTCTCAAAAAATATGTTTGTAATTATGAAGAGAAAGTATAACAAGTAGGAAAGCTATGTCAAAAACTTTAACAATTAAAGCTGTCTGAAATTGGAATAGTATGCCTTGGGATGTGGTAGATTTCCCCTCATTGGACTCTTCCTGTAAGGCTGAATGATAACACCTCCAACAAGCATTTTGGGCATTTTGGTCAAGCATGGGTTGCACTATTTGGCTTCTGAGCCCCTTTCAAACTCTGAGAGTCTGTGAGTCCAGGACCAGAAAACCTTGTAGACAGAAGCTTTTTAAAATCCCTTTTTTATTATTATGAACTGACAAACATGGAAAAGAACAGAAAAAAAGATTCTGTAGAGCACCATGAGTCTCTATTTGTTCAACATGAGTTTTTTTAAAAACATGCTACATTTGGCACAGTTCTTGCAACAATACCCTGTTTTTGTGTCATTTCCTAAACTTTCTGCTCTTTTCCTTTCCTTGTGCTGCTCACTTCACTCTATGCTGGTTTATAGGATCATGATCATTGGATCATATTTGGAGATGGCCATCATATAAGACTTCCTGGGTTTCATCCTTTTTGTCATTTGTTGTTCATTAATTTTCCATTACATTCATATATTTTATTTAGCCATTCCTTGGTTAATGAGTGGGGTTTTTTTGTTTCTTTGCTGTAATCAAAAGAGTTTTGAGGCTGAGGCATTAAAAATATCACTGTATACGGTAACTAATTTGGAAAATTAGAAATTTTTTCACTGTAAGTTTAATAACTGAATGAATTAATCAACTGGCACATTCATACTGTTTCCTTTATATATATGCCATATCTATATTCTTTAATCAGATGTCTCTGATAGTTTTTATTTTATTTTTGTAATATTTTCATTGTAAACTTAAGTGATCAATACAAACATTTCAGCACAACAAAAAAATGGAAAGAGGATTGTATATAAAAACTGTTAGCCTTTATTATGTAGTTTGTTTTATATGCATTCAGTTTAACAAGGTAGAAACAGAATTACCACTTGTGTTTTATTTTTTAAGTGTTCTTCGCAAAGGGATTATGTAGTTCTTGCCACTAGAACACCACCCAGAGAAGAGCAGAATGAAGACACAAAATCTTCTCAGTCACAACTGGATGACCTGGATGAAGAATGGATTACAGCCCATGCCAATCAGGTTGTGCTATTTTATAATATGTATAAATATTACACACACACACACACACACACACACATTACATATATGTAGTTATAGAATAAATATTAATGCAAAATTAAGCCAGCATTTTATTTTGGTTAATGACATAAAACTGGAATTTTAATATTTGTTCTCAACTTTCAAAAAATGTCAGTACATGTAATTAATAATGATATTTTTATTCACGTGTATCTTAGCTGCCTTGTGGGTTATTTCTATCAACTTTAATCTTAGTTTAGCTTCTTTCTTTCCCCCAAGAACTCTTTATTTTTAAAATACTTTCTTTGCCCAGCTGTAGTGTGCTTAGACTGTGCAAACTTATTCTAACCATGGACAAATAATTCATCACCTAATGACTAGCTTACTAGTGAAGATTCTCTTCACATTTATTTAGGCTGTTCCTTGGAAAGTAGATATAGTTTTTGCTGGAATGGTACTTGAAGCCTTTTCATTAAAGTAGACCCTGCCAGAGCTGCCATTTTATTGACATAGTCTTCTTGAATCCAGGATTGTCTGTATGCCATGATGAGAAATAGGAATAGAATTTTGTGGAGGAGATATGTTTGTTAGCATAAGAAAAATCTAGTTAGGATGGTAAATTTACTATATAAAAGTGTTATAATCTAGTCCAAATCCAAACGGAATATTTAGATTATATTTGCAAAAGGCACATGTGCTAGTATGGATTAAAGTTTGTATTTAGCACTTCTAGCAAAACTTGGAAGAAAATAAATGATAAAGGTACAGTGAAATTTAACATGGAAAACTCAAGAGGATTTTCCAAATGTACTGCAAAATTCACCCATTTTTTCTGAAATGGATGAGAAAATTAATCTATTTTACTACTAGTTTGTAACTCACATTTTAAAAATCTTGAGTTTATTTTAAAGTTTTCTTTATTTTGAACTTAATCATTAACAGATCAAAATGTTTCAATAAACAAAGATCTTTCTTTTGTTCAAGAGCAATAGATTATCCTTAGGTTATATATTTGTTGATTTTTAATTGGATAAAGGAGGAAATACCAGGACTTCACTACAGTATTTTTCATTACATTGTTTCTTGCTGTAAAGCAAAATTTGTTGTATGTTCTTGCCATACATACTTATTTAGTTTCAACCTATCTCATTCTAAGATGGTTTCAGTTATAAGGGATCCCATGGCATGGATACCACAGACAGGATATTCCAAAGTACTTAGAGGACAGGCAAAATACTCAGTGGCTTTAGCACACTTGGATAATCTAAATTTCTTGATACTGACATCAGTTTTCTGTAGCACCTTGGACAATACTTTAAAATAGTAGTTGCTCAATAAATACTTGGAAGAATGAATGTATGTCAAATAGGAAAGAAAACTGATTACAAACAAAAAAGTCATTATGCTATAGTTAATATTTTAATTAATTTCTTTATTTAGGTATCTAGAATGCTACCAGGAGGCTTATTAGTTCTTGGAATATTTATTATTACTACTCCAGATCTTGGGAAAGATGTTCAAAATGCTCTACGCAGGGTAGGTACCAGCATATGAACAATTCTCAATGTAGTTTGGCTATGTATTGTTTTAATTAAATGCAATTTCATATGAAGGTCACTGATTGTATTCGGATAATGCTCACAGAATTTTATGGGCTTGGATTGTAATTAAATACTTATGCTTTCAAATCTAGTTGCAGGTTGTCGTGATAGAAACCTGTGATGAAAAGAAACTGAAGTTCAAAGTTCTAAGCATGATCGTTTATTAGCAAGGCTAGCAGTTGCTAATAAGTGAGATTCCCAAAGCCCCTCAGTGGCCAGAGATGCATTAAATCAGACAGAGCAGTCTTTCATACAGTTGGTAAAGGTAGGCTTACATTTGGCATAATCAGGCTGCCTGGCTTACAAAAGATTGTTTCCAAAGTCCATTGTAAGGGGAAAACACAAAGTTAGTCAACATCCTCTGGAAAGTCTAGAAAGTCCCGTGTCAGTGATCTATATGTACCAGAGTGGTCCCATGGTAGGTTTATGGCCAGGCATAACATTTTATGAACACATCGGTGCCAATGAGTCTGGGCTCTAGCCCAGAGAAATGGGAAAGTTAAACTCTTACAAAGAAGTCAAGCCCTCTTATAGACTCTAATGTTAAGTAGTCAAGCTGTCTTTTAAATCAAATTAATTCCTAAGTACTGATTCCAGTGATTAGATACTATTCTCAATCAATAATAAATAATACAGAATAAACTGGGTTATAAGTTTTCAACTTTACAAGGTCACACATTTAAATGCTTACCTAGTATGTACAGGGTTCTCTGTTGAACTCTATGGAGATGTAAAACTAAAAGGAAATAGTCCCTACTTTCAGGGAGCTTATATTCTACTGTGGTGATACAGTTAAGTAAAGAAAAGATATTTGAGGAAGGAAAGACTACTAATACTTGAGAGGTGAGAGAAACCTTTACTGAGCTTGTGACAGACCCTTATGGCTGAGCCTTGATGTAAGGTGAGGGTGCAGATACAGAAAGAGGCATTCTAGGAATGAGAGAAATGCTTGACAAAGGACCCTTATTTGGGAAGTGGAAAGCTGAGCTTGGAGGGCAGCTTGTAAGTCAATTTGGCTGGAACTTAGAGTGAATGAAGTAGAGGAACATGAAATAGGGATGGGAAGGTAGGTTCATTTCAATTTGTAGAGAGCCTTCAACCCCAAGTTAAGGAATTTCACCTTTGGATTACCAGAATTCATCTAGCAGTAAACATGTGCCAGACTTTCCAGAACACTGATTCCTAAGGATTGCTGTAAATGTTAGATAGGTATGTGTGGGAATTGAGTGAACCAGCTGACTTCATCTTGTGACTCAATTCTGCATCTAGCTCAGTTCCCTTTCTGTTCAGTTATGGGTCTAGTCCAATTTCTGTTTTGTTAGAAAACTATTCAGTTTGGGGAATTGTGAGAAAATTTTATTGCATTGTTTTAATCTAACCCCGCGTGGCTGGAAAGCTGGACCACCTCTACTTGTTGCTTAGGGACTCTTAAATAAGGCTCCAGGTTATGCTGACCAGAAACCCAGTCAGATCCAAATATTGATGCAAGGAATTTTCTCATTATTACACATTATGCATCAATGTATAATGTAATTACATATCAAGCAACCCATATGTCTTCTCTGAAAACTTGCTCCATACTAATCAGTCAGTTATTGTTTCCTTGTTCCTTTAATTGAATACAGACACTTAGAGAGGAGTAGAACACCTCTTTTCTAATTTCAGGGAATTGTACCTGTTTGCTTTCCCTCTCCTAACTCAGAAAGCCTCTAATCTACCCTCCAGTTAGAAAGTAGATGACCTAATCTTGTATCCTGGTTTGTATTAAGTTGTTTTCTTTTAATGCATAAAAATCTGTTCCCCCCCTGTATTCAGGGTCCAGTGCCAAGCTGAGGAGGCCAGGTCCTGATTTGTTAAGCAGTTGGCATGTATTGCTTAATAAATCGATATGCCTGCAAACTCGAGCCTTTGTTTCATTAGTCATTTTAATCAGTTGACGTGTCAAACAGATGACATAGAGTTAGACATTTTTCCCTTTTGCGTTAACAGTTTTGTGGCTCTTTAAATGTAACCTGTATCAGAAGTTTTAGAAATTTTATGAGTTTCATTTATACAAGGGATTCTAATGAAATGCTTTTGTAAAAAATTTGTTTCAAGTTGAAACTAATTTTTCATTTCATTTGGAATAACAATTCTCTCCTCTTTTCATTCAAATACTAGTTGTCTTAAATTGATTTGTATTTAGCCTATTTTAGATGAAAATAATAGAATTTAATTTGAATGACATATATTCAATTAATTATTATCATTTGAGTGCTCTTAAATAATCAGTTATTTTTATCTCTAAGAATGGAGTCTAAAGTAAACAATAGTTGAAATCCTTATTTTATTTTAGCATCGATCCACAATGGTATGGTAAGAGAAGGAAAAAAAAAATCATTTATTTGTTATTTCTTCCCCAGTTAGTGTTTGCTGTGGAAAAATCTGTTACTAAAAAGAGACTATGGAATCTCACAGAAGATGACATCTCAGACCGGGTCACTCTTCATGTCTGCTCATCTACAAAGAAGTATCTTTTACATTGGGTGTTTACTATTTGAATGTGCTACTGAAATTATATTCCTGTGTATTTCTTTATAAATTCAATTCCAATGTCATGATTTATAAAATTGTACATACTGTGTATAATTTTGTAAACAATACTTGACAAATAGGCAGTGTCTGATTTATAAATACTCACATCATGAATGGACAGTTGAAAAGTCTATAAATCTGACCTTCATGGGGAAAATTGTTTCTTCTTTCTTAATTCAGTCTAATTCTCAGGCAGCTAAATGGTAAAGTGAGTAGCACACTAGACTTGGAATGAGGAGGTGCTGAGTTCAAATTCTGCCCCGGACACTAAACTAGCTGTGTAATCCTCAGCAAATCACTTAACCTCTGTTGTGAGGATAAAATGAGAGGATAATTATAAAGTGTTTTGCAAATCTTAAAGTGCTGCGTTTTTGCTGGCTGTTAATTAAAAACAAAAGAGAGTATTTGGCTACAGATTTTTCTCTTACACAGAGAGTTTACAAATTCCTGGCATCCAGAGGGACCCGTTATTCTCTTCCCTCCTCTTTCCTTTTATATACTTGGGGAGAATGGAGAGACAGAAGAGAAACTGGTCTCTTGAATTGGAATTTCTGTATATTCTGATAGAAATGGTATTATATGTGCTGGTTTAAAAGTAGAATTGGTACTAAATGCATTACGAATTAAATAAACTTTTGTGGAATACTTTGGAAAATAACTACTATTCACTGCATGCGTTCTGAGGGAAAATGTGTTTCTAAATAACCTGTCTGTAAGCTGGGCATTACTTGCACTTAAAGAAAAAGGATATACATATTTTTTGAAAATTTCAAGGTGACTGCTATTTTATCTCAAAAGATAGGTAATAAAACTATATTACAAAATTCTTCGTTTTGAGTACCAGTCTTTAAGTATTATAACTTTGTAGCATGTTATGGGTCATTGGTGAAAACAATTAAATTATGCAAACATTTATTAAGTACCAGCTATGTGCAAGATAACTGTTTGGTGACTGAAATCACACAGACAAGAAACAAAACAGTTCCTGCCTCATTTTTAACATATTACTTCTCTCAGGAGTTCAAGGGTACATATAGTATGTGGAGATCCCTTCCTTCCTCTGATGTTCTTTTTCATCGCATACAAAAAGGAAGAGAAGGAGGGAAAAAGGAAGGAAGGGGAAAGGAGAGCACTTTATAGACTTTTCATTTGGTCCTCACAACCCTCTCAGATAGTACTGAAATTATCTTTATTTTTCAGTTGAGTAAACTATTGAAGCAGACTGATTGGCTTGTACAGAGTCATATAACTAGTTAGTGAGTGTCTGAGGCTGGATCTGAACTCAGTCTTATCTCTAGGCCCAGTGCTCTATCCACTGTGATACCTCCTGCCCCCAAATAAAGTTTGAAATTCTTTTCTGTCTCTGGAACACCTTTCAAATAGTGTAGGTGTTTACATCTTCCTGTATTCATACTTCCTACTTTAGTGTGCCTTAAAAAATTTTTTTTTAATTAAACGTTTTTCTCTCTCTTCTACCATCTCCAACTGCTACTGAAAATTCAAGTCAGCAGCAAGCATTTACTAAACATTATGTGCTGTGCACTGAGGGTGCAGTGAAAGACATCCCTGCTGTAAAGGAGCTCTCAGTTTACTGGAGGAGACAGCATGAAAAAAAAAGCAAAAACTGTAACAAATGTGTGTAGTCAGACAAAACAAATCTGCGTTGGCTATATCCAAAAGTGTATGTCTTACTATGCATCTTAAGTGTAGTACCTCTATCAGAAGATGGATAACATGCTTCATCATTGATTATCAGGAATTGTGGTTGGTCATGATGTGGATCAGAATTCTTAAGTTTTTCGAAGTTGTTTGTCCTGACAACATTATTATTGTACATGGTTCTTTTTCTACTCTCTTCATTCTGAAACCGTTTATGTAAGTCTTCCAAGGTTTTCCTGAAACCATTCCTTTTATCTTTTTTTAAAGCAGTAATCCATAATACTCATATAATTTGTTCAGCTATTTCCAGTTGATGTTCTTTGCTTCGTTCTTGGCTTCTAGTTCTTCGTCATTACAAACAGAACTGCTATAATTATTTGTGTGTAAGTCAATTTTTTCCTTTTCTTTGATCTTTTTGCTTTTAATGTTAGCTATTATTTTTAGAGTATAGGCTATTTTGGAGTAGTGATATTGCTTGGTGAGAGCATATACACAGGTTGCATTCATATTAAAGATGATGCTAATTTTCTTACATTTAAAGTTGCATTACCTGACTTTAAAATAGATGTTAGTATTTGTTCTTTTTGTTTTGTCTGATTCTGCCAAATATTTTTTATTTGAATTTCCTTAATTAGTCAAGAATACTTTGTCGCACTTATGATATCCGTGACCCAAAGGTAAGATGAAAACCAGTTTATCTTGGAACCAGTTATGTTTGTTTTTAAAATGTAAAATTAAAATTTAAAGTTTCGAATTTTAAAATTATACTTTAGTCATTAGTTTCAGTGTATTTACTTCAGCACACTCCTACTTTCTTTTGAGGTGCAAAGCTAACTGGAGTTCTGCTTGACACAAATATAATTAACATGATTACAAGCATTTCAGATCTCTGGAAAAGTATTTAAAATATATTTTTTATTATAAGAGAGAGAGAGGAGAAAAAATTTCCTAAGGTTTCAGCAGATGTTAGATTTAAAGACTGTATAAAATGCAAACCATCTGTGTTGCTTCCAAATCCTGTCTGTAGCCCACCTTTCCAAGCCAGTGGTATGTTACTCTCATTTACTTTCTCTCCATTCCATCAGAGGGGATGCTTGGTGTTTCACATCCACGATTTTTTATTTCCCATCCTCCCTCCACAGAGGCTGTCCTCAGTAACAGAATGAACCTCCTCCTCCCACCTGACAGAATCCTAGTTTCCTTCAGAGCTAATGTGCTGAAGCGCTTCCTCTCACTCTCATGAGAAGCCTGTGTGCCCTGAAAGCCCCCATTGATAGTGTGGTCCCCCAAGAAATTATTTTATGCACATTTTTTACTGCCTTCTTTGTGCATGTTTCTTAATAACAAAATATAAATTCCTTGAAGGCAAAGAGTATTTAATTTTTGTCTTGTATCACTATCACCTCCACAGAACCTGAAAGATGTTAGGTGCTGTTCAAATGCTTGTTGAATTTAAAAATGTAATTAAAGAAACCAATTATATTCAAGGGAACTCCATTTGAGATGGTGTTAATGTTGTAGAAACCAAGTGTCATTGTGTTTTCAGTTACATGAAATTAGCTGCTAATAGGGAGGGAAAACCAGAGAGTGGAGCATTGGCAAGAAGCAGCTTTGCAATTCCATTTTCTTTGAGTAAGCAAAGTCATAAGACTTTGGAAGCAAGCAGAGCAGCCACTGAGGGTTCAGGCTTGGTTTTGAATTCAGTTTGTATCTTGAGCCAAGTATATGCAGAGACACAGGAGCTGCTGCCATTTCTACTGGTAGAGAGAGGTGCTGGGAACAGTTGTGCCTTTTGGACAAGCAGAGTGCTAGTACCTCATTAATTAAGTAATAGAAAGAATGACTGGCTTTGCCTCAGACTATAATACAATCTCTGACTACTGTATAACAGAACCAGAAAAGGAAGTGGTGAGGAGAAGGGACATTCACAGAAAGTTTCTGATTAAAAGAAGAACATTTAATTTATTATCTTTCTGAGAAATTATTAGAGGATTTGATAAATTGTATTTATAAAGTGGCATATTCCTATTTAGAGCATGGATCATTATGATTGCTTCAAATTATTAATTAGTTTTGAAAGTGACATTTCTGTTTCTGGTACCTTAGATGCTGTTAAAACCATACTAAAGATCATTTAATTCAAATCCCTCGTTCTGCAGATGAGAAAAAAATCCTGGAGAGGTCAGGTCATTCTGTTGAATATGAAGCAGTAAGTGACAGCCAGGAGTGGAGCCCAGGTCTCTTAATATCTGATCTCTTCAAGGTGCTTTCTACTATCCCTGCTAGAATTTTAGATCAAGAAGAGTATAATATTAGAGCCTAGGCCAGAGGTTAACCTCTTTTCTAACATTCTTAAAATCATTTTTTGAAGAGCCAATTTATACTTTAGATATACTTTTTCTAATTGGTACTAGATGTTTTATACCAATGTCTTAAAATTGTGTAGTTTAATATATAAGCCAATACAATAAAAAAAAAATTAACAAATCACAATACTTTGTCTCCAGAAAATTCTTATTTTAATGTCCATTTATAGCTTAGTAAGTGGAATAGAGAGCCCTGAGCTATTATAACTTAACAATGTAATTAGTTAACTACCTCATTCCCTTGAAAAAGTCAGTTTGATGCTGAGGGGGCACAAGTATATGACTTAAAAAAGAGGCTAAGATGGGGGAAAGGAGAGCAAAAGAGCCAGGTTTGGGTTAGGTGAGATGCTGTTGAACAGGATCATTGACTAAAGAGAACATGCCAGAGTGCCCCAGGAGCAGTGGGTGGCAGCTTGATTAGGCTTTGGTGGCTAGGCTTATAGAGTTTGTCTGTTCTCAAGTCAGACAATCAACAAGCATTATTAAGCATTTAGTATATGCCAGGCACTGTGCTGATTAAGCTTTGTAGATGAGTCCACATACAGGTATAGACCCATTACTTTATGTACTTAAAGGTATACCATTAATAATTTGCTGACATCACCCGCACCCCTACCCTTGTCTAACTTCTTCATTTTACAAGTGAAGTAGTTAGGGCCTAGCGAAATCAGAGCCACACATTGCTAGTTAATGTCCCTAAAAGTCCATTATTTTTTGGTCACTTGGCTAGCATTTATTGCCTTTTGTGTTCCAGACCCTGTGCAAAGCATTGAAGATACAAAGGCAAAAAAAAAAAAGTCTTTGCTTTCAAGAAGTTCAGTGAGAGAGACAACTTGCAAATAACTATGTACAGGCTCACTACGTACAGGATGAGTTGGGAGTAGTCTCAGGGGGGAAGGCGCTAAGATTAAGGAATTATGTATTTTTATAATAAAGAGTCTATTTTTTAGGCAGAAAGTGCTATCACTTATAGTTTTATCTGTTAGAGAGGTTAAACCATAGGTCTAAACTACCAGAAAGATAAAACGATCTCTACTTAATGTCAGTCAACTGAAATTGTCTGGGTGGCCTTAAAGCTCAATGAAGACAAAGAATCATAGAATCTAGAGCTAACAGGGACAGGAGAGATCAACCTTCTACTGATGAAGATATGCCTGCTGATAAATCAGATAATGCATTATTGTTAGAGGGATATTTCAAAAATCTTTGCTGCTTTCTGCCCACCATGTGGATCAGTGTACAAATGATAATTCCTGTGTACATATACACAGATACATATACTTAAAGGTATATTTTTTTCATAATCAAAGTGGACAAAAAAACTAGATGGTAGTTCTCATATTTCTTGTAAATGTTTGGAACTGCTTTATAATATGATTTTGAATAATAATACTTCTACAAGGCAATTTCACTTGGGCTTTTAAAAAAAATCCATAGAATTATTTTTATTTACTTTTTAGAAATCCAACATAATTGTATTTTTAAAGTACAGTTAAGTTGTTTCAAGTTTAGGGATTTAAATATTCTAAATGGCTACTTATGAGAAAGCTCATTAAAATAGTTTACTTTGGTGGAGGGGCATTGGGAATGTGTATCTGATTTACACAGGCATAAACAGAAAGAAGACTACATCTCTCACCTCTCTTAGTAGTCTGATATTCCTTAAGCTCTTGAACATGTTAAAGCATACAGTGTTTAGTGCTAAAGAAGTCTATTAACATTTGGAGGAAACCCTTTCCAGAGATACTTAAAAGAGTAAGAGTTCCTGGGCTCTTGTGTTTTCAAAGTTAAGACGTTTAATACATTATTTCAGAGCCCTGACCTGTTTGGCATGGTAGTCATATACACAGGCATTGTGCACAGTAGGCATTCAATAAACACATGTCAGCATACCCAATATATAAAATCCCAGGTGTTAGGTGAGAAGTAGGGTTCTTATAAGAGATGAAGTCATAGTGCCTTTTGACATGACAGCCGCATGACTAACCTCACCTCTGCAGTATCTTGAAAACAGAAGAGCCAATAAGACTTAAAGAATAGGGAATTTTAATACATGCTTCAAACTCTGGAAGATTTGGTTCAGGTGACAACTCTGCTTTGCAAAATCTATGCTCCAAGACCTCTCAGAGCTAATAATGAACCTTAGGCATAATAATTATTATTACTTTGTATTTTCATTTTGGAATAGAAATGTCATATTTAAAGAAATCTGACAAAGTTTGAAAACTTACTGTCCTGTAACATAATTGCTTATCCTTATGCTTTTTATAACTTATTGATACATAATATATTTTTATTTGAAGTGCATCATTTTATGTGTATTTTTAAGTTTCAATCTTATTTCCCCTTTTGTCACTTCTAGAGTTTACCAAAACCTGCAGACTGGAAATATCAGAATGGACTGTCTACTTCATGGCTTTCTTTAGATTGCACAATTCATGTTAACATTCATGTTCCACTTTCAACTACAACTGCTAGTTATCCCCTGGAGAAAAATACAAAGGTAATAGATAAAATAAACTTATAATATTATTAAATAACTGTTGAGAATATTGTCTTTCTTTTCCATTATTGGACACCATTAGGTGGTGATTTGTTGTGTCTGTGTCTTATTCCTTCATGCAGATTATAAATACCTAGATGGTAGAGTTAACCAACCAGTGCCTTATAGTTGTTTTTCTTTCTTGCACATATTAGGTGCTTGGTAAATATTCTTTATTGAAAAAAAGGTTGTCTGGGTTTTTCTTTGTCTTAGGCCTCAATTTAGCTTCCTTACATTTCCCAGTACCTTTTTCTTAGCTCTCTTTGTATAATTTCTTCTCAGTATCTCAGACTTAGGATTTTTCCACTTTTGTTGCTTTTCCTTTTTGTCCTTTCTATTAACAAGAGAACTCTCTGAAACTATTTGATATCTTTCATTCCATATTATAGCTCCTTTCTGTAGTGTTTATGTTTTTGTTTTTATTTTTTTAAGGCTTTTGAAATGAGTAGTTATCTGTGGTTAAACTTTTGTTCTATATTTTACATATATTTAGGAAGATTTATTTACAATTTAGATACATATAGGCATGTGCCTCATATTTTTGGTCAGGAGAGAAGATGAGGGGTAAAGACTTTATATATGGAGTAGTTAAAGATTGGAGGTATATTGCAATTTTTTAAATATGATTGCAAGAATATTTTTTTAATATTAAATGTTGCCAGTGCTTTCAGTTTTTTAGGAACTGTAAGCATGGAAGGGAGAAAAATCTAATAAAACTGAAATTATTTAATATATGATATACTTAGAGACTTAATGAGATGTTTTTCTTTTAAGAATGGACTTGCACGCTGGGCCAAGCAAATTGAAGGTGGTGTATATTTGATCAATGGACAAGTTAAAGAGGAAGATTGCGAACTGCTAGAAGGACAGGTGAATTCCGGAAATTATCTTTGAGCTATTAAATGACTTGAAATATTTCCTTTAAGATGAAAAAAAAGTATGACTAATATTCTGACAAAATCTGTGGAATTTGTGTATCATTTAGTCCCAGTATTTCTGAAGATTTGTACATTAAAATGTGGTTAAGGGCCAAATGTATTAATCACAATATGGTGCAGTCTTGAAAAATTTGCTGGAAGCACCCAATATTTATAGCTCTTTGGCTCTGAGTACAATAGTAATAGCTAATATCTTCTTAGACTATAGCTAGACTCAAAGTGATTCTGACTCAAAACCATATTTCCAGTGAGTTAATTGGAACAGAGAAAATTGGGGAGGAATTGATTTTTTCAAAAATTTTGATGTTGATATATAGTTTAAAAATTTCACCCCACAAATGCTATCTGTAGTGCTTTTCCGTTAACTTTTTAGATTTTTTTTTTTAACCTATAGTATTAACAAATTTTGGTCTCTTGTTAGACCTATTCAGTACTAAAAATGTCTTCAGGATGATTTCTAAATTGCTTTTTAAAAAAACCTGAAGGAAATATTTATTGCCTAAATTATTAGTGTTTTAATTTTTTTCTCTTTCAGAAAAAGTCTTCTAGAGGAAATACTCAAACTACTAGCCAAACTTTTGATGTCAGGGTCCTGACACATTTGGTAAATATTGGGAAAATGCTACTAATCTAAAATCTTTTCAGAAAGTCATTATATGGCATTAACAAAATTTACATTTTGGAGTTTATTATATATAGAATCATAACATTTTAGAACTTAGTCATTATTAATTTTTCAACCATGAGAACAGTTTACTTTTTAAGTAACTCACAGAGGTATCATTTTCCTGGAACCATTTATGACTACCTCCTTAGCCCTAAAGCTTGGAGGAAAGGAGGAAAGAATGAGAGATGATGTTGAAAGGACTTTAGGTTTAGAATTTGAGAGAAGCAGGAGCTCATGATGGATCACCTCAATTTTCTCCATGGTGTACTCTGCTGACAGGGAGTAGTGATAGAGAGAAGGAAAGATTTAGAATCAATTGTGAGAAATTTATCAAGGAAGAGTAAAAAGCATTGGTATGTAACACTGAGGGCCCATTTAAAATTAGATAATATATGTGAGCTTCATTTGTCTGATGTGGCTATCACTTGATAGTTATCCATCTGTAAAGCATTTGAAGCTAAATGGTGGAGAATGTAAATGGAAGATGACTATCTCAATCTGCCTCCAGTAAACTCCCATGAACCCTATTTTAAGTTGTGGGGACAGATTATAGGAAGGCATAAAGATAGGAAATGGAATGTCATTTTTAGAGAATGGTTAATTGTCCATTTTATTCTGGAACAAAGATGGAGGATGTGAAGGAAAGTAGTGAACTAGGTCTGGAAAACTAGGTTGGGACCAGGTTGTTCCATATTTTAAATACCAGGCTAAGAATTTTATTTGAATTTTATTCTAGAGGCACTACATTAAAAAGGAAGTTTTTTCTTATGTTGAGTCACAATTTGCCTCCCTTAACTTTCACCCACTGGTACTAGTTTTATTTTCTGGCACCAAGAAGAACAAGGATGAACTGCTTTCTACGTGACAACCCTTCAAATAGTTGGAGATTGCTATCATGTCCTACCCCTTTCTTGTCTTTTCAATCTGCCTGCCCTAATCTAAAAAACAGAAACAACTTTCCCTAAAAAGTACTGTACCCGCGCTACTACCGTCTTATCTTTCCTTGCTTTGCGAAGTCCTACACAAAGCACTCTGTACTCTTTGACTACCCCCCTTCCTCTCTGTCCCCTCCCCAGCCTTTCCACCACCTCCATCCTTCATCCCTTGTAATATGGCATCCATCTCCACCATTCTGCTGAAATTAAATTCCTTGACACTGCACTTTTCTGGTTCTCTTCCTGTCCCTCTGACTGCTTCTTCTGTTTACTTTGCTTCCTTCTTCTGTAGCTTTCCTTACCTCTGCCCTTTTTCCAAGAGATGGACATTTTTGCAAGGTTCTTTGCCTTTGGCTTTCTGCTTAGGTGTATCTATATTTTCTTCCTCAGTGATTACCTCCACTCCATGGCTTCAACTCTTATTTTTTTGTGGTCCATTACCAACTTTTAATTTTTTCTAATTTTTCTGTTATGCCTCCTTTTGAAATACGTACTGGACATTTCTATCTGGTCATCATATTAATTTACACTTCAAAAGTCAAATTCATAATCTTCCCATTTAAAGTAGCTCCTCCTGATTTTTCTGTTTCTGTGAAGTGTGTCATTATTCTCCTAGTAAACTAGAGTTGAAATCTTGTAGTTGCACTGTATCTTTTCACATCCCATACTTTCCAGCCAAACTGAACTACTTGTCATTGATTGAACAGTCCTGAGCTATTATTTGAACATACTTTCTACTTCTCCATTTTACTCATGGTATTTATAATTTTCTCCCCATTAATAGTCCCTGCCTGTTAAAAATCCTTCCCAATATTTCCAGATCTATCTTCTTCATCCTAGGGTAGCTATTTTTGGTCCACCTAGGCAGAAGTGACCTTCATGTTATCTGAACCTCATTATCTGAAGTATATGGTATTTCTCTCATATGCTTTGTACTATAGTTATTTGTATACATGTCTTCTTTCTTCTGTTGGATTGGAAGCTCTTTGAGGGCAGCAACAATGTCTTATTCATCCATCATTCGTTCCTCCACAATACTGAGCTCAGTGCCTTTCAAACAATTGCTACTCAAGAATTATGTTTTGGAATGAATATTGAAATTGTTATATTTATACTCAGGATAAATAGGAGCGGGACTTGTAATTTCATTGGAATAAGGCACTCTCAGATGAGGAAATTCCCCTCCCAATGCAAATTGGCATATTCTTTGACACTTAGAGTCTTATTTCCTTAGAGAACTGACAGGGTAGGTGACTTGTACAGAATTATTTAGGCATTGTGTGTTAGAAGTGGGACTCGAAGCAAGGCTTTGCTGGTTTTAATGTCATACTACTCATGTTTGTGCTTAAAAGAAAAAAATTGATTTCCGGTTACAATATAGATGCTCAGAAAAACTACTAAACTACAAAAAGGAAAATGGGGTAAAGACCTTTTCATAATTGATTGAAAATATTTTCAAACATTGGGGCAAGAAATAAAAGTCATGCTCATAAAATTCCTAAAATGCTTGTGTGGAGTTTAACATGGCACTTGTTTTATTTCTAGTGGGAGGGCCACTTAATCATTATTTAGACTAAATGCAACATTTCTCTTTCAGCTCCTTAATTCGAATCACAGATCTACAGCTACAGTCCAGGTCTGCAGTGGTTCTGTAAACCTCAAGGGTTCTGTGACATGTAGAGCTTATATTCACAGCAACAAACCAAAAGTTAAAGATGCTGTGCAGGTCAGAACATAATTACATCGTACAGGGCATAATAATGTTTTACTTCAGCTGTCCCATAACAATTTAACCTTTAAAACTTGGAATCATTCATTTGACTCTACTTGGCAAGAGAATGTAGTGTACATATACTTGAGGTTTCCTTTAGGGTCTTAAGGGGAAAATGCTTAAAGAGCTAAGTGTAAGCATTATTATTGTTTTTAAATTGCTGAGATCACAGTCCTAGTGAATCTAAATAACAGTAAAATCGCAGTACTAGTGAAAATATAGTTTATCTACATGTTCAGAATTGAATCTGAGAATTTATGATAAAGTTCAAAGTTCTTTACTCTCATTTTTCTTTAAATTGAAATAGCTTATGGATATTCCTTGGTATTTTCAAAGGATCTGGGATTGCATCAGTGTGGGTAATATTGCTCTCCTGTTTGTTGATAGAGTAGACAGAAATTTTTTCTAGGTCTTTGGATAGCTCATAAGTACTGGTGCAACAGAGTTGCTAGATTGTTAGTCCCTAGATTGTTGTTGTGTAAAGGACTCACCTCCTTTTCAAATAACATTTTCTGAGTGAGGTCTGTGTTACTCTTGCATGAAAGTCATCATTTATAATTTGCTGTACCCTACTTTCTTCTGATGTATACTCACAATTTTGATTCTTTAAAAATTATGACATTCCTTAAATTGCAGTTATATGGCATTTAGGGTTGTATATAATTGTATCAAAAGTAATATTGGTGTTAAAGAAATAAATTTTTATGTCAGGGAGCACCTTGGGTTTGTCAAATATGTACTGTTTCTCACTTAAAATTATTTTTATTATTAATAAGATATAGCATACGTTGTTTTATTTTATATTTCTCCATTTTCCTGTGTGAAAATGGAGGAAATTTGTCCTTAAGTGATGATTACACAATTCCCTATAGGATCATCAACCAACTATGGATGAACTATCATAATGGTAAAAGTGCGTCCCAGGTCCTTTTCCTCTCAGAATCTTCAGTTTCTAAGAGCAACCCAAAAAACTGAAATGTCACGTTGGGTGCCAGGTCATTCAGAAATTGTGAAAATTATGACACACTTCGAAATAATTGTGTAGTTCACCAGTTCAGAGCACTGACATTAACTAGTATTATTTATGCAGTATGTACATAACTTATTAATTTGGAAGTAACTAATTTGGATAGGACTGAGCTGAAATTTATCTTTATTCTATTAAAGGGAAAATACCTTAATGATATTGATGGATATTGCCGAGGAAATGAATAGTAAAAATGAGTTTGGAAGGGAAATAGTTACCTGCTTTAAGCACTAAGCTTGTCAGTCACTTTAGACTTAGAATTATGTTTCCATTTGTGTTTTAGTAGACATAATTTGACCCTAAATATTTCAAAATTATGTCAGTTAGGGTCTTATAGCAGGAGCCCTACATTTCTATTTCTGATTGTGTTTTGTTTTTGTCTGTAGGCATTAAAGAGAGATATATTGAACACAGTGTCTGATCGTTGTGAAATACTATTTGAAGATCTTCTTATGAATGAAACACCAGGCAATACAGGTTTGAATATAAAATAAGTGATTTTTAAAATTTCATTGTATGTTTTCTTTATTTGGTGCAGGAATATAACAGTGTATAAATTGGACACATTCTTAGGGTTTTGTGACAGAATTGCAATAAAGTATATTTAGTACTTTAGGAATAAATTTTAGCAATATTTGCAAGTGTTTATTGTCTAAATGGCAATTTTTTCCTCTAAAACACCTGACCTACTAGTATATGTGGCATGTGTTATAGATGATTACTTTTATTTACTTAAACATGTGAGTTCCCTCCAGAACTTCTCAATGGTCAAAATACAATTAAAATTTTTTTCACTAGTTTTAGTATAATGTGTTCTAAATAGCAATCTAATTCTTTGAAAATTGGTAGTTATTGTCTGGTATGTATGGTTGCTTGCTACTAAGTAGAATATTTGGTTAAACAGGAAACTTTACCCATGGACCAGATAAAATAATATATTTTATGTAAACAGATAACTTATGGAGTAGACTAAAATATAAGTTTTAAATATTCATGATTGGTATATAGATAATAGATACATAATGGGTTATTTTTGAGTGCTAGGGATGCTTAGATACATCCCTAACATTTTAAGATGATGCCATGAAGGTAGATATGTCTTCCCATAGAACTTTTCTTGTTACCACTATTAGACAGACACTGAATTGACTGTACTTTCTTTGTGTTCTAAGGCTTAAAAGTAAGACCTTGACTTAAGTTCTTCCTTTGACACCAACTAGCTCTGCCTCTGTGGATAAGTCATTTAAACTTTCTAGAATTCTTTTGTTTATTTATGAAATGGACATAATAATCATACCACTTTTCTCCCAGTGTTGTAAAGAAAGTTCCTGGTATACCATAAAGACTCTATCATATTATTATTCTTTGTGTAAACAGTATTTATTACTTATGCCATTTAAGAATGTTTAATCATTTTTAAAAATTTGGCCTCATTCAGTATTTTTTACTTTATATTCAGAGTAATGTTTTGAACATTTTGATGACTTACCTGTTTAATATCTCAAAGTAGCATTTCCATGACTTAACTCACAGATTGAATGTTGCATCCCTTAAAGTAGGTGTTCTTAACCTTTTTTGTGTCACAGACTCCTTTGGCAATCTGATGAAGCCTGTGGATCCCTTCTTGGAAGAATAATATTTTTTAAAGGAAAAGAGAAAAAAAATCACTTTGCAAGTTGAATGACTACGTTCTGGCCCTTGTTAGAGTATGAGGTGTTTAGCATAGACATATCATAGTTATATAATTTCATTATATGATGCAAATTATATAATATAATAGAATGATATTAATTATATAACAAAATATAGAGAATTCCAAAGTCTTGGTACAATTTTAAATTATTAAAGCTTAAAACCTCAGGAAGATGAGTCTTTATTACTTCAGCCCTGGCCACTGTGCCACCTAGTTGCTCCTGTTTAGGAGTTATCTGCAGATATATAATACCTGAATTCATGGAAACTGATGAGGTCATCAAGAGAGAGACAGTGAAGGGAGAGAAGATGAGGGCACGGGGGGACACTCGTGGTTTGGGTGCAAGGCATGGATTGTGGTCTAAGAAAGGTACTATAGATTATAGTCTCACAGAAGGGAAGAAAAGCAGCTGAGATGCCCAAAACCTCTTTTGAGGAGACGAAATCTATGAAAGGAGCCTTTGCCTCAAGTGTCTTGTGTATACAAATGTTCAAAGTTCAGAAATCAGATGAGGAGCTCTCAGAGGTCCTAACGCAATGGGACAATTTGATCTCGTAGGGATTACTGATACTAGGTGAGATGAAACCTGTTACTGGACTGTGGCTCTGTTTGGGAACACTTTATTGAAAAGAAACAGAATAGATAAGAGCAGAGGCTGGGGAAGAAGATGGTAGCATTGTAAGTAACAAAGTATGTTCCTGTGAGGAAATCCAAGAACTAGAGGACAGAATCATGACAAAGACTATTTGGGTCTCATGGTTCATATGAAGTTTTTTTAGCATCCTACTCTTTGTCTATCAGGAAAATCTTACAAAGAGTGATATTTGGAATACGTAATATAAAATTTATGTAAACCACAGCACCCTTACATGAATTTGAGATCTGTATAGGACATATTTATTTTACTATATAATCTTTTAAATAAACACAGATGTCTTTCTTTGAAGTTGTGGATGACCAGCTTTATATAATTGTATAAAGCCACTTATAGTACTAGTAAAAACAATTAAGAACCATAACCAGTGGCTTACGATTAACTTTTATTTTGTTGCTCTGGTATAACAATGTAATCATTTTTTTAAAGAGAAATAAATTTGAGATCTATGTGGGGGGCATAGTATATTTCTTTTTAACTTAAATGATTAGATTTCTTTTTGCCTCTGGATCTGTGGAAGGCAGATTTGGGTTCTCCATTTTAAAATGTCTCTTTGAAAATGAAAATAAATATAGGAATGATTTTTGAAATGGCAGAATTATCTTCCCTCTGTTTCTGAGTTTTTAGTATATTTAAAAAGAAAAAACTGTTACCTTAAAAAAATACCCCTAGTAATCTCCATTTTTGTCATCAGTTATAAACTAATTAGAAGACCAGTACTCAGTTGTAAACTAATTAGAAGACCTATACTCATTAGCAAATAAATTTAATTTAGCTTCTGAAAAAAAGAAGTTAGAAATGTGTTTTTCTTACCTTTTTTCCTTCTTTTTCTCTCTGTTCTTTGCTAATATTTCTGTTAACAGTATGTTAACTTGTTTCCGAAATTAATTAAACCCCCACATTTAATGTGCAGTCTTTAATGTATAGGGAACATATTTTTAAGGTTTTTCTTTTCTATTAGTAGCATATTAATGCAGCTCAAAACACTAAATTTTATTTTGCATTCTAATATTTCTCCCATTGGCACAAATTATGAGTTCCACATGATATTTTTAGCTTATTAACAATAATAATGATTATTATTATATCTGTATATGTGTGTGTATGTAATGTAGAAACTGGACAATTAAGAAAAGTTACAAGGCTAATTGCAGTTCAGTGATTTTACAGCTAGGAGGCAGTCTGATCAAAGAGGAGAATTTAATTTCTTGTCTCTGAAAGGTAGATAATGTGCTAGAGCTAGAAAAATATGCTAATTTTTGCATTTCCTGTGAAACTTAAGGAATTTTTGATTGTTTTTCACTTTATATCTAAAGTCTTTGGTTGGTTCTTTAACAAGTAAATGTAACTTTTGTCATTTATAAGTACTTTGTGACTTGAAAAGCGTGAGGAAAATGATGGTATGACATAATTTGAAAAGTAACAACATAAAACCCACAAGAATCATTTTAAATCTATTAGTGAAAGAATACATTCTGCAAAGAATATACCCTTTTAAAGAGTAGGCTACTCTTTAAGCATAATTTTAAATAATATAAACCATAGACTAAATTTTTATATTTATATGTTCTTGTACATAAAATTATTTGTATGAAGAAATAGGGAAACAATTTTAGTTTTCATAACCTGATTACTTTTTAAAAATTATTTTATTGATATCTTTTGTTCTTATAAACCTATTTCTTTTAATGAAATGTTATTTATCTTTAGTGGTATCCTCTTCCCTCTAGTATAGCAAAATCAGCCTTTACATTTAAATCCCTGAAGAGTCTGGATTCTACTCACTTTTCATGGTTTATTTGATATTATTCCCCTTCACATTACTCTGTGCTCCATCCAAAATGGCCTATTTGTTGTTTTCCAAACTTTGTACTTTCTGCTGACTCTCTCTCTGTCTTTGCACAAGCCCAGAATGCCTTTATCACCTCTGAATCTTAAAATCTCTAATTTCCTTCAAGGCTCAGCTCAGATGCCATGATCTCAGGAAAGCTTTTCCACATCCCCCCAGTTGTTAGTGCTTTCTCCCTCTTCAATTTAATTCAATTCAGCAAGCATTTTAAAAAAATTCCTGATTATTTTGTATTTATTCTGTATTATGGGCATGTTGTTTCCTTTAGTAGGTAAACTCCTCAAAGGCAAGGATTGCTTAATTTTTGTCTTTTTATTCCCAGTGCCTTGCATATAGTAGATACTTAATCACTGTTTGTTTAATTAAATTGTTCAGGTGTTGAAGAGGATAGAAAGGTCTCTTCATCTGGTTTTTTTTTTTTGTCTTTTATAATTTTGATTTAGTGATGCCACCATTGCACGAGTATCTTTTTCATAGCCAGTAATAATATTATTTACATGATAATAATTATGTTTTCTTCTAGATTCTGAAAAAGAATTCTATGCTCTGCCACATCGAGTATTTGCCCCCATTCCTGGATCCAGTGTAAAACTGTGTGATTATAAATTTAGAGATGAGTCGACTAGGGAGATACAGGAACATTTTATGGAATTGTTGGATCAGCACATAGGAATAGATGATTTAGAAATTGCAGAGGAAATCAATACAGGTAAAAATAAGATCTTGTTTAAAAAAGAAGGCATCATTGTAGCTATGGTAAACATATGGACTTGAGCTCCAGTTTTTAATGTTCTGCTTGCTAGTCTTGTGACCGCCAGAGAGACACATAATTTCTGAACCTCATTTTCTCGTCTGTAAAATGCTACTTTGTTTCTGTGAGGAAAGTACTTTGCAAACTATTAAGTCTGACATAAAGGTAAGTTATTATTAAACACATGATTAAACTATAGTGAGGAATCAATTAAAAGATCAATAAAAGTTTAACTTTTAAACATCTTATGGTTGTTTTGGGCATGCTGACATAACATTTTAAATAAGGCATTTCAAATTATAATCTTTATAAAGATTATTCCTTCCCAGAGGATATTAAATACCATTGTTAATATTTAAATGTTAATGCATTCTGTGATTTCATTGGTTTGGGAACTTTCTCAGGGCACAGAGTTCAAGTGGCTTGCTTGTCATCACTGTTCCAGGGGGCAGAATCTAACCCAGGTTTTCCTAATTCCAAGGAACTCAGTCTATCACCGTGCCACTCTGCAGGTATTTATAGTAAATAAATGGTAAATATATAGTGAATGTTGGCAGATTGGCACAGTGTTGATAGCAATTTCTAGCACAGCATCACAGTATTTCAACTGTTTTCAAAATAATGGAGGGGGCTCTTGATGAGATAAAAATAATGTAGAATATGACTGACTCCCTAATAGGAAGAACTATGAAGTTTCATATTCTTCCTTTTGTAATTCATGGAATTTTTCTCAGAACTCCATTATCTTAGTGGCTTCATGCTGCCACACCTCCCTCAGATAAGAAATAAACACTTATAAGATAACAGAAGGAAATGTCTGCTGGAAGGGGGCAAACCTGAAAGATACCTTCAAATTTCCAAAACTATACTCTTTAGGAGCATATTATGCCTGTTGTCAAATGTGGTTTCTTCCCCATTTTCATCTTTCTCTGTCATATTGGGGCATGTATTTTGGATGTCTGTATTTTATTTTATTTTATCCTACAGAATTCCCAAGAAATGTATATAAATGGATGTGAGCATTATCTTAGGAAATAATATTATAATGTTCCTAAGATAACTTTTTAAAATAGGAAAAAAGTATTAATTCTGTAGACAAAGGTAGGTATCAGGAAAGAACAATTCATCATTTGGACTATCACAGTGTCCATGAGTGTTCTCGTAGGCACATTATTACCTGTCTTTTTTTTCCTTATAATGAAAAAAACAAGTGCTTTTAAACCTCAGGACAGCAACTTTCCCCTCAGTACATTTTGCAAATTTCATAGTTATTCATCAGTTGCTATGGTACCTTTTTTTATTCTACTTCCACACCCCCTTATGTTTACTGTATGGGCTGGAACTGGATTATGGTATTTAATTCAAGCACTGTTGTTACTATGGTGAGTCATGTAACTGATTGGTGAATTTCCAACCTAACTGTAGTGCCTCAGGTGTGAGTTGAGACCACCAACTTTTTCTAAGTTGATAACTCCAGGTGTTAGTGCTAATCATGATGAGGAATAAAAAGTTTGCTTTACAGTGAAAAAAGAAGGAAAAAATTAAAAATGTTGAATATTTTGATTTTGTGGCAACTATTATGTTTTAAATGATATCATCATTAAATAGTATATAATGTCCAATAATAATATCATAATTTTAAAGACGTGGTTTTGTTTTGAACATATAACCATAGGTCATTTTACAAGTCTTATTTTTTTTGTGCCACCTTGAATATTTTAATGGTTCCACAGAGCAGTGCCATGAACTTTCCCTGTTAACAGGGAAAGCCAGTTAGCAGGTTAGCCAGTCATAGGCTCAGAATGGAAAAAGAAGGAGTATATAGGTCATCTAATCTGTTTCCCAATTAATCCCTGAAAATCTCTTGTCTAGCACCCCTGAAAATGATGGTCATCTAGCATGTCCTTAACTCAGTTCATGAGACATGTCTTTGTATTTTTAGATAGCATCAATTATTAATAGTGTTTTGTATTCACAGAATCTCAGAGTGGGGAAAGACCCAAAAAACCAAATCCGTATTTGAATAAGTACAAGTATATTGAGCAAAAAAAATTATCTGTAACATCCTGTAGCATCCATGTCCTGTCCTCTGAAGCAATGTGGAACTCATCTTCTGCTCATTTTTATACAACATCTCTTCAGATACGTGAAGACAGTTATCATGTCTCCTTAGACATCATGTTCAGGCTGTACTTGTTCCTACAATCAATACTTCACATTACTGACAGATATCCTTACCATCCTTAAGACATATTCTAGTGTCCTTAAAATGTGGCACTTAGAATTAAATATAATACTCTCGAGGTAATCTGACCTTTCAAAGTACTATAGAACTCTTATTTCCTATAATAAGTAGTAGTTTTAAAATGCAGCCTAAGTTTGTATTGGCTTTTTAAAGTTTTTTTAAAAAATTTTTTAGCAGCTGCATCATTCTTCAATTACAATTAAGTATTCCTTAATACCTTAGACTGGGTCTTCTTAAACTTTGTCTACTCATGACCTCTTCAGCACTTCTTAAACTGTGGGTCACTGCTTACACAATTCCTAGATAATGTGAATGCTGCCTAACAAGCTATGTTCCACCCATCCTCTCCTGGTGACATTTTAAAAACTTAAATGCAAGCTTTACCTTTATCTCTCTTGAATTTTGTCTTATTGCTTTCATTCATATCTGTTGAAATAATTTTGGATCTTAATCCTGTCATCTCGTGGAAGCTGTGCCTCCCAGCTTCTTGTACTTCTTGCTGAATTCACAAGACACAAAAATCTGCCAAACATCTATTCATAATCTTCCTCAATATTAATTTAATAGCTGAATGAAAGAATAGTTCGCATTAGGGCAAGAGGAGGCCAGAGGGAGAAGTCAATTTAATGTTGCTATACAAGCGGCTGGTAACATAGTATAAGTACCAGACAACCACATTGTTTTTTATCAGGTCCAAAATCCAAACATTTCCACTGTTATGATACCTCTTTGTGGAAATAACTGGCAGCAACCTGGTCAGGAATGATTTCTCAAAGCTATTGAAGACCTTGAGAGGATTATGAGACAGTTCTAAAGTCATGGAGACAAAAAAGTTTCAGAGATCCAAAGATGTAATTGATGATAACCAGATAAAGAATTCCCACATGCTCTCCTTGCCACTAATGTCCTTTCTCCCTCTTGTCTTCTCTTAAGAAAGTGTCATTTTAACTCAATTCCAAAAGCATTTATTAAGTGCCTACTTAAAGCTGCCAGGCACTGTGTCTCCTCATTGCTGTTATCACCTCTTTTGTCTACCAGCTGTTGCTGGCAAATGGTTCTTATCATTCATTCAGTTCTCAAAAACTTAAAAATGCTCTGACATAAGCATTCAGCTGCAGAGAACTCTCAGTGGAAATGATGACACTAGATGAAGAAAATTGGAAGGTGAAGTGTGCAGTATAAGTATGATATGTAATTCACTTCGCCAAATTGGTTTAAACCAGTTTTCACTTTATTTAGGAAATGTTTAATTTTGAAACAAGAGTTTCTAACTTGTACCTTGTAATGCTCTTAAACTAAGCCCTATTTTATTCTCTCATACATTGTTTAAAAAGTGATATTTATTTTTGCACAAAAAAGATGCTTAGTGATTGAATTGAGGTTTGTGAAATTATTAAATGCCAAAATCAGGTAAAGTATAGGTTCTAATCACATATTTATAGTCATTTAGTGAATAAATATACTTTTTCTGTTATGAAAATTGTAGTAAAATGACATGCTTCTTTGTGAAGAGCATTTTGGTACAGAGTTAGAAAGGAAATAGTAGACATGGCCCTTGTGTTTGTAATCTAATGAAAAAGATGGGAAAAAACATAAAAGATAATTATCAACATAGAGTATCATAAATTTTTCTAAGAAATATGAGTAATCATTTTAAATCATTCATTTAACATATTTAGCAAATGTCTTTTGAGCACCTATTATTTATAAATAATGTTTTAGGTGTTATGAGAGAATTTTTAAAAGTATTATCACTATAGTTTTAAGAGGAGATAGGAGATACGAGATATAAAACAAGATATAAGAACCATAGAGGTATCACAATAAAATGTTAAAGTAAAATACATGTTTAATAATCAACATTTTAAAGTCCAGAATTTTTCTTATTAATAATAAATCTGAATTTTATTTGTACTATGTAGACTGGAAGTCATGTATAGAATATTTTTCAGTTATAGATTCATATGATATAGTCATTTTCATTAGATAAGATTTGCATCATGAGAAATTAATAGTCCATCTCTTTTAGTGTGGAGATGATAGTTTATGTTGTGTACATAGGTTTTCCTGAAAATACAGCTTTTGACATTTAAATCTAGTACTTGATAGTTACCTTAGTAATTCATCTATACCTACCATTTGTAGGTCAAAACACACCCTTTCCTTAGTAGATGGTTTAACAAATTGATGTGGTTGAAAGATTCATAGTCAACTTTATGGTGATGAATCTGTCTAAAATTTGCTAGACTGAACCTTAGAAAACAGATGTTCAATCTGACCTAGAAGGGCCTTCTGGAATTTAAATATACATAGCCTTCAAGAACTCAGGGTCACCTCTATGAGATGAGAAACCTTGAAATAATGTTTTGCTGAGATTGGTACCAATTCAAAATGAACTTTGTGGTCAGAAGTAGAATTTAGGTATTGAGGAGTGCTAAAGATCTAGTTCTAATGGCTTTATTTTTCTAAGATAATCCTTGTTATGTACTAGATTATTTATCTCCATTGTATAATCTAGGTACCTAGAGGTTACTTGTTAAAATAAGTTCTTTAATGAGTAGAATCTTATAATAGTACACCTTTATATAATTAAAGGAAGAAAAGAGTTTGTAAGATTGGAGTGTCTATGGCTTTTACCTTTTTTAGGTATGTTAGTCATCTTAGAATGTAGACGTTCACTTAGTAATGTATTTTACTTAATAGACTTTGGTGACAGCAGTGGAGTAGTTTATGTTTGAAATTTTAGTGAAACTCATTTTTACCATTGTTTTTTTTTTGCCAGTTTAAAAAAAACACTGCTGACTCAGATTGAGGTAAAACTCTTAAATTTGAATAAATGAGTGAGTGAAAAAGCATTTTTTAAGTGCTTACTATTTGAGAAACATTGGAATAAGTGCTGGGGATACAAATAAATACAAGTAGAAAAAGTTACTGAAATATTGAATCCGAGCTACTAGAACTACTTTACTGAGGTAATGGAAGCATGTAGAGCAGTAGGCATAAAATAGTTTAACTATTTTATCAGTCTGCAGTTGGGCTGAGAAACAATAAATTAAGAGGTTATCTTAGTAATTTAGCATGAGATATTTAAAGTCTGGAGTAGTTTGTTGGCCATGGAAATGGAATGGAAAAGACCTTTTCTGGAGGTATTTCAAGGGAAGGAGCTACAGGTTACCTACCCACATGGCATCAATGAAGGAGGAGTTTCAGGAGCAGATCTGTAGGGCAAGGTAGCTATAATTTCTTATAAAGGCAGTGATAAGAAAAAGGTTAAAAATAATTTAAAGATTTTGAGCCTTACAAAAAAGAAGAATGGTGCCATGGATAGAAATAAGGGAATAGTAAAATGTTATGTCAGAGAATAAAAGTAAATTTCTTTCTGGGATATTAATAATCTCCATATACATTTTCACCCCTCTGGGACCACTGCCACTACACCTTTTTGATGATTCATGTGGGGACAAGTGATATTGCTGAAGGAGTTTAGAAAGCATTATTAGGGATTATCAAATCCTGAGCAAGGAACTGAAAACCTTAGAGGAAGAGATGATGCTATTTTCATCAGTTCAGTTGGCTAAAAGCCAAGGCTTCCAAAAAAGGGCAGATTTGGTAAGTGAATGGTTTTTTGTTTGTTTTAATGGTGACTGAAAATAGGATTTGAATTTCTAGAGTTCAAATTATAGGACTAGCACTTGGTCAGATACAGAATATATCTAATGTTGTCCAATGAAAATGTTTGCCTGGAATCTTACAAATCTTGACAAGATTTAAAGTGAAAAGGGAAGAAAAGTGAAAACTGCTGGAATATGTGTTCTATGCTGGATACCATTAAGAGTGGTGGATACAACATAGGAAGAAAGACTGTCTGCAGAGATATCTTTTCATAGGGGAACAGTATACCTACCTACCCATCCCACCCCACCCCCTAGAATACAGGAATAAATTTCTTGTTCTCATATATCTATATGAGACATGTACAAAGCACGGGTAGTAACTTAAACTAGGGTTTTTACTGCAAGGAAGTAAATTGGACTTCACAGGTATGACTAAAACTTGTTGGAATAGGCTTTGTGAATGGAATATGTCTTTGGAGGGGTATGCCTTATTCAAAAGGAATAGTGCTGTAACATTGAGAAATCAGGGATCCATAGAGGAGGAATGTGATGGAGAACATTTGGGTAAAGCTCAGTGAGGGAAGAAATAGCAACATTATATTGTGAATATACTACAGACTACCTGACTAGAAAGAGGAAAACAGATAGAATTCAGGGAATAAATCAGAAACCTAGCACAGAGGTATGGTGTAATCGTGGGAGTAGGGAGGAACTTTCAACTGTATTTTGGCTTCTAGAGCTTTTTCTGCCACAAGCAGAGCAATTGTTAAATTATTGTCTTTAAAGATTATTTTATTCTTTTGAAGGTATAGGAAGTGAGGGGGTGGGAGGGTGGGGAAGTGTTATTCTGAATCCTGTTCAACAGGAAAGAACTGGTTACTGAAGTAGAAATGATGGAAACCTCGGCAGGAAGTTACCACTCCTTAGAGTTTGTGATAAAGTGAAAAGCCTAGCCTGGTAGTCTGGCGCACATCCTAGGGTTGGGCAGAACAGATTTCAGAGAGTTCAGTGAAAGAATGGATAGGAAGCTGTAGTGTAAAATTCTTAAGAAAAGTTGGTCCAAGAGGGATCTTAAGTTCCTTCTTGAAGATGCACCACTAAATCAGCTGAAGCAGAAAACAGTTGTTTAACAAGACAACGTGCATCCATAGGGAACTAATGAAACAGCTTAAAATTTTAAAACATGTATATATGATAGAATCAAGTGCAAAAACAGAAGAAAAAAAATGGCATGATTCTGCCTTTTTAATAGTATGAGGGGCACTAAAGTTCATAATTAGCTGGGATTGACAATGTCAATATCAGCAGGATCTCAAGTTGGAAAATATCTCAGGTGACTTCTAGCCCAACCTCTACCTTAAAAAAGGAACTCCCTTATTAACATTTGACAAGATGACAAGAGGTGATCCACCTTTTGCTTGAGGAGTTTTAGTGCTCTGTAACTTAAGGTATTCCATTTCATTTTGCGATTGCTCTAATTGTTAGGAAACTGAAATTGAGCTGATAAAATCTGCCCCTCTGCAACTTGCACAAATTGCTTCTACATCAAAAAAGATTTTTTTTTGGTAGTCCTTGACTCTGTGTTAAATATTTTTATCAATAATTTGAATGATAGTTTGAATATCATGCATTTTAGATTTACATATGCTGTTCAGTAGCTAGCATGTTGAATGTCAGAAATGAGATATAAAAAGATCATAACAAAGTCAATATCCAAAAAGACCATAACAATATGAATCTAATAAAATGAAATAAGAGTAGCCATAGTGCTGAATATGAATCAGTACTGGGGCAGGGAAGCCAAGAAAGCTAACAATCTTAGTTGGCATTAAGAAAGGCATGGATTGTGGTCATGCTGCTGTGCCTTGCACCCTGGACAACATCTGGAAAATTATGTTCATCTGTGGGTGCCATATTTTAGTAAGACTGGTCAACTAGAGCTGGTCCAGAGGAGGATGATATGTCGTTTGGGTATTAGAAACTGTGTCCTTATAAAATTTGGTTGAAGGAGCTGGGGCTCTTTATTGAGGAGAAGAAAAGTCTCTGGAGACACATGATATTATTACAGATATTTGAAGTCTTATCATGTGGAAGAGAGGTTACACTTGTTCTGCTTAGTAAAAGAATTGGGTGGAAGTTAATGGTGAGGTAGATTTAGGCTCTGTGTCAGGCAGTTTCCTGTCAGCAATGAAATAGGCTTATTTGGAGATTAGCACATTTCCATCCTTGGCAGTCTTCAAGCGCAGGATGCATGACTACTTGTTGGGTATGTTACAGGTCTATAAAAATGAGAGGACCAGGGGCAGCTAGGTGGTGCAATGGATAAAGCACCGGCCCTGATGTCAGGAGGACCTGAGTTTAAATCTGGCTTCAGACCAAACATTTGACACTTATTAGCTGTGTGACACTGGGCAAGTCACTTAACCCCAATTAAAAAAAAAATGAGAGGACCTAAGGAGGAGCTAGGACTAGATGATCTCTATGGTCCTGTCCAACTTTAAAATCCTCTGATTCCGTATTCCTTATGACCCTAAGATTCTGTGATCTCTTCATCTTGATGTTGCAGCTCTCTATTTCAGGTACCTCTTCTTTTCTCTTAATCCGTTTATTGGGACGTGAAGATTCTTGTCTCTAGGCTGCTGGTTCACTTTCAATCATCTGGGCTTCAGTTTCTTTGTAAAATGACAGAGAAGGCCCCTTCTAGCCATAAAAATTTTTGATCCTATCACACAGGTAATCTCTATAAAATTATTTCTCCTAAGCCTAGGAATTAAAAAAATTGCTCCCCCTCCTTAAATTTAACAACTTGAATAACCAGAATTATCTTTGCTAAACTGTCAACAAAATTGTCGAAAGTCAATTAACCTTTCTTTTTTGGGTGTCATCCCAATTTTAAAGGATGCTTATCCTGGTAGAATCATTGAACCTTAATGACACTGATTGATGAAGTGACTTGACCAACATCCCATAGGTGGTGTGTGGTAGACTAAAAGCTTATTTTGGTGTATCCTCAATGTCGTTGGTGTGGGTGTTCATTATACTATTCACAGCACAAACCCCCATGCCTACTTGTCCTGTGTCTTGTGCTATTCTTGTGCATATTTTTCTGTTTCTTCATTGAGGATCCTCTCAATGGGCTCAGTCTTTTCTTGCTTCTTTTATTTCTTGGATGTATCAGAGTACTATTTTGCCAGTTTCCATATGTGTTTTGGTATTATAACACTGAAATTCACTTTGTGAACCTTGGGCAGAAAACTTATAACAATTTGAGGATGTCATTCGGAATTATTTGTATATCCCTTATCTTTATAAAGGGCATTGAATATGGATTTTTATTTGCCCATATTTTGGATACTTTTGAAATTCAGAAATCTACAGCTATATGGAAAAAGGGAATATTAAACTAAGGATGGGGTTTGTGTATTTTATGCCTTTTTCTCAATTCCATAGCACCCTATGCAAATTTAAAAGCGCAATTTAGTGTGTCATAATCTGGACCTAAGAATGAAATAGGAACTTAACCTTATGTTTTTTGTTTATAATGTTTTAAGTTATACTGAATTGTGAGAGTAATTACTCCTATTATGTACTTGTTTTAATAATTACTCCTTTTTCTCTCATTCAGCCAGTATAAATTCATGTATGAAAAGGGAAGACATTCCAGAAGACACATATGATGATCAACCAAAGCATCTGGTTAAAACTACAGTGGCATTGAGAATTCAGCAAAACATAGGTGTGTTACCTCTGGTCATTTGTATACAACGTTATAAAAACATTATTCTGGAATGTGAGTTTAGCTATTTTTGCTTGTCACGAATAATTTTCTAACTTTGTTTTCTTAAAAACTTCATACTGATATTTTTGGTTTTGTGAAGAGTAGTTACTGATCTTTATATATTTTGAGAAGAAAAAAAAAACCCTGTAATCCTGGTTTTAGGCTCACAGTGATATATGTAGTCTGGGGAATAGGTAGTCCAGTTTGGCTAGAGCATTGGCTGTTGGCATGGATATTGAGAGACTAGAGTTTCATGCTGGCTGAATCACTGATTAGTTATATGAATTTCGGAATATCAAACATTTGTTGTGCTCTTGATGTGTGTTTTAAGCTGTAAAAACAGAAATAGTGCTGCCTGCTCAACTTCATAGGAACTTTAAGTTAGAAGTTCGAATGCTTTGAACTAAACATGTTTTTGTTATTGTTTTAGACTGTTATAGCCTATGAATGTCACAGGCTATGAAAGAGTTTTTAAATGGTCAAGACCTTTGGTGTCATTTGGTCATTAAATCAGTAAATATTTATTAAGCTCCTACTATGTGCCAGGCACTGTGCTAATTTAGTCACAATTCTTTTTCACCTAAAAAATTTTCATACTTCTTGGTTTTCCAAAAAGTGATTTTTGTTATTTTAAGGAGAAATCAGACTCAGCATGATGAATGAGCAAGTTAGAGTTACTGTTTCTGTCACCTAATGGCTATTTCCCCTTTTCCTGGTCCATAAGCTTTGACCCGAATATGTTCTCATCTCATCTAAAATGAGCCACAAATACGTCACTAAGGTGGCAAGCAGTTGGGACTTGTTTAAGAGGCAAGTTTCTACTGAATATACTCCTTGATGGCTGGTGCAGTCATTTTTGTCTTTGTATCCTCAGCACTTAGACCAGTGGTGGGCACGTAGTAGTTGGCCTTTCATAAGTGGTTGTTGAATTGAACTCCATTGACCTATTCACTACTATTTAAAACTACCCTCTACAGATATAATACCTATGTAAAAATCTGTTGGTACAGCTTTTTAAATATTGTTCTCTTTTTGTGGCAATCATAAACTTTTTGTCCCCTTACTTTGAGTTTTATTTAGAAGGCTGTGAAGTAGATGGTTGCCATTTACATCTAAGCAACTTAAGATTCTGAGAGGAAAAGGACCTGGGATGCACTTTTACTATCCATCTCTAGAGAAATAACTGATGGAGTCTGAATGGAGATCAAAGCATACTTTCTCTTTACTTTTTAAATTTTTCTTGTTTTTTTGTGTTTTCTTTCACAGGATGATTAACATAGAAATATGTTTTGTATGACTGCACATGTATAACCTGTATCAAATTTCTTGCTTTCTCAACAAGGGGATGGGAGAGGGAGGGAGTTTTAAAAAGTTTTAAAAAAACAAATGTTAAAAAATGTTTTTATGTGTAATTGGGGGGAAATTTTTTTTAAAGCATATTTTCCTCAGAATAAGATTTTCCTGGCATGTAACAATACTTAAAATGTATTAAGAATTAAAGGTAAGACTTTTGTATCTACAGAGTGTAGAAGGACCATCTTCTGTCTGTGGAGATGGAAAAACAATGAACAGGAATAAGAAGAATCCTCTGAGAAATAGAGGGGCCACTTCTAGTGTCTCCTCTTTCTTTATACTTTGTTGTGTAAATCAGAGAGAATGTTTGCACTTGTGCCACAGTTGACTTTGACCCTTCTTTCTCTGGTCCTGGAAATCATTCAAGTGTTCTGTTTTGGGTCACTCATGTTTTGTGTGTGTGTGTTTGAATTGTAGGTGTGGCGATAGCAGCTGCAGTGGCACTCCTTGCTGCGGGCTTTTCCTTTCATTACTTCAGTGACTAATATTAGACACAAGGAGCTGTGGGAACACTGACCAGGAATGAGGGGCTGATCCTGAAGATGCAAGCAAGACCTAGGGACTTAAAGAATAACAGGCAGATCTGTTTCCATAAATGGCTAATAAGTATACTTCTGATTTGTCATAAGATCTCTCTCTGCCTTGTGTAGTTATGCCATTACTGTAGGTGGAAGAGGTTTCCAAAAATAAAGTGGCTTATCTAACTAAAAATTTAAGTTACATGTAATAGAAGGTTATTAACCATAAAAAATAAAAACAAAAACAGGTATAGCAACAATGTGGTGTAGTAGAAGGACTACTGAACTTGTAGTCAAAAGACCTAGGTTTGAGTCCTGCTTCTATCACTTATTATCTGGGAGAACTTTGGCAAATCATTTTAACTTCCCTGAGTTTTAGTTTCCTTGTTTATAAATGGGAGTAATAATACTACCTACCTCACAGGGTTGTTGTGAGGGTCTAAGGAAATGTATATACAGTGCTTTAGAAGAAAAACAATGTATACACAGAAGCCATTATTTATTGTCTTTTTGAATTGTGACACCAATCAGGATGTATAAAAATCTCAGTACCATAGAAGGATGCCTCATGTTCCTTGTAGGGGAGAATGATTGGGCAGATCACACATTGGGAAAGAAAGCCTACCATGTAGGCTGACACCTTGGACCCTCCACAGCAGGCAGATAGAATGGTCCAAATAAAATACATGGGAATCAAGACCATGTAGATGCTCAGTATCTCTCGTTAGCGTATTGTGATTATCTTTTTAGGCATCATTGATAAAAAAAATTTTGGTATATTCTAAGTGCTAGTCTAATTATTCTGTTTATTGTGTCTTGCTTGAGGATTATAGGCCTTTAAAAAATGTTATAACGCTTTAGTTAGAAAACTGCATCAATGCAGCAGAAAACCAGTTGATTTTTCTTGATATCATGCTATAAACTAATATTCTTACTGTGAAAATTCTGGTAGAGATATTAAACAATACCCAGATGTAGTCCTTGAATCCTTATATATACATGTGTATGTATATATAATAACCCCCTATGAGAAGATAATATTATTACAGTAAAGTAACATACCTCACTTGTATATTTTCAGCATCTTGGATAAAAGGATATAAAGCCCTAATGGGGACCCAAATTACCCTGTTTCTTTCTACAGTTTTACCAGATATATTATTAACCTTATTTCAGTGTGTTGTTTTGGTATCTCTTTGAAGTATTCTGAACAAATGCTATTCTCCCTATTGCAGATAAAGAAGCTCAGGCTTAGCTTGTCATGACCTTCATATTTGTCTTTAGTCTTTATGGCCCAGACGTTTTCTTACTTCTTGTATTAATACTCTAGGACTACAGAATGCCTTGGGAATGTTACTGAAGCAAACATGACAAACAGATATTAATAAGCATTAGGTAATTGAACCCTACTCACAGTAAATTAAGCCATGCTTTGTAATGGACTCTGAGTCCACCAAATCACTGCAGAACTTAAGACTTTATGGTCAGTCAAAAGCTCATTTTTAAGAATTTAGTAGGAAAAATATTCCCAGCCAATTTCAGTTGCTATGGGTGTTCAGTTTGGCAGTAATGCCTTTTGTTTATAAATTTGTGGAGTGGCATTTAGTGATAAGAATGAAAGGAGTTTAATCTTGAATTAGATTCTATTTTAGACTAATCCAATTTAGTTGGCTGAGTCTGTAGCTTGCCCTTGTGATCAGAGCTCTGAATAGGAAAAATGCTCAGATACCAGGCATAAAAACTAAACTAAACTTACTTTATTTTAGAAAATTTTTTTTTACCTTTGGTAGTGAATATTTAATATTTTGCATCTGTCAGAGGGACAGTTACTAGTAATTAATTCCTGGATTCTGAGTCTAGTGCAAAGAGCAGTGGATTAGCATTTAGTAAAACTCTTTTATTCCCAACTTCTGTTAACTAGTTGTATGACCGTGGGTCAGTAACCTAGCTTCTGTGAGCACGAGCTTCATTACCTGTAAAGTGTGGAAATTAAACTAGGTAACCTCTTAGGTCCCTTCTAACATTAACTGTAGTTTGTATAATTTTTCATTTGATTTCAGTGTCATCAAAAATTGGAAATTAGCCTAACTTTCCTAATATTTATGAGCCTCAACTTCTTTATAAAATGGGGGTAATAATTTCATTACATACCTCACAAAGTGATTGTGAAGATCAGTTGATAAGATGTATGTGAGTGCTTTGTAACAGTAAAGCTATATAAATGTAAGCTATTCTTGATTAGCACAGGAATAGAGAGAACCTTGCTTAAATATCTACATCCCTACTCTTAAAGTATTAGAATCATCAGTTCTATTCATAATCATCTTCAATGAAATCTGTATGAGTCTTAAATAGAAGACATGGTTCGAGTCTATTACACATTTTAAATGATTTGTTAGACATTTAGCCCCAAGACCAAATGCATGAGCACTTTGTTAAATGAAATGCTGCCTTAAAAGTTTGATTATCAGTAATTTGACAAAATTATAATATTTCTGGAAACTAATACTTACTCAAGTATATCAGAGCTGTTAAAAACTGTATTATGCTTTAGCTAACTAGGTTTTTGTTATAGATTTAGAAAGGACATTAATGGGAGTGTGGTTACAGGTAAAACACTGCTGGATTTAGAGTCATAGTACCTGGATTAAAGTTCTGATAATCACTTACTAGTTGTGAAACCTTAGTCAAGTCACAACTTCTCTGGGCCTTAATTTTCTTCTCAGTAAAAAGAGTGGGTTATAGTAAATGGTCTCTAAGGCATCTTTCAATTCTCTACTTAGGATCTTATGAATTGGACCTTGGTCCTTCAATTTACAATTAAAACAGCCATTTGCTCCAGTCCTGATGTTCTTCACAAATAGACCATTTGGTTTGCCATAACTTGCCATATTTTCTAATGAATGCTTTTTTTTCCAACAAAAGCTCTGCTTTTGTGATACTATTATAAAACCAAAGTTTAAGTAATTTTAAGAGCTAAAACAGTTATCCTTTTGGCTGGAATACTGAGAAACATAGAATCTGCGTAAGGTAGTGAAGATTTCCTAAGAAACTGCAGTGCACAGCACATCTGCATTTATTATAAAAAGAATGGATCAGAACTAATTATTTTGTTTTGATAGTAGTTGAAATAGCTGGATCTAGGCAAGATGGTGAAGTAGGTGAAATTTTTCATGGCTTCTATCTCATAAGATGCCCAATACCGTTAGGTAGATTTCTGTTCAAAATAATTTGGCGCAGTGGATAGAGTACCAGGCCTGGGATCAGGAAGACCTGAATTCAAATTCAGTCTCAGGCATTTAATAGCGTAGGACCCTGGGCAAATCACTTAACCCTGTTTGCCTCAATTTGCTCAACTGTAAAATGAACTGGAGAAGGAAATGGCAAACCACTGCATTGTCTGCCAAGAAAACCGCATATGGGGTCGCAAAGAAACAGGACTGAAACAGCTGAACAACAAAACATTTGGAGCTGTCCAAAAGTGGAATGGACTACCTCAGGGAATAGTGTTTTGCACATCAATGATGGCCATAATGCAGATGACCACTTATTGGTTTCTTAAAGATGGATTTTTTAAAAAATTGAGTAGAGCTTAAATTAGATGATCTCTAAGGTCCATTCCAATTCTGTTCATGGTTTTACATTAATAAAACTTGCATTTTTTCCTTACGTGTGTCTAAAGTCTTCAAGCTGGTGTAATACAGCTCAATTTTAAAAATAAACTTTAAGGAAAAAAATGTTAATTATTTGTAGAAATAACAGCTAACTAAAAGGATAAAAGCCTAATCCCACTCCACCCCCAATTTCTAGTCCCATTTGCTTTACCTTTCCTTCTAGCTCTTCAAATTCTATAACTTCCCCAAACTGCACCTACCTTCCTCCTAAAACCTGCTGCTAACTTCCCTATTGCTCTTGCTGGTACTAGTATCTTCCTGCTTCCCCAGGCTTGAAACCGTAAAGGCATCTGACTTCTTTCTCCATCACTGCCATCATGCAGTCAGATAACAAGTCTGACCAATTCCACATCCATATCTCTTGCATTTGCCCATCTACTTCTCCATCCACTAAGCTATTATCTTGTTTAGCACCTTGCTTGAATTGTAATAGCCTCCCAATCTGTTGCCTAACTCTCAGGTACTCCTTTCTCCAATCTATCATCTCTAATATCAAAATAATCTTCCTATTGCACAGGTCTAACCATGTCTTTTCCCCAATCAAAAACCCAAAGTGACTCCCTATTGCTTCCAGGTTAAAATACCAATACCTTGATATTTAAAGACGTCTGTGATCTGGCTCCAACCTATCTTTCCATGGCTTTATTTCGTGTTGATCTTCTTCATGTTCATGGTCCAGCAGAGCTACTATCTGTTCTTGGAACTTGGTATTCTACTGTCTATCTCCCACACATCCATGCCAGGAATTCACTTTCAATTCAATAACTGAATTCAACAAACGTTTGGTACTTCCTATAATAGAGACATTAGGAATACAAAGTTACAAAAGCCTGCCTTCCGGTAGCGTTCACCTTACTAGGGATGTGGTGTATACATAGCTAAGTAAATATAATTTGAGGAAGACAGAGCAATAACAACGAGGGGAATCAGGTAAGGCTTTTCATGGGAGGTGGCATCTGAGCTAAAATGTAAAGAAACTAAGGCTCCTAAGGGGCACAAGTGAGGAAAAAGGAGTCTGCCAGGTACAAGTGCAAACCTTGCAAAAATTTGGAAACAGGTAAAATGTTGAGTTGGAGGATGTTTAGTAGGACAGTTAGACAAGAATCAGAGTTGTAGAAAGTATTCCCTGTGGTGAACTTTTGGTTATATTGGAGATCACATGTAGGTCTAAAAATTTCATTATTCAGCATTCACTTGTCCACTACCTATTGAGGCAAAACCCTTTCATACTCCTTAATTGGGTGGAGAAGATAAAGTTTGTCTCTTCTGTGTTATTTCGTTCTGATAGTTACCCTTGTTATAACAACATATAAAGGCACTGGATTTAGATTTAGGATGATGAGTTCAAATCTTGCCTCACATACTAACTAGCTATGTGACCCAGGCATGACAGTTAACCTCTTTCTGCCTGTTTCCCCATCTGTAAAAAATGGAGATAATAGCAGCAATTACCTCCCAGGGTTGTAGTGTGGGTAAAATGAGATATTTATAAAGTGCTTTATAAACCTTAGAGCACCATATAAATGCTATTATATATTTATATATTACAATAATATATGCACACACATAAATATAACAACCTTTCAGTGTTTCTGAAAGACAGATTTGTATTGCATGTCGTATATTTGGAGGGAGAGGTGACTTCTGGCTGCCTGAGAAAATTCTGAGTATGTTGATGAATACCTATTTGGCTTATGGGGCTTACTTCAGATGGGAGGGAGTGGTTGTGGTGTGGGGGAAAGAATGGAGATGAGAACTTTTAAATTGCAAGCTAAAGCCTTGGAACTTCAGCTGTATAGGAGAAGCTGACCCTACCATGTCTCTTGACCTCCACAGCTTACAGCCCTAGAGACTACTGAGAGTGGATCTTCCTTGGGTGAGATAATTCTCTTAGTTTGAGCTGAGATCCTACTGCATTTCTCAATTGAAGAGACTATTACTCTTATGCAAACTTTGGTATTTCTATATTTAGGGAAGGAACAGATTTAGTAGAAGAAAATGAAACCAAAGAAGACAGATGGAGTGGTCAAAGACATAGTAGAACTAAAACACCATAAAAGCTAAGAGACTTTTTCAAGAAGGGCACCAATAGGAAATGTGGCAGAGGGGTCAAGCAGGATGAGGACTGAGAACAGATTATTGGATTTGAGGAAGTAATGGGCTCATGTTTCTACAGCATCACTTCTTTTTGTTTCTGAAATGGCCTGTAACTCAACACTACGTAGTTGGCAAAGCTTCTGACTTTAGGTAAGTAATTCTACACCTAAGCCCAGTGTAGCCTGTGATCTAGGAAACTGGAGATGCAGTGGCAGAGCAGCCAATGGCACAAGAGCCTTGGGAGTGGCAGCACGCCTCATACTAACGTTCCTGCTTCCAGCCTAACCTTCACAGG